CATGTTAAACTGTGGCATGGTATCTCAGTGGGCTTGCACTATAAATCGGCACACACACACACGCGCGCTCACACACACACATGTCGCTACATAAGGGCAATACTCTTGGACGCGACGTTAAACTCCATTTCACCTCACCTCACCTCACTTTACACAGGGAATACTCTTATTGGTGCTTTATTCTTCCCGTTCCTTTACCTTGATATAACACTGAGGTCGGTCAATTCGGACGACATGAAATGTACATATAGGTCAAGTATCAACTCTTAGGGTTGCTGGGGTTGCCTAGAGGTTGAAGCATTCGCTCGTCACGCCAAGCCCCGGGTTCGATTCCCAACATGGGTACAATGTGTGAAGCCCATTTCGGGTGTCCCCCGCCGTGATATTGCAGCAATGTTGCTTAAAGCGGCGTAAAACAATACTCACTCACTCATCAACTCTTAGGTGCCTGCATCCGAAAAGAAACTATTAACGAAGGACATTATTTACTATTGTTGCTCCAACAACTCGCATTAGACATGACATTAGATGAATATTGATAAAACGCTTCATATCGTTGTTCTATTTACGTACATATGTCATTCTGACCTTGACCGCTTGCGAAGCCTACACATTCAGCCGTTGTTTGTATAGCCCCAGTCACCATGTGCATCCAGCGATTAGTGAGTGTCGGTGCACCCACGTGTCGCAATGCTCAGCGCTGTGATTTAACTCAAATGTCAAGGTCACCTTATGAAATCACTCATATATATTGCTTGTGTTCGATTTCAAAGCATTTCCCGGATGACCAAGTGTTTAGCAATGTGTAACCCATTCCAAGCGTCACCGGGTCGTGAAACCAGTCTAGTCACGGTTTTAGTTACCGTACCGCTTTCCCCTCTCCAATCTGATTAAAATCAGATCTTAGTTTTCGCTACGAACTTTCGCGAATTTTGACCGACCAATGAAATGACTGACAAGAAATCGACTTTGGCCAATCAGAAGGCAGCTTTCTCGAGCTTTACGATACTAGTTTCAAACTGGCGACTACGCTTCGAAACATATTTTGACGTAATCTCGATTAAGTTTTAAAACTGATAAGAAGAACATTCTGGAATGGCTTATAGATGGCCTAGATTGTATGGATATAATCATAAAACCCGTAACTGTTGTTCGGAATACCCCGTGTTAAATATATCGTGGTTGCATGATTAGAAAACACATTCCGACTGTCACTTTCATGAACTGGTAAGCGACGCTCTGATTGGTTGGATGAAAGGTCGTTCTGACGTGACCCGTAATGGGATGTCCTCAGATCTTGGTTTAGCGATAGCGAGAACTAAGATCTGATTTTAATGAGATTGCCCCCTCTCTTAATTGCCAATTCGTGACCAACTCGTGTTATTCCGGGACAAGCCGAAAAGCAGGTTACGGAAAGGCGCGAGTGGTGACGAATGTTAATTGCCCTCGTCGTCATCGTTCGGCAAACTCCGGGTGTCTTTATGTTCATCCTCAGAGAATTAGTGACCCGTATTTTTTTATTCTCTAGCGGTTTAATCGTATACTTTATCATGTATGTATTTGATACATGTTATCACGTATATGTCTGAAAACTTATTCACGTATTGAAATTGTTTGTTGACTTTGATTTCAACACAGTAGCGGGATTATCTAGTACCATGTAGATACTTCTCATGCATTTATGGTAATGTTTGCCACCTCGATACTTGTAAAAATCTGGTTGTAAATGTTTAATTGGTACCGTTCTCTAGCTTATGTTCAGCGCTTTATTGTGGTACTTATATCTTATACCGAATTGGTTTAGAAGTAAAGTTGGCTATTCGGGTTTTCATAATGTTAGAAAACACAGTGTGGCCACCTCACAAGGCTCTTGTTACATCTCCGGTTACTATGGTGACGTCATCATTAAAGTTATTTCGTTTCGTTTATTGATTCAATCATGAATCAAGCATTATAATTAGTATTTTACTTTCGATTATGGATATAAATACTTAGAATGAATAATGAAATTTGGAAGATGAACTTGTATCTCTGTATCACCTTTTTATCGCTTTAGGCCCGTGAAGATCCGGGGTAGAATAGGTCTTCAGCAACCCATGCTTGTCGTAAAAGGTGACTATACTTGTCGTAAGAGGCGACTAACGGGATCGGGTGTCCAGGCTCGCTGACTTGGTTGATGCATGTCATCGTATCCCAATTGCGTGGATCGACGCTCATGATGTCAGTCACTTGATTGTCTGGTCAAGACTCGATTATTTACAGACCGCAATCATATAGCTGGAATATTGCGGCGTTAAACAACAAACAAACAAATCTTATCGATTTACATGCATTAAATAGAAAAGGTACAATGGCAGCTATGTCAAAAAGTAATAATTGTTAACCCCTCGTAGTTATGTGTTATAGCCCGTCCCTCCCTATCCAGACCGCCATTTTGTATTATATCTAAGGTTGCATTTTATGCGTTTTGTTTCGGATACTGCCCAGGGCCCACTTGCACAAAACGATCTTAGCGCTACGACTATTGTAAGCCTATGTTAAAGTATGGGAGTTACGATCATCTTAGCGCTAAGATCGCTTTGTGCAAGAGGGCCCTGGTAATGATTGGTTGACACTGGTTTACTCAGGTTGAATCCAGTCAACCCTGGTTGACAGACATGTGATAACAACGGATGACTCAGGCGCCTCGAGTATTAAACATCGAACACACGTACTGACAGACAACCAGCTCCAACAATGTTCATAGTTGCATGTGTATTATTCCCAGCACGTAATGTGACTCCATGTTACTCCACACTAGCACACTAAACAATGATGGATTCAGAATGAGGGACCACTATCGGGAACTAAATGAAATTTCTGTGCACAAATTGAGTTTCCCCAATTGTTGCATTGAATGCATATTGTACCATGTGTTGTTAGTCTGGGGTTGGACGCACGCACGCACGCACGCACGCACGCACGCACGCACACACACACACACACACACACACAAACAAACAAACAGACACAATCAAACAAACACACACACACACAAACAAACACACACACACAGATTTCCAGATCGATAACTTTAAATGGTGATTTTGGCACCTTATGAAATCAACATGACCATGTTTGACAATGTCCTTTGCCATAGCGGACGGTCTCAGAAGAAGTTTCCTTCAGTATAAAGGCCACATGCTCTAGTACAATATAGATACAAGTATTATATACGAAGTGGTGGTACAATATCAAGAGGTACAGAGTGCAATTAAAGTACAAATTAGAATTATAATAATGAAGAACGTAATGTTAAAGTGAGTGAGTGAGTGAGTTTTGTCTTACGCCGCTTTTAGCAATATTCCAGCAATGTCACGGCGGGGGACACCAGAAATGGGCTTCACACATTGTACCCATGTCGGGAATCGAACCCGGGTCTTCGGCGTGACGAGCGAACGCTTTAACCACCAGGCTACCCGACCGCCCCACGTAATGTTAGAAGTCTGTAGAGAAGTTATGAGGGAGTACCTGTTTTTTAAGTTATTGTTGGGAATATATACGTGTGTCTTAAAATATCATAAGTCGGTCATACAAACAAAAAATGTAACTCATCTTCTATAATATTTTTACAAAAAGGACAAAATCTAAGGTTTCTAGGTACATCCTCCCGTCTACCTATATTTTTCATAATTTGTAATTCTCCAATTCTTAATAATGTTAAAAATCTCTTTTGGTCTCCTTGGTGTATATTAAGCAAATATGGTTCAATTGCGAAAGTTGACTTTATAGTGGAGTATAGTGGGCGGTCTCAGAACACAACCGTGTCACTGGATTGTCTGGTCCACTATCATTGGATTGTCTGGTCAAGACTCGATGGTTTACAGGTCGCCGTCGTATGCTGTGCTGAGTGGCGTCAGGCAAGTAACAAACACATATTCATTCATGGTAATTGTTTGACTGGCGGGTGCTACCGGTAGAGTAGGACATCCGGTGTCATCACTGATTATCAGGAGATCCATTCATACACTTTTCACCACTGGTTTGCCTAAACACCGATTCGAATCTATTTCGGCAGATAATCTCTCCGATTATTGTCTGGCGAAGACGTCTAATGTTCATTGATTACCCTCCCTCTATTGTCATGCTTAAAGTTGAGTGAGTGAGTTTTGTCTTACGCCGCTTTTAGCAATATTCCAGCAATGTCACGGCGGGGGACACCAGAAATGGGCTTCACACATTGTACCAATGTCGGGAATCGAACCCGGGTCTTCAGCGTGACGAGCGAACGCTTAAACCACTAGGGTACCCGACCGCCCCTACTTAAAGGTAAAATGGTGTTTAACATCGCGTTCAAGATTATTGGACCTATATTGCGACATGTGTGTTAGTGTGTGTTTACAACTGATACACCACTCAGACACAGTATACTGACTACGAGCCGACCGCACCTTGTTTTATCCCCTTAAAGCCGAGCGTCAGGCAGTGCAACAACAAGTACCATCTTCCAACGTATTGTAGTATGACGCAGCCGGGGATCGAACCACCAAGCTTCCGCTCTTGGGGCAGACACTCTATCCTCTAGGCTACTACTGAGAATCGGAAGTTATAATACATGTTCTAATGTGGGTCATCTTGTCGATGTGCTAAGTCTTGATAATAATTACAGGCCGTGATATGGCTGGAGTATTGCCGACTACAGCATAAACACAACTCATTCATTGCAGATACACATGAAGGAAACAGACATGCTACAAATCCAGGAGTTATATCTAACTCATGTTAACTGCCGGGCAAAAGAAAGCATTCACTTGAAAAATGGATTTTGACCTAACAATGACAAACGCTATTAAAACGTCACAGAGACGCTACAAAATTAAGGTCCGAAACACAACAATGATACCCGTATGAAATACATCACCATCGAATTTCATTTTTAGCCACCATCAAACATGGGTATGTACTTTCCGTTGCCCGGCAACCAAAACTTGGCCAATTGATAATACAGAGGAACTCATAGATTTCCAAACAATTTATCCGTCAAAAGACTACATAATTTGTTGCTGAGTATCAACACACAATACCTCGATTAAACAATGTGTAAACAAGGTAGATACAAAACATAAGTGAAAGTGAATGAGTGAGTATGGTTTTACGCTGCTTGTAACAATATTCGAGCAATATCGCGACGGGGGACTCCAGAAAGGGCTTTACACATGGTACCCATGTGGGGAATCGAACCCGGGGCTTCGGCGTGACGAGCGAATGCTTTAACCACTAGGCTACTCTAGCGCCCCTAAGAGTTGATACTTGACCTAGATGTACATTTCTTGTCATCCGAAACGCGTAGCGTAACGAGCAAAAACACTTTAGCCACTAGGCTTACCCACCGTCCCACAAAACATAAAAGTGACAAAAACATTTTCATAATCATAAGAAATATCTGCTAAAAAATCCCTTGCACGCTTCCAACTATATCCTGAGCATGTATTTAAGAATCAGGTGTTCGCGAAAACTTGAACGTATCCTGTTCCACTGGTGGCACCAGTCACAAATGTGTAAATAATAAGCTGCCTCTTTCCGGAAAAGAAGGAGGCCATTCTCCAAAAACAGATGATCAGTTTTTGAACCGGTAAAAACATGTATATTTTGAATATTGCAAATACGATTATGATCTCACTTCAATTCGTAGAAAGTGTTGTTGAAAAAAACCAATGACAGGTAATGTTATTTTGGGTACCAGTTTTACAACGGGCTGACTAAACTCCTTAAATTAGAGGTTTTGGGGCGGTGGGGTAGCCTGGTGGTTAAAGCGTTCGCTCGTCACGCCGAAGACCCAGGTTCAATTCCCACATGGGTACACATCGGTGTGGCGCCAATTTCTGGTGTCCCCCGCCGTGATATTGCTGGAATATTGCTAAAAGAGGCGTAGAACCATACCCACTCAGTACAGAGTTGTGAAAGTGACATGAATGACTCAATAATATTAAATGCTTGGAAAGAATGCAGCGGACAGTGTGGACAATGTTACACGTGTTTGTTTCTCTGTACACAATTCAGCTGTATATCTCCAGATGCTGTCTTGTCTGACGACTTCATGTTGTACTTGGTACCAGAGGTTGACCTGAAGTGAAGGAACGGTATATATTTGTATTTATTATGATACAGCACAACGAAATTAGGCTGTGTCTCAAACTTCACATCTTTCCGAGGCAAGGGAGTTAATCGACTTTAACAATCCAGTTTCCACACTTGCCGAACAAGGCTGCAATTATGGAGTTATATTTTTGCGGGACAAACGAGTATACGTATAGTCCAGTCAAAAACGCCAAACGAGATCGACATCCGGTTCATAAACAACATGGATTTCAACGTGCAGATTTGAGTCGACTGCAAGATTTGCAACTGGTTAGGTGGCGCTACTATCGAGCCCAGGACTTCCAGCCTAGTTCAAGCTCCTTACCAGCGCGTGACACCTTCGTCACACTCTCGTATAGAGAGCTCCGCGAACGGGCTATTGCTGTGAGGAGCTTGAGCCTAGTGATGGCAAGGGAGGGAACTTTTACAGTTACCTCCCTTGCCTCGGGAAGCTGCAAACTTCATGGAAGTTGGTAAACTGCATTTTTCAACATCCCTTCCGCCATGTTTTATGCTGCTTATAATGCGGCACACGACAGCGTGGCTTTTTGAAAGATAGAACGTATACTCTGCATGCTTCTCTTGGCTTAATATGATTAAACCTAAATGTATAAATATTGATAGCATGAAACATTCACTCGAAAATAACCGATCGATGATGGCTGTGGCAACCTCATCAGTGACATCCATTGTGGTCACAGTACAACAGGTTTTGTACTTTTCAGCAACTTCGGCAACTACAAATGTGCCATATCTCAAAGCCCCTGATATTTTAGCGAGGCAGGAGAATGTGGGTTCTGAAACATTCTAAAAACATTACTCATCGCCCATCAAAAGGGCGGTAAAATTCATTCTTACCTTAATTTCAAATATCAATATAAAATGATTAAAGATCCAATAATAAAAATGAGGGATACTTTCGTTAACCAAAAACGTTTGAAACAAGGTAATTAATAGAATTTTATAACCAAACGCAAGTGCATGTCAGATTATACCCATAAAGCGTTCTAATGAAACCATATCCTGTAATTTTGTGGAACGGACGCCTGAATTCTAAAGGTGGACCTTTGTACGGTATTAAATTCATACGTTTCAACTTTTGACGTGTTTGAAATATTACTGTGTTAACTAAATTGGATTATGCCGTGGATCGTGTAGGTGTCAGCCTATTCACACTCAACAGTTTAATTCTAAACACGTTATAAATGGCCAGTAATAAATAAAATACTAAACTCGCTCCCGTGTAAAACCAATTTTATGAAACTCGTGAATAGTTCTGGTATTTGACTCGCTTTCGCTCGTCAGATACCAGAACTATTCACTCGTTTCATAAAATTGGTATTACACGGGAGCTCGTTTAGTATTCTATATGTAGCCTCCTAAAGTACATCGAGAAAACACCTACTGGCCGAAAACTTTGGCATCTTCAACGGTTTCCGGTAGCGTAGTGTTCAGGGTTTCCGGAAGGATGAGCGAGAGACCCCCGGCAGCCACCGATAAGCCGCCGAACACAATGAGCGGCAGCGCCACCTTCAGGTCACCGCCTATGAGAAGACCCTGAAACACGGAATGCAAGGAACAGTGAGGTCCCGTTATTTCAAGGATAGAAGCAAAACGAAAAAACGAACTGTAATTCATATCATCGGACACTGAAGAGCTAGTAAGCGAATTAGCAATAGTGGTATCATGTGTGGATGCACGAGGTGTGTCGTGTCTCTCTTATTCCAGCAGGGGCACGGCGGCGCTGCGATTCGCTGTGCAGAGTTGCGTCCCTTGGACACGCCAAAAACCTATGATTGTGAGTTCGAATCCTGGTTCGCCCCGATTATGTTTCCAGGTTTGTCAGCACCATACCCGTGCTCGTGGGTTTCACCGAAGTGGTAAACGTCTGAGACCTGCATCCCTTCGGGCTTTCCTCCCACATTAAGCTGACACGCCGTGATGTAGCTGGACTACTGTTAAAAGCGGCGTTAAACCCAACTCACTCACTCACTCACTCTTATTCCAGCAATATCGCGCCAAGAATGTGAAGGATCAAACCCCGACCTATTGCCTGACGACCCGTTTACCACCAAACCCTCCCCCTTTACTCCACCCCTGGGCTTGTGAAGGGTAACCTCAAATTGACTCTAGTCATCATTTAAAAGCACGTGAACTTGACTGACTCTTAAAATCATCCAGGAGTTCATCTTTGCCCAGCGGATTCTATTAATGTATGAAGATAATTTAACCTGATGTGTTACGATTCATCCCAATGTTAATCCCACAATGGTAAATCTAAACATATTAATGTATCACAAACAACAGAATGAGTCAAATATTGTAAACCCTAATTTGGTAAGAAATAAGTAAATATGATGTCACATTACTTACTAGATCAGCAATGTAGGGAGACAGCATTCCGCCTATCTTCCCACAAGTAGAGCTGGCACCCACCCCGGAGTTGCGTACAACAGTCGGCAAGAGTTCGGCAGAAAAGACATAGATGATGGCGAACGCAGCGGAAGCGCCGAACTTGCCGATCATAGAGAGTAGGATGGTGACCCAGGAGGGCGCTAGGACATAATTGACCTTAGTCGTTAGTATTCAATTTGGTTGGTTGGCTGGTTGATTGACAGTGTTATCAAGATTTATTAAACATATTTATGGATGTTATAACTGTGTAAACAATATTTAGAGTACACACTTCCGCTATCCTAATTCCAAGAGGGTGCCTGAGATTATACCATTAACCTATCCGGTCGGGGTAAAAATCCGTTTGGAAAGTTTTCGGATGACGAAAAAACGTTTTGTTGTTTTATGACTTGCTTCATAATGTTCTAGCACGTGTTATGATGCGTCACATTGGAAGAATACAGAAGCTGAAATCCATAAGTCGACTTCATTGTGTTATCACATGTATGGTGGTGCCAACCTACTTTGGTACCCAGGATGGCGCGCCAGGTTGAGTGGTATAATTCCAGATGCCGTAGTTCAGTGCCGGGTGCCAAGAGGGAAGGGAGGGGGAGGGGTGGCATTCTCATGTATGAATGGTTTGGTCTCTTTGTTTTTTAACGCCGTACTCAACAATATTCCAGCTATATGACTGCGGTCTGTGAAAAATCGAGTCTGGACCTGTCTATCCAGTGATTGACATAATAAACATCGATCCACGTAATTGGGATACGATGACATGCATCAACCAAGTCAGCGAGCCTGACCACCCGATCCCGTTAGTCGCCTTTTACGACAAGTATGAAAGGAAACATAAGCAATCTTCATGTAAGCAAGCGAGTGAGTGAGTGAGTGTTGTCTTACGCCGCTTATAGCAATGTTCCAGCAATATCACGACGGGGGACACCAGAAATGAGCTTCACACATTGTACCCATGTCAGGAATCGAACCCGGGTCTTCAGCGTGACGAGCGAACGCTTTAACCACTGGGCTACCCGACCGCCCCAGTGCGTAAATGGAGCCTATGGAGTGATGTATGGCTGTGGGGGATTTGAGGGGAATCTGTGGGGTCTTGAACACAGTGTGTGTGTAACCCCAACGGAAGCGTTGATAAAATCTCCTATCGATCCTAATCAAGCCGAATTGTCGAATCGAACACTTGACTACCTGACCGCCCCTCATGTAAGTAAGTAACCTACCTAGATATATGACTGGGAACAGCACGGCTACACACGCCAACCCTCCCACGAACATGCTGGTACAATGGAGCAGCTTCCTCCCCACCCTGTCCAGCAACAGCACACACGCAACGTACGACATCGTCTCTACGGCGCTGGAGATGGTGTAGTTGAGGTAAATGTCGCCGCTCAGGTTCTGCACATTCAGGCCAAGACCGTAGTACACTATGTTCACGACAAACCTGTAAAGGAAGGAACTACTGTAGGAGCTGGACGATGGGAAGGAGCAATTATCTACGTAAAAATACGTACCACCCGTAAAGATCCGGGGCGAATAGATCTTCAGCAACCCATGCTTGCCGTAAAAGGTGACTATGCTTGTCGTGGATCGATGCGCATGATATCAATCACTTAATTGTCTGGCCCAGACTCGATTATTTACAGACCGCCGTCATATAGCTGGACCATTGCTTAGTGCGGCGTTAAACAACCAACGAACATCCAGGGAGACTGACGCGAATGTCAGTCACATCATGGCTGACTATAAATACTCGAATCTGGAGCAGGCAAACCAATGCGCGAGTTCATATAGCATCAGCAACGACCACACGCTAAACCAACCAACCAACCAACCGACAATACGTACTATCACTAACAAGCAGTATGAGGAAGTGTTTGTGAATATTTGTAACCCTTAACTGATCAACCGATCTCTCCTGGAAGATATCGCTGCCATGAAATTGTATCACAATGCGTTGAAGACCATTGTGGCGTCACCGGTTACCATGGCGTCATAAAGCTGGTTAGAAGAACTTTTTACACTTAAGACACTGCTTAATACTGTTTACAAAATGAAAACGTTAGAAGAAAGATGTTGGATGATAAATAAAATCTTGCCCTCGCGTCCTTTGATATCAAATATATGAACACTCGTCGATAAAAAGTTTAAAGCTTTTTTACCTGTGATGGAAACGAATAAGGGAACAATAAAAAAACATTGGGACATAAGCTGCACTGTCAGTACATGTGAAATAGCGCGCATACAAACTCAACACATGTCAGAATCAAATGTTGAGATGTGTGTGTGCATTGTTTCCAATGTGAATCCACGATAGCATATTAGTTAACTGCGTCTAAAACTGAGTGTTCACATCATTTCCATCAGTATATATTTGATATCAAAAGACACGACAGTGAGATCCCCTATATATCTTCACGCATTATTACCATATCGCAAGAATGAAGTGAACTCTTCTCGTTCTCATTTGACTTGTTGAAACTTATGTTAAACTGGAAATGCTTGAAGACAGGACGAGTTATTGTTCATATTAGAATCTAAAACATTATACAACGTCTACACCAAAATACTTTCAATGTCATCATAATACATTTTGTATCATTTCTGGACAAACTTAGACACGACTTAATCTACTGGTAACAGTCAATGTTTTTATTTGACTTTCATATGATTTTTGTCAATATATTGTGTATTTATCAGGTATGATTGATAGTATGCCTGATGTAATATTCGGACGTAATCTTGAGGAAATGAAGAATATCTCTTTCGTTTCATTTCTCGTAGCTATTGAAAAAATGGGCAAATAAAACTGAAGCAAGACTGTGTATGCAAGAGGATTATTATGTGTTTTTGCTGAGCCAAACAGAAAGGATTAAATACAAACAACGTGAAAGAAGATAGGTAAGGTAAAGGTATTTAGAGTAAAGTACCGGGCAAAAGGAAATGTACACTTGAAAATTCACACTTCTCTCTGCTCATTACTGTGTTCTGCGACATTGCGACCACCGTGTCCCTTGTGACGTCATGTGCACGTCACCTGTTGTGAGATACTCACCGATATGAGGCATGTCACATCGCCAGTTATACCCGTATCAAATACATCACCGTGGCATAAACATTTCTCTTGTTTGTCCCATTTTAGCCATCATCAAATAGGTGTATACTTTCTTTGCCAGGCAGTTTATTAGGGTTCTGAAACGTAGTTTAATTTTAGAAAATTATAAAATGTCTTTTATCAAGAAAACGATTTTGTTGTTTTGGGGGCAATATTTTGGGTGATTACTAGTTCAGGGTGACAGCTAGGGCAACGAAACAAAAAAATAACATACAGTAAACTACGTTTATAACGAACTGACGGATATAACGAACTATTTCTTGGTCCCGTTCATTTGCTGTATATATGCCGTACATATGCTTATAACGAACTACGGTTATAACGAATAATATGCATGTTGATCGGAGTTACTTAAGAGGAGTGAGTATTTCGAGAGTATCCGAAATGTTCCTGATATGAATGTTTCTGTGGAAATTGGTATTTCTCAACTTACTACTATATGAAACATAAGGAATTTGTGATGATTCTGTTGTAAGAGACCCGTGAAGATCCGGGGTAGAATAGGTCTTCAGCAACCCACGCTTGCCGTAAAAGCCGACTATATGTTTGTCGTAAGAGGCAACAAACAGGATCGGGTGGTCCGGCTCGCTGACTTTGTTGATGCATGTCATCGATCCAAATTGCGTGGGTCGGTGCTCATGCTGTAAATCACTGGATTGTCTGGTCCAGACTCGATTCTTTACAGACCGCCGTCATATAGCTGGAATATTGCTGAGTGCGGCGTCAAACACAAACCAAAAAACTTTCGTCAGAAAGGACATTGCTATTGGTATTTGATATCCGAAATACCACATTATATCAATCAACAAATGCTCCGAATAAGATAATTATATAAGATACTACTTGCCAGTTGAAGAAGATGACTAGTGTTCTATGTCTTATGACACGTGAGGTGAACAATTGGGTAAACTTTCCTTGATCTCCCTCATCAAAGGTAAGCTGAGCAAACATATCGGCCGGAAGTTCTACTCCGTTTGTCTTTGCCGCTTTCTGAATGATGGATTCCGCTTCCGCTTTCCGACCACGTGACATCAGCCACCTTGGGGACTCTGGGATTAGCCTAGAGAAATAACATTAAACGTGGTTGATGTCAATAGCTGTGGAGTTCACGAACAAGTTCACTTACGTGATTGCTAATCGTTATAATAGTATAGTCTATGTTAGTGAGGTGAGGTGAAATTGGGTTTAACGTCACGTCCAAGATTATTGCACTTATATAGCGACGTGCATGCACGTGTGTGTGTGTGGCTGCTTGTACCAGTCCGGACTGATGCCGATTTATAGCGCTAGCACACTGAGATACCATGCCGCAGTTTAACATGAATACCCCACTCAGACACAGTATACTGACTCCGAGCCGACCAGTCCTTGTTTTAGCCCCTTAATGCCAAGCGCCAGACAGGGTAACAACAAGTACCATCTTAGACTTGATGCCAAGTATGTATTACATAGCACCTGGTATTTTCCTGACACGTTGTATGTCATTGCCAGCACATACAGTATATATCATGACATGATATGATACATCATGTTTCATATGCAAATATATTTATAATGTGTACTACCAAAATTGCCTCACGAGTAAAGTTAATCATTAAGAGCTTCAGTTCCTAGACGGTTTATTAGATTGACAAGTCCAGGGTCCACTTGCACAAAACGATCTTAGCGCGAAGGCTATCTTAAGCCTGTGTTACGATCATCTTTGCGCTAAGATCGCTTTGTGCAAGCGGGCCCTGGTTTGGAGTTACTGTTGTCCGTTTGTGTAAATTTCAATTTGGTTTCTGTAAACATGAACTCTTGTGAGTATATCAGAAGAAATAGTCACGAACCACCAAAATCCAAACATGAGGACGGAAGGCACTGATATGACGAGTTGTAATGTCTTCCAGTTGCGGATGGCGTACGCTATCGCCACCAGGAGAAAAATGCCCACACTCCAGAACAGTTGAACTCCTACACCGGCCAGCACCCGCTTGGACGGCCCAACCATCTCTAGACCTGCAAGGAGTAGATTGCGTAGTATATTATTACGTATTTTATCATTACTTACGTATTTACATGTTCACGTATTTCTTTTTTATTAGCTGTTTTACGAATTATTAGTCCTGCGTGTTAAAGTTCAGAGATAAATAAACTCTTCAATTATTTTGTTTTGTTTTTGCAAAATACTAAATGGTCAGTAGGGTGAGAAAAAGTTCAATTTCTCTATTTCCTGTTTGTTAATGTTCTGCGATGTTGGCGATAGTCGGACTTGTACAATCGACTCTGCTTTATGCATTTTGTCGCTTTATTTATATTCAACTTTTCAACAGTCGGTAGAGATTTTGGTGGAGTTTTCTTATGAATATGAAATGGCTTTTGTCGCTTTTCAAAACTTATTTTGAGTAATATATATCTATGTGTTTATGTTACTTGTATATATTAAACATCGAGGTAACTTTCTAATTGTACAAAAGAAGAGTATTAATTTATTTGCATTGTATTGCTGGGGTTATATTCACTAACTACCGATACAAATTCACACTCTACTACAGAAGCATACTGGTAAAAAGCTCATCCAAATTGCTCCAAACCAAATGTATTATGTTGTAGACAACCCCCTGGTTTGTTTGTTTTGTTTGTTTGTTGTTTAACGCCACACTCAGCAATATTCCAGATATATGACGGCGGTCTGAAAATGATCGAGTCTGGACCAGACAATCCAGTGATGGACATCGTGAACATCGATCCACGCAATTGGGAACCGATGACATGGATCAACCGAGTCAGCGAGCCTGACCACCCGATCCCGTTAGTTGCCTCTTACGACAGGCATAGTCGCCTTTTACGACAAGCATGGGTTGCTGAAGACCTATTCTACCCCGGATCTTCACGGGTGGACAACCCTCTAGTACCCTACTAGTCCGGCCTGATGCCACTTCTATATCCCACAAGTGAAACACCATGCCGCAGTTTAACATACATACCCCACTGACACAGCGTACTTAATCCGAGCCGACTCTTCTTAGTTTTAGCCACTCAATGCCGAGCGACAGGCAGGGAAACAAGTATCATCTTTCAACGTGGCATTTAGCAACATTCACTCACTCAACACTTACCGAGCACGAATGCAATCATGAAGAGGGACGTCGAGGAGAGGGCGTTGACAACACGGATGACGATGAACACGTAGATGTTGGGACTGAATGGCGTCACAATGGCCGAGATCGCCTGCAGCCCGACGCTGATGAAAAATGTTATTTTACGTCCTATTCTGAAAGAAAACAAATCTGTTGACATTCAAAGTTTATGTGAGAAAGAGTCAGTGGGGGGTTGGGTTTAACATCGCTTTGGACTGCGTGTCAGCTTGGCGTGTGAGGAAAGCCCCAAGTGATGCAGGTCTCACAAACCAAGATACACAATCGGGGCGAACAGGGATTTGAACCAATGATCATGATTCTTGCATGCCTTGGGACCCAACTCTGCACATCAAATAACGGCGCCTTAAACGATTGGACCATCGTGCCCCCGTGGATGGACTGTAGAGGACTTCAGTGAACAGCATTGCAAGAGTCAAGTAATAAATCACACTTATCAGGTCTACGTTGGAAGCTCCAGTTCTATGTCACCAGCAGCTGCGGATATCCGACACATTTTAAGCGCCTCACAAATCCTGGGATAGGCTGATAACATGTACAGGAATCACGGTCAACAGTCAGCATGGCCCTGAGATATATGCGAAGTTTTGTTTCTTTGTTATTTAACTCCGCACTCAACAATATTACAGCTATATGACGGCGGTCTGTAAATACTCGCGTCTGGATTAGCCAATACAGTGATTGACATCGTGAGCATAAATCTGTACGCAATTGGGATACGATGGCATGCATCAACCAGGTCAGCGAGCCTGACCACCTGATCCCGTTAGTCGCCTCTTACAACAAGCATAGGTTGCTGAAGACCAATTCTAACCCTGATGTTCACCGGGGACAAGCATGAGTTGTTGAAGACCAACTCTAACCCTGATCTTAGAGGACAAGCATAGGTTGGTCAAGACCAATTCTAACCCGGACCTTCACGAGGGACAAGCATGCGTTGCTCAAGACCAATTCTAACTCGGATCTTGGAGGACAAGCATAGGTTGGTCAAGACCAATTCTAACCCGGACCTTCACGGGTGACAAGCATGGGTTGCTCAAGACCAATTCTAACCCGGACCTTCACGGGGGACAAGCATGCGTTGCTCAAGACCAATGCTAACCCGGACCTTCACGGGGGACAAGCATGGGTTGTTCAAGACCAATTCTAACCCGGACCTTCACGGGGCACAAGCATAGGTTGGTCAAGACCAATTCTAACCCGGACCTTCACGAGGGACAAGCATGCGTTGCTCAAGACCAATTCTAACTCGGATCTTGGAGGACAAGCATAGGTTGGTCAAGACCAATTCTAACCCGGACCTTCACGGGGGACAAGCATGGGTTGCTCAAGACGAATTCTAACCCGGACCTTCACGGGGGACAAGCATGCGTTGCTCAAGACCAATTCTAACCCGGACCTTCACGGGGGACAAACATGGGTTGTTCAAGACCAATTCTAACCCGGACCTTCACGGGGGACAAACATGGGTTGCTCAAGACCAATGCTAACCCGGACCTTCACGGGGGACAAACATGCGTTGCTCAAGACGAATTCTAACCCGGACCTTCGCGGGGGATAAGCAAGGGTTGCTCAAGACGAATTCTAACCCGGACCTTCGCGGGGGATAAGCATGGGTTGCTCAAGACGAATTCTAACCCGGACCTTCACGGGGGACAAGCATGCGTTGCTCAAGACCAATTCTAACCCTGATGTTCACGGGGGACAAGCATGCGTTGCTCAAGACGAATTCTAACCCGGACCTTCACGGGGGATAAATATGCGTTGTTCAAGACCAATTCTAACCCGGACCTTCACGGGGGACAAGCATGCGTTGCTCAAGACCAATTCTAACCCGGACCTTCATGGGGGACAAGCATGCTTTGCTCAAGACCAATTCTAACCCGGACCTTCACGGGGGACAAACATGGGTTGCTCAAGACCAATTCTACCCGGACCTTCACGGGTGATAAGCATGCGTTGCTCAAGACCAATTCTAACCCGGACCTTCACGGTGAAACATGTCGAGAAGATGAAGACTCACAGATCAGAGAGGAAGCCCATAGCAAATGCGCCAACTAGACTTCCGGCGAACAGCGCCATGTTGGAATGCGTGCGGAGGATACGTTTGTCACAGACAATGTTGAACTGTAAATGGAAATGCAAACTCTGATGTTATAGGTGTAACTTATGCTCGTAATAGTTGTACCTACCCTAAAGTGATTTGTCCTAAGTGCATGCTTGCATCATCTAACGAAAGCACCTCTAATAACTACTGCACGCTTGCACTCGTTTACCTAACGGATGTTCCCCTAATAACTACTGCATGCTTGCACGTGGGTACCTAACGGGTGTACCCGTATTAACTACTGCAAGCGTGCACGTGTGTACCTAACGGATGTTCCCCTAATAACTACTGCATGCTTGCACGTGTGTACCTAACGGATGTTCCCCTAATAACACCTGCATTCTTGCACGTGTGTACCTAACGGGTGTACCCGTATTAACTACTGCAAGCGTGCACGTCTGTACCTAACGGATGTTCCCCTAATAACTACTGCATTCTTGCACGTGGGTACCTAACGGGTGTACCCGTATTAACTACTGCAAGCGTGCACGTGTGTACCTAACGGATGTACCCCTAATAACTACTGCATGCTTGCACGTGGGTACCTAACGGATGTTCTCCTTATAACTACTGCGTGCTTGCACGTGTGTACCTAACGGGTGTACCCGTATTAACTACTGCATGCTTGCACGTGGGTACCTAACGGGTGTACCCGTATTAACTACTGCAAGCGTGCACGTGTGTACTTAACGGATGTTCCCCTAATAACTACTGCATGCTTGCACGTGGGTACCTAACGATTGTTCTCCTTATAACTACTGCATGCTTGCACGTGTGTATCTAACGGGTGTACCCCTAATAATTACATTGTACATTGCATCCCTTGTGACTCTTGGATGTCAAATGATCTATTTATGAGAAGAACAGTTAAGTCAATGTAGACAGTCAAGGAATGACATTTAATGTGTACCTCGGTTATGACATTCGTCTGGAAATCTGAAGTGTCGAACACCCATCTGCTGCATGTCTCGGTGTCGTTGCTGGCGGCGCTGTCGTTCATGGGACTCTTGTACAGGAGACACGAGGAAAGTGTGAATTCGCCGCCTTCTTTCACGTAAGGGATTGACGCATTCACAAGTCTCGCGTGACTTTCGCCTTGAATGTTAAACGTATCGTTGGGGGAGATAGCACATCTGCAGGGGAATGACAGAAAAAGGTTTACTTTCTTTAGACCACCATCGGTAGTACCAAAGTACGAAAGCCTATTGGGGTCAAAATTGAAATACGGAAAAGACACGAAAATAAATTCGTTATAACGGAAAAAAGATTCGCTATTACAAAAATAAATTCGTTATTACGAAAAAAGTTTCGTTATAATTGAAATAAGATTCGTTATTACAGAAATAATTTATTTCGTTATTAGGGAATTGGCGTCTTTTCCATATTTCAGTTTTGACCCCAATAGGCTTTCGTACCAAAGAGTACGGAGAAAAGTATCATTACAAATTAATATTAATCAAAACAATCCAACAAACAAGCACTTATTTTCTTATGCAAATCGTGTGAGTGGCGTTTGCTACCGGTCGAGCAGCACATGCTTACCCTTTTCGCGAAAACCTTTCCCAGTGATCCATTTATATAACTGTCACCCCTATTTTGCCTTTTACGCCCAATGAAATCATCGGCAGATAATCGCGACTGATTATTCTCTGGTGCTGACGTTCTACATTAATATGGGACGAAACAAGTGGTTTATCTTGTAGAGGTTTGGGCATGCATAATACTTCTCGGATATATAACAACCAATTGTCTAGCGGGTCTTTGCATCTAAACAAATAATGACATTCGTCTGCAACATCAGGTTAATTACATAATGTACATTGTGGATATTATTTCTTTACACCCTGCCGGGGGGCACGGGTGGCCCAGTCGTCTAAGGCGCCGCGATTCGCTGTGCAGAGTTGCGTCCCCTTGACACGCCAGAAACCTATGATTGTGGGTTCGAATCCTGGTTCGCCCCGATTATGTTTCTAGGTTTGTCAGCACCATACCCGTGCTCGTGGGTTTCACCGAAGTGGTAAACGTCTGAGACCTGCATCACTTCGGGCTTTCCTCCAACATTAAGCTGACACGCCGCGATATAACTCGAATATTGTTAAAAGCGGCGTTAAACCCAACTCACTCACTCACTCACTTTACACCCTGCCAACGCCTGTTGGTCAGCGTGTACTATCATTGAGATTGAATTACCGGGCAAAAGAAAGCATAACTTGAAAATTAGATTTGACCAAAAAAATAACAAAACGTTTCTAGGCTGAAAACAGTCGCCGAAACACTGCAAGGGTCCAATATCATCTATATTGCCCGTATCAAATACGTCACTTTCGAATAACAATTTCGTGGTTGTTGCCATCTTAGCCGCCATCAAACATGGTTGTATTCTTTCTCTTGCTTGGCAGTATATGAGGCTGGTTGTGGAGCTTGTTGGGGTATCCTGTATAGCACTTTCACAACCTTTATCGGGCGGTCGGGTAGCCTCGTCGTTAAAGCTTTCGCTCGCCACGCCGAAGACCCGGGTTCGATTCCCGACATAGGATAGTAACTCTGACAAACGCATGTACCTGTTAACAACTGGAAGATGATATGATACCTCATACAACGTCCTTTTTCATTTATACCACGCGTTATTGTTTCAAATGGTACATCGAACTCTGTGCATAATAATAAGAATTATTTTTGAGTCTTTTTTAAAGCAGAGGCCATTGAAGGTTTCCGACTTATCATAAGCATGGATTTATGAATGTTACTAATAATTAATGATGAGTTAGTGAGTTGGGTTTAACGCCGCTTTTAAAAGTATTCGAGTTACATCACGGCTTAATGTGAGAGGAAAGCCCGAAGTGACACAGGTCTCAGACGTTAAACTTCGGTGAAACCCAGGAGCACAGGTGTGGTGCTGACAAACCTAGAAACATAATCAGGGCGAACCGGGTTTCGAACCCACAATCATAGGTTTCCAGCGTGCCCAAGGGACGCAACTCTGCACAGTGAATCGCGGCGTCCTAGACGACTTGGCCACCCATGCCCCCAATTAATGATGATACCAGCTTACCAAATCGAGAATAGTTAGTTACTTTAGCCACGGCCCAAGTTTAGATTAATTTGTTTGTGGCAGATGAAAATCTTGTACATAATTATTTTGTCATTTTGACGCACTGTAATCGGGAAGATCCACAGTCTCACCCACGGGGGTGTAGTATTACCTTCCTAAATGTTCATATTTTTATGTGCAAATTGTGTGAGTGGCGGGTGCTGCCTGTTGAGCAGGCTGTGATTACCCTTTTTTCGCGAAAATCATTTCAATTGCATGGTATGAACTAATCCGGTCCAACAACTACATAAACAAATGCACCGTGACCAAGATAAAGGCAGTACCTGTGTTTTGGAATATCCAGGATAAAGACAGGAACCATGGTCTGAATAGCTGTAAATATGGCGGGAATACACACGAGGACGTACATGCGCCTTTGGTACGATCCAAATTCCCCCACGTGGATCAGAATATCATCAAACTTCATCCTCAGTGCGTACAGATCTCACTCAAATGACCGTTTTCAACAATTTGACCATGCAATCCTTGCCCACACGAAGATGTGCGAGAGTGCCTTCATTTGAAACGGTTGATTTAGTAGGACGCAATGTTTGTTATCAATCGCAGGGTGTAATGTCCAGTTCACTTCACAGATAACGTTCAAAGCTTCATTAATTGTGTCACACGCCCGCTGTCAATTGAGGTTATTGGGGTCAGTTGTTTTGTGTTATTTGGAATAAACTGAGGTGCGTAGTCCTGCACCATGACTGTGGAATATTTATAGAATAACCCACGAGGTACGAGTGATTACGGAAAATATGTCACGAGTGAAATTAATGTTTTAAGTTCCGAGCTTTAGCGAGGAACTTAAAACATTAATTTCACGAGTGACATATTTTCCGTAATCACTTGTACCGAGTGGGTTATTCTTTTTATTACCCATATTCATAGTAAAGACATGTTTCAAGAAAAAAACAATCAACTGTCGCCGATCAAGAATCAGCTGTTTTGTATCAATCCGCGTGTGAAAAAAAACACCGTCCACTCACTCCAACCGTATTACTCAATTAACGTCTTGTTACGTCTGAAAAAAAATAGTTCTGTTAAAAAACTGTAAAGATCACATTATTGCAGTTATATTTCTGTCCGATTTACACAGCGTACATTATCTAGCATTGATGAGGAAGACAGGTTTCCAAAAAGGTTCATCAGGTTTTTTAATCAAAGCTTGTTTTGACAAGATCTCGTCACTGACAGACAGCCCCCGTCGTGCATCGGCAGATACATGCATTTCACATTGAGAAGTGGAAACACGGAAAACCTGTCAATTTTTTTATGTGTCATTTGACAAAAATGCCAAAATCTATAACAACAACATAGACGGAATGTACAGAAGTCTTGTTTGTTAGAGAAAAGTTACGAAAAGAAGGTAAACTTTGAAAAGTACGATTGCTGTCACAGTGTTGGAATGAATGACCCGACTTGACCCAGATATGAGACAGCCGAAACCAGGAATGACAAGAGAACCGGCGTTACAGTTTAATCCGGACAACAAGTTTAATGAACATCGTGTGTGCTTTGAGACAAGTGTCACTGCTGGGAAACGTGCATGTGGGATTTCAGGAGGATTTCTCAAACGCGGAGTGGACAGTCAGATGACGGGAGTTTGTTGATATTTTGATGTGATTCATAATGGTTGAATACCTGTTGATAGACAAACACGGTATCTGGAGACTTGGTGCTAAACTGTCCGCATTTACGGAGTTTATTTAGTTCCATATCGGACACGGGATCAGCTCGCTGGGGTAAGTTTTCTTTTCCTTGTATTTTTAATTATTTTTGTTTTGATTTCAAAACCTCTCCGAGTTCAGCAAAGTGCATCGATTTCGCAACCAGATGCTGGTAATCATGTCGCTAAGGTAACTCTCTATGCTATCCTTGATGTCCTTCAAAGAAGACAGTTCGAATTCTGAACTGTCTGATGTGCATGCCGAAAGGATAAATTTGCAAATGATAATGTTTAGTTGCACCTTTCCTGTGTCATTCACCCCCATAGTCATATGGTCCCCGGACATCAGTCAGCCTGCATACCGCACATCGCCGTACTTTGCAGACGTCGCGGTTACGAAAAACGTATACATTGTATAAAAAAAGTGTCACGTTATTTCTTCACACAACGTTACGAATTGTACGAAATAGTAGCTTCTTTATGTTGTCTTTCGTAACATGTAAGTCCAAATGTTGTTGCAAAATGAATTTGTTTTTATTCTCATGCCATCGTTGAAAGTGTGAGTAGTCATATTTTTTGTGTTTTTCTTACCTGTATACGCGGCCCCTGTATACATTTGTGAACTAAGTTCATGTCAACATGTCAAGTTGAGTCTTTTTCATGTGTGTTTTCATTTTCATTTGCAGTTATCGATGTCATCATCGTTCACAAAGGCAAACCTGTCTATACAAAGTCCGGTTTTTGGATTCGGGTGGTCGAAGAATTCAACAAACAGCAAGCCCTCTAACACAAACGCAAACCAGGACTTGGTGGTGATGATCTTGGGGCCCGAGAAACAGTTTCTGGCAACATCACAATTTGGATCTTGGAACTTCAATCTGGCCATGTGCAGTTTTGACAACAGAGACATTAAATGTGTTCAGAGGTTGAATTATACGAATAACTTTTCATGTCAGTCAGATCTCCGTCTGCTTTAACGAGGTCATTTACTTTGACAGGTCTCAAATGGCCAGCCATGTTTGTTTACAAACGAGGACGTAGTTTTGGTTTTTACTGTAAAATGAAAATCATGTGAAATAAAGGAAAAAATGATGATGTGAAATCATGTTGTTAATATGAAACTATGTGTCTTGTCTTTCAAATCTCGAATCAGTGAGATTGTAGCACGTAAAACATCTGAAGGGAAAGGCGTGGATTTGTGAATGAATGCAATGAGAAAAAAATAGTTCCGTTGTCCAATGAAAATTGATCTTTGTTCCACTGACCAATCAGCTTCGAGAATCACTAATTGCACACTGTGCAAATCACTCTCCTACCCAGAGTTCCATGCGGCCGGCAGCCAGCTAGCATAGTACCTCTGCCACAGGCCAGCGCCATGTGACGATTCGTCACATCTTTCACCGTCAATTCAAGATATTACATATGCTTTTCATCCGTTTCATGTTTGACAAGTCTACACATTTTCATAAACAAATGACAAAGAATGGTTAACTTTCATTGAGAAAGTATGCAAATACGTAAAAATCTACTTGTTTTTGCGTAGTTATCCTATGTTTACATTGGTTGTACGGCTCCACGTGCTGTCATCGAAGCCCAACGGAGAGCTAGCGACACGGTCACTTTGATGCATAAATATATATTGTCATGCAACTCACTGTCGCAGTTGTAGTAGCATATCTATATAGTTATGCAAAACAATATGTAAAGCGCCCCCAAATACTTGCATTAGTCCGTTCTGTACTGATTTCTGAAAAAGCGCGTTTGTTTACAAACAAGAGAAAAGTCCGGTCACGTGATACGCAAATTAGCCTGTGGCAGTGGTGTTATGCTGAGTCACCACTGCGACGGAGTGTGTGTGCAAATATCAAAAAGTTATTACACTGCATATTTGAGCCCATATGGGTAATAAATTTATTTTATGAAATCAAAAGTGATCTAGATATATATACAAAAGCAAGTCTACCCAGCTCTAGCTATCCCTATTCCACATGAAATCAGCATCAGGAAAATTATTTTTTTTATAGCTGCTTGAACTTGTCCAAACCAATGCCGGTTTTATAGGGCTTGCCCGGAGATACCATGCCACAGTTTTAACATGACTATCCTACTCAGACACAGCATACTAACACCGAGCCCCAGACTCCTTGTGTTATCCCGAACGTAAGGCAGGGTAACAACAAATGCCATCTTTTAACATCTTTTGGGGGGAATATGGTAGTTTATAAATATAGTACCATGACTTTAAAATCATTATGAGTGAGTGAATGTTATTTACAACAAAAGCCAGTAATATGCTTTCTGTATCACACCTGGCAAAAGTTTAAAACAGGATACAAGTGTTGGCTTAAATATTGCAGATATTCCTTCCTTCACTCACCCACTCACTCACTCACTTACTGTATGCACGTATGACACTAATTTTAATGTTAGGAATTCATGAATGTCAACTTCTTCATTACGAGGAACACAACATTTCGGAGTATATTCTTGCTCCTTTTTTCAGGTGAATAAATGCTATGAGGCAGAGGATGTATATACTTCAACATGGAGATGATGCAGTAATACCCATCAATAATCCAAGTGATGGTTTGTTTTTCTTCGTTTTTAGGGGCTGAGAATTTTTTCTTTTGGAAAGAGAGCTGAGATGGTTTCTTTTACAGCACATGTCAAATTCAACCGATGGAAAGAACGTTACAATTTCTTCACTGTTCACTAAAACATAATAACTGTACAGATGTAGGTGATTTTGAAACAGAACAATGAAAATAGCAGCATAATAAAGCATTTGGTAAAATAAAAACTAAAATATCATTTTTTTTACACCACCATGTGTAGCAAAACCCAGTCAATTTGACACGTTTGTATTCACATCTACTGGAGGAATGTACTTTTCAATTACTAAGATGATGTGTATGATGAATAAAGCAGCCTAACTTTTAGTGTGGACTGACGAAAAAAAGAAACGTTACCAAATCGAAAGTTGGACACGTTGGATCCAAACCCCGAATAGTGTTACAAAATGGTTGAGAATCAATAGCCCAGACACAACCAGAACAGTTTGCTGAGTAATGCACGCGCTACATTACCCAGATCAGTGGAACCTGAATTTGAAGTGAAACTTTTGCTGCACTTGCAGCATGCCAGGCTACAAAGATATCGATATAAAAGGAACGATGTACCCCCGAACGTCATGGAGCTTTTGTTCCCCAAAACATTTTTAAAATATTGAAAGTCCACAGTAAAATTCTCCAATCACAAAGATCAGTTTTGCCTCAATTTGGTCAGACTTTTTTATAGGCAAAACGCACCCATTGGGAAAGAATGTTCCAGACAGGTGCAAGAAATCTTTGAAGCCAATATCATTCAGCCCAGTTCTTCTGAATGGCATTCTCCCATTGTCATGGTTAAAAAACGTGATAGCTTTTACCGCTTTGTCGTGTATTATAGACGCCTCAATGTAGTTACCAAACCTATATTTTTCCCTCTACCACCTCTGCCAATATTTTAAGCGTGCTTGATTGTGCTAGTGGCTTTTGACAAATACCACTCCATCCAGATACAAAACACAAGTCGGCCTAAATTACACCCGATGGTGTTTTTGGATGGAATCGCCTCCCTTTTGGCCTAAAAAAAGCTCCTATGGCATTTCTGCAAACCATTTCAGAGGCAATAAAGAAATGAATTGTGTTACATACTAAAATATGTAGATGACATAATATTTTCGAAAACGTTTTTGGAACATTTGAGTCACCTTAAGGCAGTAATCCAAAAGATCAAAGAAGCAGCACTCTCTCGAAAACCAAGCAAATACAAGTTTGCGACAAAACAAGTCACCTACTTAGGGCATATCTTCAGCAAAGATGACATCCATGTCGATATAATTCAAAAGTAGATTCAGTTACACAAATCCCACCCATGTCCAACGTGTGGTTGCGTCACGCGTTGCTCGTGCGTGTAAGGGGAATGAACTTCTAGCAAAGCAGAAGTGCACATTATCATACTCGGCACATACTTATCATATGATAGCGCATCTCATATGCCACAGTTACATATCATGTTTGTTTAATTGCATTTGACAAATATGATGTAACGAATAATCCCTGCCATACATTTACCTGTAATTGGTGAATAATTTTATCTCTGATGTAATCATCTTATATCAGATGATATTCCTAGATATTCGCAAAGAACAACACAGGAAATAAATACCTTCATCATTTCCAACCTTTCCCTATTAACACTTTTATTTAAAAAAGACAGCAAGCTCCAAAAACATTTCAATTACATCTGTATATCTATACATTTGTCAAGCATGTAATAGATAAATCAAATTATTATTTTTTATATACTGCCCCAAATTAGTACCAAAGTTAATTTTTAGTTTTAATTTGAGTACTCGTGTTCTGCAAAATCATAATAGCGTGTGAGTGTAACATAATGTTGTGTCAAAACTGTGATCATAGGTATATACGCGACTAACGGGATCATTGGTCAGGCTCGCTGACTTGGTTGATGCATGTAATCGTATCCCAATTGCGTGGATCGATGCTCATGATGTCAATAACTGGATTGTCTGGTCCAGATTCGATTATTTACAAACCGCCGTCATATAGCTGGAATATTGCTGAGTGAGACCTTAAACAACAAATAAATCATAAGTATACATATGACATAGAACCGCGACAAGGATACCTGTACAAAAATGTATTAGTTAAAAAGACTGCATTGTATTCCGTACATTGATGTACACGCAGCACGTGTATAGTGTCGTGCAATCTAGTGACAACCTGGAGAAACATATGCACCGTAAGAAACAAAGGCAGTACCTGTATAGCGTCGTGCAATCTAGTGTCAACCAGAAGAAACAAATGCACCTTAAGAAACAAAGGCAGTACCTGTGTTTTGGAATATCCAGGATAAAGACAGGAACCATGGTCTGAATAGCTGTAAATATGGCGGGAATACACACGAGGACGTACATGCGCCTTTGGTACGATCCAAACTCTCCCACGTGGATCAGAATATCATCAAACTTCATCCTCAGTGCATACAGTTCTCACTCAAATGACCGTTGTCAACAATTTGATCACGTTCACCTTGTCCAAGCAGAGATACTGGCAATAGTTCAGTGGGTGGCGAGAAGTTGCCTTTAAATAATACATTTCAGCTAGATAACGGACCACGCCACTGATCGCGTCTTTTGATATAGGACCGTCTGTTTGTTATCATGGTCGACCTACGTGTCCAGGTCATGTCACGGATAACGTTCAAGTATTTGAACATTCATTCAAATGACAGACGCGAGCAGTCAGTGGAGGTTATATATCAACCATGAGCCCAGGGGGTCAGTTGTTTGGTATTATTGGGAATGGGCTCGATACAGTACTATGACTAATAACTATAATAATGAGTGAACATTGTTTTTAAAGGGAACTAGGTTCTGACAATTTGGCAGCTCTAGCAAATTTGACCCAAGTACCTAAAACCCCAGTGTATCGGTCTGCTGGTTGAAAGTCCACGATTACCCAATGTACATAGAGACCGGGTCTCGAGTTCCACATGGGTTTCATTACAATGTCTAGTCCTTGGCATAAAATCAGCAACAGGACGTGGAGGAAAGTCCCCCTTTAAATAACATTCTTTCTATTATTACACCAGCAGCTGCATCACGGGGGTCTTTAAACCTGTAATTTGTAAAACTTTAAAATAACCCACATCAATGATGAAATAACACTCGCTCATCACTGATGGCACCTGATTATATATATATATTTCACAAATAAACCAGACATAAATGAATAGTCGTAAAAAAGACAAATTCGATTTGGAGAGTCACAGTCCCCCAAAATGCTAAATATAAGAAAGCCGAGTTTCACCCGTAATTGATAAAAACAACACTTATACCCAAGTGGGAACACACCCTGTCCTATTATCAGACGCTACCGTAAGTGAAGATCGGGGTCATGTCTCATTGCCCTGTCGTGTTTCCCACCAACCTGTCGTTGTTAGATAACATCACACTGGTTGTAGTACACTGTACGGGGGATCATTGTGGATGTCAATATTACAATGCCCCCAGACCGCCTCTGTGGTCTAGTGGCAGAGCGTCCGCCCTGAGAGCGGAAGGTCCGGGGTTCGATCTCCGGCCGCGTCATACCAAAAGACGTTAAAAGATGGTACTTGTTGTTACCCTGTCTGTATACTGTGTCTGAGTGGGGTATTCATGTTAAACTGTGGCATGGTATCACAGTGAACTAGCACTATAAATCGGCATCAGTCCGGACTAGTACACACACACACGTACATGCACGTCGCTATATAAGTGCAATAATCTTGGACGCAACGTTAAACCCCATTTCACCTCACCTCACCTCACCTACAATGCTTCAATATAGACAAAAATGCCATGTTAAACTAGTGTGCTCCGTCGTAAACAGGATATCGGCATTTTGTGTGTGTGGTAGCTTGTACTGAGATACCATGCCTTAGTTCCACATGGATACCCCACTCACACACTGTAGACTGACTCCGAGACGACTTGTCCTTGTTTATCCCCTTAATGCCGAACGTCAGGCAGGGTAGCAGGAAGTATCACCTGTTTTCGTATTTAAGTATGACGCGAACCACCGACCTTCCGCTCTCCCGACCAGGGCCCCGTTCCACAAAGCAATCTTAGCTACGACTGTTGTAAGTCAGTGTTAGAGAATGGGAGTTACGACCGACTTAGCGCTAAGATCGCTTTGTGGAACGGGGCCCAGAGACGTATTTTGATCTATATACGTCCTTGTCCTTACAGACGCTCTATCCACTACTCTAGAGGTGGTACCTTCCGCTCTCCTGCATGACCAGAGACGTATATAGACCTATATACGTCCTTGTCCTTACAGACGCTCTATCCACTACTCTAGAGGTGGTACCTTCCGCTCTCCTGCATGACCAGAGACGTATATAGACCTATATACGTCCTTGACCTTACAGACGCTCTATCCACTACTCTAGAGGTGGTACCTTCCGCTCTCCTGCATGACCAGAGACGTATATAGACCTATATACGTCCTTGTCCTTACAGACGCTCTATCCACTACTCTAGAGGTGGTACCTTCCGCTCTCCTGCATGACCAGAGACGTATATAGACCTATATACGTCCTTGACCTTACAGACGCTCTATCCACTACACTAGAGGCGGTAGGGCCCCGGGAAAGGACTGTGATCACCAGGGATGGTTGTCTTCACCTGTTCTAGAACACCTGGAATCATCACTATTCGATAGGGATTCACAATTAAAGTCAGAATCGTACAATGCTCTGCTTCTAGTAGAGATTTGAATGATTATGGAAAAAGTTTGTTGTCGCTTTTATTTTATCGAAAAAATTAAATTCTCAGTTTGGAAACAGATATTAATTATGTAAATTTTGTATTTCATGTATATCATTTGCGAATCCTCTTAAATACACATTTAGGCAATATATTTTAGTATGATCCTTTTTCGTTAACCTGTTCGTACTGATTGAATACCATTGTGCAGTAGAAATGCAGTGTAGTTTATTTAAAAGGCAAATCTTCTTCCAACTTTTGACGTTTATCGATGAGTATTTTTCTTCATCAATAAAAAAGCACGAGGGAAAGTGAAAATACTTCAATTCAGAAATTCAAAGGTAAATGTCACTCATAGAATTATAAACATGACATAATGAATATATAACAGTGCTGGCATATAAATCCAACAATGCCCTTAGTATTTATTTCACTTCCTCTTGTCAAGGGGGCACGGGGGGCCCTTTCGTCTCAAGCGCCGCGATTCGCTGTGCAGAGTTGCGTCCCCTGGGCACTCCAAAAACCTATGATTGTCGGTTCGAATCCTGGTTCGCCCCGATTATGTTTCTAGGTTTGTCAGCACCATTACCGTGCTCGTGGGTTTCACCGAAGCGGTAAACGTCTGACACATGCATCACTTCGGGCTTTCCTCCTACATTAAGCTGACACGCCGTGATATGACTGGAATACTGTTAAAAGCGACGTTAAACCCAACTCACTCACTCACTCACTCACTCCTCTTGTCAAACTTGTATAACAATAATCACACACATTGTACGTTGGTTTTATTACGCTATCATGGAATAAATACATATACAATATACATTAATATTTCGAAATATGATATACTTCGGATAAGCAGTAAAAAAGATTCTTTGGGCCCTTATACGTTTTGTTAACGTTAAGGGGGAACATGATCAAGTCTAGAATAGACACCCGGTGGTTATCAGCAAAAGCCTAGGTGAGGGTAACAAACAAGAAGCACTGGCCACCCCTCCCTACCATCACAATTCCAGGAAACTCTTGGACAAACAAGATTGTTGACTAGTCTAATGGTTGATGCGTCTTCTCGTTTGGGCGAACACGAACAGATTCTCCATATGGGTAGGGTACAATGTGTGAAGTCTATTCATGGTGACATTGTTATGAAATGGCTGGAATTCTACCCCAAACAGTGTATAACCTGCCCAATTACCAGGGCAAACGTTGACTAAAAACTTGTCTCAGAAATAAAGTCATCTCACTAACATATTCATATGTACAAAATATAAAATATAAATCCAAATAGAGCCCACAACGATTAACTCAGAGCTGAGGCAATCTAGACTTGCGAAATCATTCTAGTTTTGAATTTTGTTCTTAATTTATTCTCAAGGGTCTGGGAGACAGACAAGGACAAACGGTATGGGGTGTCCAGAATGGAGATTTCCCACGTGTGCTGCACATGTCAGCGTGTTACATTCCTCTACAACATAACATAATCTGACAGAACACGTTTGCATACCATATATATGTCGTAACTAAATAAAGGAAAATAAGGAAATGAAACTTTACTTTCAACATGTACCACGTGGCCTTAGTACTAAATAAATGTCTGTCTGTCTAAAAACCGTATTACTGTCGAAAACGACATATCTAAAATTCAACCACACCAAAGCCAAACCCCACTCGAAACAGTGGTAATACCACTTTTAAACATATTCGTCCAAAGGTATTACACGCGATCCTTGGAAATTCACCCCCAGAGCGGCCCATGCTGATTATAATGGTTATTATTATATTGTAAAACAAATCGCCATTTCTAAAATTTGTTTAGGGCTGTAGACTTGAAATTTTCCAGTTTAACACTGGAGATGTCTGATTGCTGGCTGGTTTGGCCCATTGGGTAGTTCGCCTTTCTGCTTGAACTGAAAATAAGGCAACATAGAATCTGTATTTTTTTCCAGCTGAGGAACACATAAATATATTGTGATTGACAATAATATCCAAACGAGCAACACTATACGTGAATGAGTGAGACTGTTTCCTATACGCCACTGTTAGCAGCATACAAATAAAAGCGGCAAACCCCCTCCACAACGACAGGAAATCTCCACGAGAAGCAGAGTCCACTGCACGACCCAGAGCATACCACTAGCGTGTGCTTATGAATCCCCATCCATCAGTGACGACACCAGGTCCCGCACACTCCACAAACACACGCACAGGCAAGTCAACCACCCATCCGATAAAACACGGGAACACACGGCACAAGCAAAAAAGGAATCCACACCGGACACCACTGCCGCCACCAACGCACCAAGTCCGGTCACGGTTAGGACACCAGCCACGGGCTTCAAACTGCAGCAAAGTATAAGTGTCCGTACAGTCTAAGGTACATGAAGCCTAGATGGTAATCATGGATGGGCCGTTCCAATACATTTCGGTTCACCTTTTCTTCATGTTTTTGTTTTCTGTGTGAGTACCTTGAGAACGGAATTTATTTTTGGAGATTGATGAAAAGATGTTATTCCCATTAGTATATTACTATTTGTGGTTGAGATTCTTTATTCCTGCAGCTCCAGCCCTTAGTGTCCACAATTCACAAATTTTGAGGTACAGTCGAGCATGATCTTTCTACCAAGAGCGTCATACGACACTTGCTCAAAGGTTGTTGATCAAGGTTACAACGTTCAAGGCCTCAGGAAAGCTTTCAAACGGTTTTATGGTAAACATCTAGATAATGTCCGATGCAGTTTCCTATTTTGACTTGTACCATATGTTCTCGGTTTTTTTCTTGTGAACAATTGACTTGCCTTTGCATGCGTTTGTGACGGGTGCCATTGGTGGGCAGCATACGCTCAGCTTTTCGCGAACACCTGGTATCATCACTATTTTGTAGTGATTCATAAACACATACTCATGATATAGTCGGAATCGTACAATCGACTCTGCTTTTTGCAGATACGTCGTGTGAATATGGAAAGGGGTTTATCGCTTATATTTACGCACATGGAAAATTGTCGGCTTGTATGACAGATCTATTGCGAAACCAAGGTAACGCATTGGGTAAATTAAATCCAAATCAACTTGAGAAACAATATTTAGTTATCAGGTTGTTACAAAGCGATCATAAGAACTACTTCATACTATATTGCATTTCGATTTTTGATGTAGTAAAGAATACAATATTGGTTTCTTGGTTGTATTTATTCATATATACACTTGTGCAAAATTACCCATAATATTTTAAATGTCTTATCTAAATATTGACTGAATCGTTTACGTTGTATTGGCTAAATATTACTTAAGTTAATAGATTGAGTGAAAACTTATTAAAAATGTAATATGTTTTTAAAAATCAATAAAATGTAAAATACTGGTCAGTTAACTTTTTATTGAGGTGTCGATGCAAATGAACATGCTACATATTCACTTTTGTCATCTTTCATCTATACAAAGTAAACGATTCACTGTCAATGTAAAGATAAGACATTTATAAAATTATTAGTGGTACTGAACCTTTGCGCAGATGTATAAATGAATCGATCTCAGAAGGTATTATCACGAATGCTCGACTCATGCCAACAGTAAGTTATTTTGCCAAATAATCAAAAGCCAAGTAAATTACTAGTCATACAAATTACAATATTCTATTCCTTTTATTCCATTCGATCTATTCCATGATTAACCCTTGTTTAATTTGACTTTTTTTATGAAAAGGGTGTTAGCGGAGGGTTCTACCGGTAGAGCAGGACATGCCTACCCTTTTCGCGAACACCTGGTGTCATCAGTGATTTTCGATGATCCATTCATTTGCATTACTATTTTGCCTTTTACGCCCTATGATATCGGCAGATAAGATAGACTTATTATTCTCTGGTCTTTAATTTTACAATACTCCGCATAGGATCTGTCGAATTTCAACTAAGATCTGAGTTTACTGTTTCGTGTACACCTCACGGTAGGGTCAAATGAATACAATATATTTTTTCAGCTCACTTTCGCATGTTCTTGGCGTCCTCTATGGTTTCAGGAAGTCTCCTTTTCAGCGTCTCTGGCAGGAAAAGTGTCAGCAGACCCGCGACAATGGACAGACCTCCGAACACGATGAGAGGCAGTGCCACCTTCAGGTCACCGCCAACTAGTACGCCCTATAGATTCAAACACGTTAATCTTTAGACTCATTTGGTTGGTTGGTTGTTTATCGCCACACTCAGCAATATTCCAGCTTTATGACGGCGGTCTGTAAATAATCGAATCTGGGCAGCGGGACAATCCAGTGATTAATATCATGAGCATCGATCTACGTATTTGGGATCGATGACATGCATCAACCAAGTCAGCGAGCCAGACCACCCGATCCCGTTAGTCGCCTCTTACGACAAGCATAGTCTCCTTTTACGGCAAGCAAGGGTTGCTGAAGACTTATTCTACCTCGGATCTTCACGGGTCTCATTTTAAATAACGCGTTGTTGATGATGAAACACCACGTTACATGCCAAAACGAAGAGGCGAGATTTACATATCCGAGATTAGTATGCTCGTTAATCAGTTGCCTGCATCTATAATACTACTGTATCGAGGGTATATATAAGCGGATTCATGCAGAGATCTTACCAAATCTGCAATGTAAGGGGAGACCATCCCTCCGATCCTGGCAAAGAAGGAGCTGACCCCCACTCCAGAGTTTCGCACTACAGTAGGGAACAGCTCGGCTGTGTATACGAACACAATGGCGAACGCTCCAGATGCTCCGAACTTACCGACCATGGATAGCGCGACTGTCACCCAGTCTAGTGCTGAAACGAGAACGACTTTGTGATGTGTTTTTGCTGAAACAAACGAAACGAAAATTCGGACCACTCAAAGGATTTTAATCCAGCTAACTGTTGAAAAATGAGGTGAGGTGAGGTGAAATTGGTTTTAAGGTCGCGTCCAAGATTATTGCACTTATATAGCGACGTGCATGCAAGTGTGTGTGTGTGTGGCTGCTTGTACTAGTCCGGACTGATCCTGATTTATAGTGCTAGCCCACTGAGATACCATGCCGTAGTTTAACATGAATACCCCACTCAGACACAGTATACTGACTCCAAGCCGACCAGTCCTTGTTTTAGCCCCTTAATGCCGAACGCCAGACAGGGTAACAACAAGTACCATCTTTGAACGTCTTTTGGTATGACGCGGCCGGGGATCGAAGCCCGGACCTTCCGCTCTCCGGGCGGACGCTCTACCACTAGACCACAGAAGCGGTCGTTGAAATATGAGAAATAAGCTCTTTGAACTCACACGAGTTTCCATAAATGACCGGGAACATTGTAGTGACACAGGCAATTCCGCCAAGGAGCATACAGCCACACTGAAGGAACTTCCTGCCGAGACGGTTCAGGAGTGTAACACACATGATGTACGACGCAAGCTCCACGATGTTGGCGATGGTGAAGTTGACGTAGATGTCTCCGCTCAAATTTTGAACGTTCAGGCCGAGTCCGTAGTAAACCACACTGGCCACAAACCTGGGATAATGAAAATGATTTTACAGATCTAACCTCTTGTGGGTGAGTGAGTGATATTGTGAAGGGAATATTTTATTACCAGTAACTCTGCTAGCTGCGAGGTACCCCAGCAGGATCTGTTTCGGCAGAAGATCTAGGAAGGTTATTCTCTTGCGTTGACAATTTATATTTACACAAGGTTGGCAAGCGTAGTCCCGAATAATAGTGAGTGAGTGAGTATGGTTTTACGCCGCTTTTAGCAATATTCAAGCAATATCACGGTGGGGGGGCACCAGAAATGGGCTTCACATATTGTACCCATGTCGGGAATCGAACCCGGGTCTTCGGCGTGACGAGCAAACGCTTTATCCACTAGGCTCCCCCCCCCCCCCCCCCCCCCCCCCCCCCCCAAATATTAAAAAGCAGAAGTATAATTATCCACGTGAGTAAAGATGTGGTAGACATACATATACTCCGTCAGGGAGATAATTCTTTTTCGCTACTTCATCCCTCTCCGATGGTAGGGCCACTATAAGAACCTTCACATATTGGCCGAGGCAATGGCCAAATCCAAATCCAAATATTGAACATTGCAAAGAACGGTACATGAGTTGAACCCCACTACAATCTAACCCTGATGTCATTACCTTTTCAACAAACAAATTTGGCTTTTTCCAATGTTGCTGCTATGGCTGAATATTGATGATCGGATTTAAATCTTTAATGGAAATTCAGTTGTCATCGCATGTGAAGTTTCAGCTTCAATGGTCTCAAGGCTTCTGAGAAGAATATGTTTTCAGATGACGCCGGACGCCGGACAAGCAGGCCTTGGCATTAGCTTACTTGATCTTCAGTCAGTGACGTAATATACCCATTACTTATGTTTGGGCTATTTTGTCCAGTTCTTCAGTCAAACATTTTCTTGTGGAGCCTATTAATCCCATAAATATGTAGGGTTATGTGGGGTTATGTAGGGTTATGTGGGGTTATGTAGGGTTATGTGGGGTGATGTAGGGTTATGTAGGGTTAGACTTTGAGGAGTTGTAATCAACGTCTCACCAGTTGTAGAAGATGATGAGTGTGATGAACAGCAGGTACGGCGTCGTGAACATCTGCGTCACCCTCACGGACTTCTCCTGGTCGTCCACTGTTACCTTCTCCAAAACTCCTTCTGGTAGTTTCACGCCATTGACTGAAGCCACTTTCTGTATGATTGCTTGGGCTTCCGGTATGCGACCACGTGATATCAGCCATCGTGGAGACTCGGGAACTATCCTGGAACAACGTGTCATGTATGAAGAAGAACATGAACAAGTTGGTGTATGTACACTTGTACATCCGTTATAAATAATACCGCATCAGAATAACCATTATACTGCTTGTCAACCAAGGGATTTATGTCAAGCTGTCTGCCGCTTTACACTAGAGTTTACGCAAATATCCCATCAATATCAGGGCAAACTGTAGATAATCAAGTCTGGGTCAGTCAAACAGGTGGTTGACATTATGAGGAACTCCCCACACCGTCCGTGTAAGATGATAATGAAGCTACCGAACCTAACGACACGATCGAAATTATTCACGTTTTAACAGCAACAGATTGCTTGGGGCGTACGTCTGGTCTTCCCACTGCACCCATGTAGGGGTCCAAAATACCCGTGAAGATCCGGGTTAGAATAGGTCTTCAGCAACCTATGCTTGCCGTAAAAGGCGACTATGCTTGCCGTAAAAGGCGACTATGCTTGTCGTAAAAGGCGACTATGCTTGCCGTAAAAGGCGACTATGCTTGCCGTAAAAGGCGACTATGCTTGTCGTAAGAGGCCACTAACGGGATCGGGTGCTCAGGCTCGCTGACTTGGTTGATACATGCCATCGATCCGAACTGCGTAGATCGATGTTCATAATGTCAATCACTGGATTGTCTGGTCCAGATTCGATTATTTTCAGACTGCCGTCATATAGCTGGAATATTGCTGCGTGCGGCGTTAAACAACAAAACCAACAAAAAAGGTGTCCAAAATCCTTCAGAAGTAACTGTTCTATAAATTAATCCCTTTCGATTATTTTTACATGGCTAATTGTAGCGTGAGCATGAATTCAGAAATACCAGTTCGGAGAACTTACCAGTAAAAGAGGAAGTAGAGGGTTGTTGGAGCAGCGGCGATCAGCTGTAGGGTTTGCCAGTGTCGGACAAAGTAGGCGATAAGACCCAAGGTAAACAGCCCCATGCACCAGTATATCTCTATGACAATTCCGACGAACACTCTCTTCGATGGTCCTGTTAGCTCCATGGCTTGAAGAATAAGAACAAGAACATGTTTTTATTATTTTCTTCATTGAAAAAGACTGAGTTTTTTTCAGTTTTTGAGAACAGTGATATTTTCATTGCAGTGAACATATCACTTTGACGGTGTTGTCCTACAAGAGTTACTTCCCCGCAGATTGTCTCCCTTTATCGTAGGTGTCTGGCCCGTACACAAACTGTTGACTTCCTTTTTACGTTAGTTCCACATTTACAAGGAAAGATAACGACAGATGGTATTATCTGGAGTTAATATCTCTTCATGCCGTTTGTTATTCTCTTGAAAATTTTTTGTTATAAACTGTAAATTTCTCATTTAACTTGTCAATTCGTTTCGCAAAGCGCCATTTTGTTACTTGAACAGCGTGTATTCCATCGCTTCCAACAGCGGTCTCGTAGCTTTCAAGAATATCATTTCATGATGGTTTTGTATATTATCATATCCAAATGTATGGTAATGAAATATAGTGACCTCAAAATTTTTCTATTACTTTCGTTTATATTTTTTTAAGATTTTGCAAACTCATGATGTCAATCACTGGATTGTCTGGTCCAGACTCGGTTATTTACACACTGTCGTCATATAGCTTAAATATTGCTGAGTGCGGCGTTAGACAACAACAATATCTGCTATGTATACTGCTGTATTGAAGTAGTGAGTGAGTGAGTATGGTTTTACGCCGCTTTTAGCAATATTCCAGCAATATCACGGCGGGGGACACCAGAAATGGGCTTCACACATTGTACCCATGTCGGGATTCGAACCCGGGTCTTTGGCGTGACGAGCGAACGCTTTAACCACTAGGCTACCCGACCGCCCTGTATTGAAGTAACTAGACAGGACTATAATACTTACCCAGGACAAACGCACAGGTGAAGGAAGCTATCCTGCACATGTTTCCCAGCGCTCTAAACACCATAAACGCATACACGTTCGGGGCGAAGGCAGTACCGATACCAAGAACAGCCTCCATAATTAAATTGAATAAAAACAGAGGGCGGCGACCGAATCTGTAAAGAAACATAAATAGAACAAAAATATTAGCTGAATTAAAACACTGAAGGACTCGTCCGGTGATGGCTGGGATGAAACAAACAAGAAGTGGTTATTTGATGGTGATGTGTTTCATACCGATATCATAGTTGTGTTTGGACCTTAAGTTTGCAGTGTTGCGGCCACTGCTTTCAGCCTAGTAAAGTTTTCATAACCTTAAGTTTGTAATTATTTCCAGTTTTCCAAGTGAATGCTTTCTTTTGCCCGTTAGTTTACTCTCATGGACTGGCTTCATATATCCGTATTTACAAATACGTTCTTACATCTGTGGACTTACCATCTTCCCGGGGCAAGGGAGGTAACTGACGATAAAAGTCCAGTTTCCGAGCTTGCTGAACTAGGCTGGAATTATGAAGTAATTATTTGGCTGGACTAACGAGTCTGTGCAGATTTCGGTCGATTGCAGGATTTGCAAATCATGTGTTCCATCAACTTAGCGTCAACAGATATTTTCTAAACCTTTTCATGTTTTTAATCGAGGTGCTCACGTGATTTGATGCAATTTGCCAAGTAAGACCCGTTTTATTCGATGAAGGTCTTGATTATCGCCATTTTGTTTGAAAGAAATGCAGTGATATCAGTGTTGGAATCTGATTGTTGGGACATGAAGGGGACAAAACTCGCACCAGCCACTGGTGGCGCTTGGACCGAATTCCAGCCTAGTTCGACAAGGGTGGAAACTGGATTTTTATAGTCAGTTATCTCCCTTGCCTCGGGAAGCCGTGGACTTGCATAAGAAGCATGCTTTGGTATTCATCCACCAACTAAGTCATACCGTTCGAATATGCCTATTTACGATGAGCACTTGCATGAGTGAGTGACTGAATTGAAGTTCCTTGTCACAATTATCAATATTCCAGCTATATCACGGCGATCTACAAGCAATCAACTCGTCGTGAGAACAAACCCAGCATGATCAACAACTTTCGACGACACACAATAAGCCATAGTCTGTCTTACAGACCCTGATACAAATATATCAAATACAGCCCATGCAAGTCTATAATGTTTGGCAAGTCTAGATCACTGCAGTATTTTACTATGTTTTTATTAAGATAACTGAAGAACTGTTTTTTTCTGAACGATATGTTCATTTCAGAGACTAGATGTTAGTCTAAATCAGCCAGGTAGCACAATTTGTTTGTTGGTTTGTTGTTTAACGCCGCACTCAGCAATATTCCAGCTATATGACGGCGGTCTGTAAATAACCTAGTCTGGCCCAGACAATCAAGTGATTGACATCATGAGCATCGATCTACGAAATTGGGATACAATGACACGCATCAACCAAGTTAGTGAGTCTGACCACCCGATCCCGTTAGTGGCCTCCTACGACAAGCATAGCCGCCTTTTACGGCAAGCATGGGTTGCTGAAGACCTATTCCACCCCGGATCTTCACGGGTCTCGTAACAACCCGATCATCATGTCATTCGACACTTCAGTATTGTTTTCAAGCACCAGTTTTCACATGACAATTATATGATACAGAAATAACGGGCATCGTTGGTCTCGTGCTGTGATTTTGTGTATTGTCATGTCAAAATACCATTATTTACAGAGGTGATATTGGTAGAATATATTTTCGACCACAGCTTCATATTTTGCTTAATTTGTTTTTAAGACCAGATTCAGCAATATTACAACTAGATGACAGCGACCTGTAAATAATGGAGTCTGCAGCTTCAACAGCACTAACTCCCTCACAAGTCTACAAAACTCACATGTCTGACAGAAGTCCCATGAGAAACGCCCCCACCAGTTGTCCAGCGAAGCCCGCCATGTTTGTATGGGACCGCAGAGCACGGTCTTCACACACTATGTTGAACTGATTGGGTAAAGAATGGTACATGTTTGTTTGTTTGTTGTTTAACGCCGCACTCAGCACTATTCCAGCTATATGACGACGGTCTGTGAAATAATCGAGTCTGGACCAGACAATCCAGTGATTGACATCATGAGCATCAATCCACGCAATTGGGATTGATGACATGTATCAACCAAGTCAGCGAGCCTGACCACCCGATCCCGTTAGTCGCCTTTTAAGACTAGCATAGTCGCCTTTTACGGCAAGTATTGGTTGCTGAAGACCTATTCTACCCCGGAATCTTCACGGGTAAATACTAGAGGGACGGATATAGTTGAAATAAGTCTATATATGACACCTCACTCATGAAAGCTTTTTTTCTGCAAATTTTATTCTACCATGACATTTTAGCATCCTGCATTCTGATTGGTCCGCCAGCGGTGTCAAATGTATGTTGGATCATCTTTTTGCCTAATCGAGAAAAACAAAATATTTAGAAGCACTTCTTTCACATAATTGTACATTCTGACCCTACGTCATAAACGTTGCTAATACTGTTCTTCTTTTCCTAGGTCACACAAAGAAAATGTTGTAATATATTTCATTTGGGGAAATCCCGATGAACAACGACTGAGAGTGTATTGTCTAATTCAGAATCATCAGTAAGGCTAGTACTGTGACGTCATATAGTTTGGACATCCTGTCTGTAAAACACAATGACGTCGTAATATTTGTGTATACTTTGGAACTAAACGTTGCAAGGTTAGCTTCATTTTCTCTGTGGATGACAGTTGTAATAATGCTTACAGACTATCAATGTGTCTTTCAGCGAACACCTGATGTTCGTCACTGATGTTTTCAGTGCTCCATATTTACATGTTTTACGCAGCTGTTTTGCCACTTGTGCCAGTGGAATCTGTTTCGTCGGTTCATGGAGACTGGTAATTTTATGATGTTGACGATGTACAATGTATATTGTATTGGAATGGTTCAGGTCTTTTCGTGAAAATTATGTTTTTGGTATATGCATGCAAACATATCTGCGGATCGAAATCAATCTTCACTTATTCCGAAACGAGCCAATTCAACGTAATGAAATATTAGACCAAACCGAGTCCACATGATTCCTCTTTTACCAAAGAGTTCGCTTTTGTTTTGTCATTACGTTATGGTTGTCTGGAGATAAACCATCTCTCTTTTCAATTTAATTCCGAATTCGATACATGTCCATTTTTCCAATTCGAAACTTCACGCTATCGCGTTCGGTTTAGACCGGAATTTACATGTATCAAATCTACGCGTGAAAGCCACTAATTGAAAACAATTTATCTACTAAATAAATATGTTATGTAACGCCTACGTGTATGATTTCTGTTAATATACATATTCCTTTAAATGTTAACGTATGTGTAAGAACGCATAACTCATGTCCAGCAGAATGTCATGTATTCCTAAAATGTCTCTAACATCTCATTAGTTTCTTCCAGTCAGGCTCTTTCAGTAAGGCATTTGACGTCATTACCGCAGCTAAACAATGACTCGTGAGTATGTTGCTGCCATTTACGTTCACGAGAAAGAGATAAGAGAAAGAATACCCCTTATTGAATGAGCGAGTGTCGGTTAAGGAGCCACCGCCTCCGTGGTGTATCGGATAGAGCGCTGCTCAGAGAGCAGAAGGTCAGTGTTTCGATCCGTTGGGGGCGTCTTACCGAAAATATATTCTATGATTGTACTTTTGTTACCCTTCGCAAGAACTGGTCGGCTCGGAGTCAGCATAATGTATCTGAGTGAGGTATCCATTTAAAATTGTGGGTGGTATCTCAGTAGTCTCGAACTAAACTAATGTCCAAAAGAAACGATACCACGTGTTTAAAAAGGACATTACAAAAACAAATAAACGATACAGACATTTGAAATTGGTATATGACTTGTGAGTAATGTTTTCACAGCACGTGTACAAACATTCATTGTAATCAATCCTTTACAATCATGAGGACAGACATGTAAAGACGCGGGGGGTCCAAAATGAAAATTTCATTTGAACACAGTTGATGAGTCAAGTGTGGAAAATATCACAACACACGTCTCAAAGTCACGTTAGTACCGGGTATGTCCACCGTGAGCGTCAATACACGCTAGTACACGCCTACGGGCTGATGACGCCAGTTGGCGGGGGGGGGGGGGGGGGGGGGGGGGCTCGGTTGCGTTGCCATTCATGGAGGAAGCATTGTTCCAATTCCTGGAGGCTAACTGGAGGCACAGGGCGATTCCTGACTTTGCGGCCGAAAATGTCCCACATGTGTTCGATTGGGTTCATGTCCGGTGAACAAGCCGGCCATGGTAAAACGTGAATGTTGGCGTTTGCTAGGAGGTTCTGGGTCAGCCTTTCCGTGTGAGGCCTCGCATTATCGTGCTGGAAAATGATACCATTTGGCTGTTGTTGGATGAATGGCACCACAACTGGTTGTAAGATGTCATCACGATAACGCTGCGCATTCAGGTTTCCTCGAATAACGACGAGTCTCGTTTTGACGTCACCGCAGATTCCACCCCAAACCATTAAACCTCCGCCTCCATATGGCCTGACTTGATGGATGCAGTTCGGTGCCAAACGTTCACCTACTCTTCGGTACACACGCTGCCGGCCGTCGTTCCTGAAGATGCAAAATCTGCTTTCGTCAGAAAACATGACACTTGCCCAGTTCCACCGTTGCCACCGTCGAAGTCGCCTGGCCCATATCCGTCTGTTGAGTCGGTGTTGAGGTGTCAGGATCGCTCCGCGGTAGGGGCGAAGTGCTCGGATACCATGTGCCCACAGTCTCCTGTACACGGTTTGTCGACTTATCACGTGTCCCAGTGCCGTCCGTGCCGTTAACGTCGCCGTTACGAAGCGGTTCCGAAGGTGAAGTACCCGGATGTGGCGGTCTTCAATAGGCGTGGTCACCCGGTTCTCGGCCTGTCTGCTGTCCGAACTGTTTGACGCAACCGCTGCATTAACCTGGTGACGGTTATGCGCGCGCATCCTAACCTTCTGGCGACGTCGCGGTGCGTAGCTCCCTGTTGGAGCATTCTTACGGCTCTCTCTCTCAATCGCTGTCAAACGTGGCATTTCTTTTGTGTGCTTTTTGTTGCTGTGATCCCAACGTGTCGGGTCAGCAGTTTTATACAGAAGATATGCACGTGCATTCCGTGTTACGGGACGGAACGTCATTTTGGCAAATAGCACGCTTTTTTCTCAATTGATCAAATGTTCCCGGTTTTATCGACCGAAAACGTTTGGTTTGGAACGTAGGATACGCAAAAGTACCTTTTCAGACGAAAATTAACTCTTCATAATAGCATATTTAGAAAAATTTGTGGTATCGTTTCTTTTGGACATTAGTTTATATAATCGGCGTGGGTCCAGGCTAGTACAACAGCTACACACACACAGACACACACATACACACACATACACACATGATTCGCCTAATGAACCCAACTCTGGCAAAGGCATTGGCATTTTCTTCAATGACGTGTGTGCCCAACCATGGCACTTTTTAAGATATGCTTTTGAGGGTTCATATCATGGCAAAGGGATGTTTGTTTGTTTGTTTGTTTGTTGTTTAACGCCGCACTCAGCAATATTCCAGCCATATGACGGCGGTCTGTAAATAATCGAGTCTGGACCAGACAATCCAGTGATTGACATCATGAGCATCGATCCACACAATTGGGATACGATGAAATGTATAGATTACATAGTCGCCTCTTACGACAAGCATAGTCGCGTTTTACGGCAAGCATGGGATGCTGAAGTCTTATCCTTCCCCGGATCTTCACGGGTTGGCAAAGGGGTAATTACATCCCTGATGATTAATGCCACAAGATGCAAGGAACTGATTCACAACGGTTGTACCGAGAAACTAAATGTGCGCAATATCCCAAAACCAGATACTGATCCCTTTTGCTGCTCACATTAAGAAATGTCATCCAACATCTGATGACATCGCTGCACAAAATTAACAAAAGTTAGCACAATGAACAGATTACTTTATCTTGGAAGGAGCAAGAACTAGCCTCAAAATAATGTGTGCAGAGAGTATATAGCCTTGAATGCATATGTTCTTGGGTCTCTGTGGGCACGGGTGGCGCAGTCGTCTAAGGCGCCGAAATTCGCTGTGCAGAGTTGCGTCCCTTAGGCCCGCCAAAAACCTATGTTAGGGGGTTCGAATCCCGCTTTGCCCCGATTATGTTTCTTGTTTTGTCAGCACCATACCTGTGCTGGTGGGTTTCACGGACGTGGTAAACGTCTTACACCTGCTTCGGGCTTTCCTCCCACATTAAGCTGACATGCCGTGATATAACTGGAATATTGTTAAAAACGGCATTAAACCCAACTCACTCACAAGTTTTAATTGTTATGGCTTCAACTTCTACGAGGCATGGAAATAGTCTGCTCTGTAACTCTTGAGTCTCTATCAATTTCTCTATCATTTATTATTGATAGACAACATATAAGGCACGTAAAAACCAGTGAGACGACAGAATATACGAAAAACACCGTAACTCTACCTCTTCCGTCAGCGTTGATTCATACGTGGAGCGATCAAACACCCATGAGCTGCACGGAGTTGTCGAGTTGTTGGAGTGGCTGCCGTTTTGAGGGTGCTGGTATATTTGGCAGGAGGAGAGCACCTGTTTGTCTCTGTCGGCCTCCCAGGGGATGGACATGTTGAATAGGTAAGAGTGATGCGCATCCTGCACCTGATAGGTGTCATTCGGTCCCAGCGAGCACCTGTATAAGTATAAAACTGTATATGAGGTGATCCGTTTGCTATTGGAAACTCTTGAAACGACTCTTCCATACAGATTCCCAGTCAGCAATACTCTATTCATATCAAATCGGCCTCGATATCTGCGTACGACAAGCTTCTAGGGCCCCGTTCCACAAAGCCATCTTAGCGCTAAGGTGATCGTAAGTCCCATGCTTTAACACTGGCTTACGTGGTCGTAACGCTAAGATCGCTTTGTGGAACGGTGCCCTGATTGCGATCTGTAAATTAAAAGCCACAAAATAAATTCCATAATAATAATAAATTCATAAGAGTCCATTGTAAGATTCGGATGTCATGAGCATGTGTCAATCACTGTCAATTCACTAACACTGTTTCCTTTGTGTTGAGGTTTTGCTGACATTTTTAGTTTTTGAATTTATAAAAAAGTGAGCTTAAGTTTTGTGGGAAAATTTAATATTCATTTCCCAAGCATTTAAATCCAGATTTGTATTGAGTTATTGTGATATAAGTGGTGATACAAAGATAGGGCTACCTGCTGACCTCTCTCCGTTCGCTATAATTATATATGATGAATAGTGATGCTTGTTCACTTACATGAAGGAAAATTACCGCTACCCTACTACTTGTGTTAGAGGCAGGTCAAAGTCGGAACGTTATGGTAATTGACAGAACGATGTTGGACATTACGTGGACAGGCAGCGCATGATCTCGAATTCATTAATAGAATATACGCCTCATGCAGGGGTGGTTGTATATCTGATGTCGAAATTTACAATAGACACTCAATAAGCATTCCATGTATAAATCACGGGCAGTGTGTTGCTGTTCTTGTAACAATGCATTTTGTCGCCACCAGCAGGGCGTCAAATAATAATATATTGTCTCCCTTTATCGTAAGTGTCAAGTTCGTACACAAACCCTTGACGGGTTTTTTCCACATTGGCAAGGCAAAATATTGGCAGATGGTCATTTCTGGAGTTAATATCACTTCTTGACGTGTTTTTTTTTTATCTCTCGAAAACGTTTCGTTATAAACTGTAAATTTATCATTTTACTCATCAATCGAGACAAAGCGCCATTTTTGTTACTTGACCATAATGTATTCTTTCGCTTCCAACATCGGTCTTCTAGTTTTCAAGAATATTTTTTGTTAAAGTTGATTTTGTATAAAATCATATCTAAATGTATGATAATGAATTTATTTTCGTGACCCTAAATATTTTTTGATAATTTTGTTTACATTGTTTAAGATTATGCAAACACGGAACTACTTTTTAAGTCGCAAATACAATGGGTGATGAACCATACCTGCGTGTTCGGTTGGGAGAATCTACGTTTCAAGATTTTACATTTGTAGTGAAATAATTTAATTTTCCGGTAGACACCTACACAAAAAGTATATAATTTCAATCGAGACATGAAATATCCTCTATATGTTTCACAATAAGGCTGTTCTATCATAACGTCATTTCTGGAGATTCGAACATGAGCTCGCAGCTTGATGGCGTCGTATATTGGACGACGCTGTTTTTGAGAGGGGAGTGCCTACAGTGAGAATTGTTCCCCATAGATGTAGTTGGGCAACGCATAAAAATGCGATGGCCGAACCATCGCATCCAAAAGCGGGAGAGATGTGACAATCGGTATTAGGAGAAAAGGTACAGGTAATCGACGTGAGGGTTGTGAGAATATGCGGGAAATACCCACCTGTGCATAAAATCGACCTGTCTGACATTGCCATGGTCGGATTCTAATGAGGGTGTCGTTATTAAAATACGAGAAAATATTTTTAAAGCTTGTACATTTTATCATCATCCTTAAAGAGGCTGTACATAATGTTGATATCTCATATAAGAAATAAACGACTCGTGGTCGTAGTTTAGCGTATAATAAAACCCTACGTCCATGGTTTATTCTCCCTGCAGAGTTTTATTGTACGATAAATAACGCCCATTCGTCGTTTATTTATTTTTCTTATAATTTCTTGTACGCCCACTGTTTTTGGAATAAAAGTGCTTAATACATACCTGTGGCTGGGTATATCCAACTGAAATATAACTGAAAGAGATTGCAAGGCACTCAGCATGGATGGTATGCACACTAAAAAGTACAATCTCTTTTGATACCAGCCAAATTCTCCAAGATGCACGAGGACATCGTCGAACTTCATATTTTCTTCAGTGACAATGAAACCCTCCCTGTTTTGACACTAACAGGTCTGATGTGATCAGTGACGACGCTAACGAGGCGTAGGAGAGACCGCCTCTCCCTGTAGCCGCATATGTTAAAGGTAATAAATATGCATGTTCATGACAAGAAATATCGTGATTTCGAATATTCATTTTCTTATATTATTTTTTATGGCACGTGGCCTATCGCCCCACAGTACAAACTGTTAATGTGTAACAGCTATCATACACTACACAATATTTAGTTCCTTAATTTGCATGAAAAGCATAACGTACGTAATCCCAGTTCCAATATTTTGTGATAACAGAATTGTATAAAGACATTTGTCAAAAACCTTTATGGTAGACAATTCCAATTTTGACGCATCAGTGACAAGAATGATTTTTCTACTTTAACTTGTACCATATGTTCCCGTGTTTTTTTTCAGAGGAGCAATTGACTTGCCTTTGCATGTATTTGTGACGGGTGCCACCGATGTGACAGGATACGCTTACCTTTTCGCGAACACCTTGAATCATCACTATTTGATAGTGATTCATAAATACATGCTCGTCATATTATCGGAATCGTACAATTGACTCTGCTTTTGGCAGAGATTTCTTATAAAAAATGGAAATAATTTTGTCGCGTTTATTTATTATCATATCACCACTAAGTTGCCTTTAAGACCAATGCAATCTGTTTCGGAAGATAATTGAGACTTATCTTCCCTCATGTTGATGTTTTATATTTACTTGAACTGGGTAATGTTTCTGCTGGAGGACTGATGCGCCCGCGTCCACACACACAGAATCAATCTCTACTCTTGCATGCAGCAGTAGTAATTCAAACTTAATATATGGTTTTAGTTTCAACAAAATCAGTAAACGCACTACCGTGTCATTGGACCGTCTGTTGGGACTTGATAGTTCACAGGCTACCGTTGTTGTATGGCAGGTGTGCTGCTGTGAAGCGCTAGGAACAAACAAACACTTATTTTTCAAGCAAATTGTGTGAGTGGTGGGTTCTACTGTAGAGCGGGTAATGATTACCCTTTTTCCGAACACTTGTGTCATCAATGGTTTTCAGCAATCCATTCATATAAATTTCACCTGTATTTTGCCGCTTGCGCGAAACGGAATCTGTTTCGGCAGAGTCGAGACTGATTAATCTCTGGCGTTGGCGTTTCATAAATAGAGTAGGGTAAATATAATAGTTATCGGGAACATACATTTTTGCTACACACAAGTAAGAAATGATATTCATTTTCAATGTATCCACAGGAGCACATTGCAAAGGTTCTACGGTCTCTTGCATTTGCACATTTACAAATCTACCAGTTTCTATAATAAATTGGTGTGAACAAATTTGTTGATGCAACCAATATGTCTTTCTACACCAAATATCAGTTTAAATATAATAGCGAGGCATGATTATCCTGTATTACACTGGTCTCTAGCAATGATCGTGAGTTTGGTTTAACGCGCTTTGCTCTGTCCTCGTCATGATCTATATGTTAAAGTAAACTATACTACACAATGTGCAATATATACCACAAAAGTTCCTGTGACATTGAATAAGATTTAATGCAAAGTTATGTTTTTAACCAAATCTGAAACAATTTCGGTTTGCAACAGATAAAAGACTCCTATAAGTGTTCAAATGGTTTAATTTGCCCTACTGACTTCAGAAAATGCGTGATTTCATAAAAAAAACAACACATGAACATGCCAAAATGTCAATTTACAAATCAATACCGTGTGTGTCCACCTCTGGTTGCGATGCAAGCAACACATTTTCGTCTCATGGAATGGACCAGGCGTCGCACAAAGTCCTGATGGATATCTCTCCATATCTGCTGGAGCATGTTTTGAAGTTCCGGGAGTGTCTGTGGAACACGTGGTTGACGTCGAAGGCGCCGATCCATCTCAACCCACATGTGCTCGATTGGTGAGAGATCAGGGGAGTGAGCCGGCCAGGGGATGACATTCACGTTGTTTTGTTGAAGAGAATCCTGAACAAGTCGAGCAATATGAGGCCGGGCGTTGTCATGTTGAAAGGTAATGCCTGGGCCATGACGCCGCAAAAACGGTAGAACAACAGCGCCGATGATCTTGTCGCGGTAGCGCTGTCCATTGATATTTCCCTCTACCAGTATCAAACGGGTCCTCTGTCTTGTTGTAATCTCACCCCATACCATAACGCTGCCGCCCCCGAACCGATCTTCTTCCATGACACAATGATTGACGTAACGTTCACCTCTACGTCGGTACACTCGAATCCGTCCATCGCTGTGGCTGAGGTGAAAACGAGACTCGTCAGTGAATAGAACTTGTCCCCATCGCATGGCCGTCCAGCGTAGACGCTGTCTGCAGCACTGTAGACGTGCTTGACGATGGTTTCCTGTCAAAATGGGACGTCTGGTGGGTCTTCTGGTGACAATCCCTGTACATCTGAGGCGGCGACGTACGGTTTGTGAAGATATTCGTCGAAGGCCGGGGATGCGTCTTGCAGTCACTGTTGCTGGCTGGAATCGATTTCGTAGGTGTGTTGTTCGAATCCAGCTGTCTTGTCGATTATTGGTTACGCGTGGCCTGCCACTCCGAGGATGGTCTCTGATTGCATTCGTCTGTTGCCACCATAAACACCAAATGTTGTTTCTGAGGACGTTAAATTGTCTTGCAACATCACGTTGACTCGATCCTGCTTCAAGCATACCAATGGCTCGCAGACGCTCATTTTCGGACAGGCGTGGCATTTCGTAATGTTGAATAATTGCGTAATTTTGTTGTTTTTCTGAGTGGTTGTCAGCACGATGCTAAACAATGCATATGGAACCCCGTTAACACACATGTTTTTATACCTATTCTTGGGTAGTGAAATACATGGGGCTTGCATAAAAGTAAAAATTGCGTTTTTGTGCCTTGATACCATACATGTACTACAATATTGAAAACCAAACTTTACTTTACACTATAATATTGGTGTCACAGGAACTTTTGTTATTGAGTATATTATAATTTATTTTCATTAAACATGTCCATCGTTCATTTAACATATACTATTTCCTTGTGGATCTATTGTTTGTGGTTGCATCTGAGAAGTGTGTGAGGCTAGATACTGATATACAGTTCATATGCAATGTCAAAATTGGTTGGTTGGTTTGTTGTTTAACGCCACACACAGCAATATTCCAGTTATATGACGGCGGTCTGTAAATAGTCGAGTCTGGACCAGACATTCCAGTGATTCATATCATGAGCATCGATCCACGCAATTAGAGATCAATGACATGCATTAACTAAGTCAGCGAGCCTAACCACCCGATCCCGTTAGTCGCCTCTTACGACAAGCATAGTCATCATTTACGGCAAGCATGGGTTGCTGAAGACCTATTCTACCCCGGATCTTCTCGGGTCACAATGGCAAAGTCAAACTGACAGTTGTTAGTTATCGTAATACTTTTTACAGAAGTGAACAGAAGTATAAGTTTTTATGGAATACGTTGCACGTGCCCCTTCCAAAAGAACAGGAAACAGGGACAGTGCATTGCCAATTTATCCAAAATAACATTATTTTCACTTTCTATTGCCCTCATTTGCATCTTATTAACAAATGTGTAAGATAATACCCTTTGTTTCGTAGTATTCAAATTCCATTTGTGGGTGATTTTTGTTCTGTGATCAATACCGTCAAGTCAAGAACTTGCAATGCAGTTTCAATACTAATATTTACTCTCAGTTCCCAAATAGCCCCGATAGGTGGGTATTTAGAGTAAGTTATGCATGTGTGATCACAAGTATCCATCAATCGAATTCATATAACAAGCATTGATATGTGATACTTTCTGTTTGCACTTTGGACCGCCTCCGTGGTCTTTGGGTAGAGCGTCCACCCGGAGAGCGGAAGGTCCGGGGTTCGATCCCCGACCGCGTCATACCAAGAGACGTTTAAAGATGGTACATGATGTTACCCGTCTTTAAGGGCATTAAGGGACTAAAACAAGGACTGGTGGGCTCGAAGTCAGTATACTGTGTCTGAGTGGGGTATTCATGTTAAACTGCGGCATGGTATCTCAGTGAGCTAGCACTATAAATCGGCATCAGTCCGGACTAGTACAAGCAGCCACACACACACACACGTGCATGCGCGTTGCTATATAAGTGCAATAATCTTGTACGCGACGTTAAACCCAATTTCACCTCACCCGTTTGCACTTGGAAAAAGACACACCACACTTTGAATGTATTGACGCCTTGTCTCTATGAATATGAAAACATTGATGACTTTGTTTTTCAGTGTACATGATATGTTTAGCTTTTATTAATATATACATGTAAACGCATACTGATTATTTGTTATTGTACTCTTTTCTCAATTTATTAATTATCAATTTTGAGACATGAGGTTTACAAAACGAACCCGTGAAGTCCCGGGTTAGAATTGGTATTCAGTCGCCCATGCTTGGAGAGAGAGGCGATTAACAGGATAATTCATGTACAGACCACCCGATCCCGTTAGTCGTCTCTCACAAGCATAGTCGCCCTTTACGGCAAGAATGGGTTGCTGGAGACCTATTCAACCCCGGATCTTCACGGGTCCATTGTAGATTGATGCTTATGATGTCCTTCACTCGATTGTCTGGTCAAAACTGGTTTAGTTAAAGACCACCGTCATATAACTTGAATAGTGCGGCATTAAACAGCCAACAAACAAACCAAACAAACTGGTGGTCGTGTTAATATTTTACGTGCGCATCTATTACTTAATTGTAAATACGGAGTTTCCTCCCTCTTTCGATCAAGTTGTCCAATCTCATTTCTTCGACGTAGTCTATGCATGAGAAAACAAAATGAGTGTCATATATAAAATCATTACAATCGATCGAAATGAATATTAAATTATTCATGTCACATCCGGGCAATTGATATCTCTTATTTGTTAATTTTGTTTTTTAATTATATTTACTGCTGATCTCTACCCACGTGGTTAAGGAAAACACACATGTGGGACTGAGTGAGATCAGAAGGGATACCGTTACGCTGTGATACCGTTAATATTACCTGACGATTCTACTAAATGTGTCGAACGTGAAAATGGAAGACAGAGATAGCTCCTTGTATTCAATGGTCAATGCCGTTCATTCATTATGTGAAAAGAACGCAAAATGTAATTCCAAGTTGAGATGGCTACTGTCAAAACTGGTGAGCACAGAGATCTTATTTTTAAGTGACGTTTTCATGAAACATGTTACTGATTACCTTACCATTCTAGAGGGGGTAGTATGTTGGGGTCACTTAGTAGTTTGAGAAAATCAACTCGTTCTAACCCCACTTTCATTGCATGCTATCTTCAGTTATATTATTATTGTATGCAGGTGGGTCGCAATCTATCTGTTCATGAGAACACATCACACAAATTACAAGATCTAGATTTAGACTTATTTCTCTCATATCAGACCTGTCCATTTGGCATCTAGTGGATAAAGTATCTGCCTGGAAAACGGAGGGCTATTGGCTCAATCCCTGCCCATGCTATTAATTAAGATGTTAAAAGATGGTACTTGTTACCCAGAGTTCTGCTCGGCATTTAAGAGATAAAACAAGGACTGGTTGAGTCAGTGTCTGTATAATGTGTCTTGGTGGATGGTATCTCAGTGGGCTAGCATTACAAAAATGGCATAAGTGCGGACGTATGCAAGCAGCCACAAACACATGCGTATGCAAGTGCATCGATGTTGAAAGCATTGTTAAAAGGCAGTATATCAATTACCATTATGCAAAATATGTTAATCGACAGACTTACTTCATCCTGAAGTGTCATCAATAGTATTCATATCTGAAACTTAATCAGCCAGCTTTCAAGATATTTACAGAAGTTCATTATGTACAAGGCTGACAGTGACATAGAAAGCAAAATCACAATTCATAAAATTATCTTTTCGTGTTCCGACTTACAGATCTGGCAACCCTCTGATCGGACAGCCTTGCTGGAGAGTCTGTCACAGCTGTTCCTGGACGTCAATTGTTCTGCTGACATATGCATCTGTGTCCGACCTCTCATCCTCGATGTAATCGAGAGAAGCAAGACGTCAGTCTTACTACATGGACATGAGAACAATATATACATCACCAAATTTGCAGTAGCTTTAAGTTTAGGTGTACGCAGTACACCAGATCTCAGGAACTTTTCTGTTGAGTTTTTGAATGCATACAAGCCATTTTGTCAGTCACCCAATACTGATGAAGGGGAACCAAGAAAGAAAAAGAAGAAGAAAGAAAAGGTAGTGTTGGCAGAGCAGTTTTGGCATTGCACTGTTTACCATGTTTACAGGCTCTATTGGCATAGATGACATGGTTGATGTTTGTTTCTTTTGCAGAAAGTTGAAGTTATTAAGTTGGTTTGTTGTTTAACGCCACACTCAGCAATATTCCAGCTATATGACAGTGATCTGTAAATAATCGAGTCTGGATCAGAAAATCCAGTGATTGATATGAGCATCGATCCACACAATTGGGATCGATGACATGCATCAACCAAGTCAGCAAGCCTGACCACCCGATCCCATCAATCGCCTCTTACGACAAGCATAGTTGCCTTTTACGGCAAGCATGGGTTGCTGAAGACCTATTCTACCCCGGATCTTCTCGGGTTTGAAGTTATTAAGACTATTATATATTTTAACCATACTCACTAACCACCTAACTCACCTTATGAACAAGTTTAATAGTAAAAAGATTATAGTCTTGAAGTTATTAAGCCTATAATCTTTTTACTATTAAACTTGTTCATGAGGTGAGTGAGTGAGTATGGTTTCACACAGCTTGTTTGCAATATTCTAGACATACCATATCTGCCCTTAAACGCACCCTAGGTGCTTAGAAAATTGATAAAGTGGGGGGCATTTATTAAAACCATACACATGTTAAATTTGTTGTCAGAGATCAAGGGGTAGAGAATAAACCTTGTTGAAACTTAAGCCTTCTCATTCTACACGTCTGTGTTTTATGTAAAAATATCGACACCATACACAAGAAAAAATGGACTGTCATCGTGGTCATGTCAATATTCAGTGAGTGAGTGAGTGAGTATGGTTTCAGCGGCTTTTAGCAATATTCCAGCAATATCACAGCCGGGGACACCAGAAATGGGCTTCACACATTGTACCCATGTCGGGAATTGAACCCGGGTCTTCTGCGTGACGAGCGAACGCGTTAACCACTAGGCTACCCGACCGCCCTGTCAATATTCAGATGTAGTACTGTATGCATGTAAAGATTACTTACAGTTTGGCTTAGAAGTTGTGGGAATGCTTGTGGGGCACTTTTTTTTGTGAATGCGGTATATCCTTCATTTATTGTAACCATGTAGAGAACTGAATTAGAAATCAAAATATGTATAGGCGGCCATTTGGTAACAAAATAAAAAGTTGAAATACACACATTATAAAGGACAAAAGTATGCAATAATAGTCCAATCTTACGAATAAAGGTCATTGTTTTCATACAAATAATGAATTCAAAATACAAAACGATACCAATGAACAACTCGCAAATGAAAGACGTCATATGTAAATAAAGAACTGAGTGTACTAAAGAACGTCAGAGCTCAAAAGGACACTGATCTCCAAATGGACTACGTTGACAATAAAGAACGCCAGATGGCGGTGCAATTTGTAAAAGATTTGGAGTTTAATCGACTTGTTCTGCGGTTTATATGATAAATGCAAGTGCTCAACATGCTCAATGTATGATGTCATTGCTTGTGCACTAATTTCAGCTGAGCGACCTGGAGTTGAGTCGTGCAATGTGGACATTCCTAGACGTCCTGGGAGAGAGTGTAGAGGGCTGCATCACACTGGATCTGCTGGTGTCGTATCTGTCGCACCATGAGCCTCAAGTCAGGTGGTAAGTCTGCTTCTCTGCCTATGGCTGACTCTGTGTAGATACGGTTTCACAATCTAGCGTTGATGTAGGCAAGGACACATAATCTTCCTGAGGCAAGGGAGTTAGCTGACTGTAAAAGTCCAGTTTTAACCTTTGCCGACCTAGGCAGGAATTATTGTATTTTGGCTGGACTAACAAGTCTATGCATACATAGTCCAATAAAGATCATGTAAAGAGATCAACATTGGGTTTATAAACAACATGGCAACTGCTGTCCAGATTTCGGTTGAGGATATGCAGAGCATGTGTACAGTCGTAGATGGATGTTTTCCAAATGTTTTCATGATTTATATCAGGGTGCTCAAGTGATTTGATGTACTTCCCGAGATAAGCCCCATTTTATTGCAGAATAGATCTTGATTATTGATCAGATCATTTGGACTGGGCACCGCCATTTTGTTTAAAGAAAATGCAAGTGACATGAGACATGGAATCTGATGGGTCAATAGGAGGGACATAGACGGGACATAAATCGTAGCTGCCACTGGTGGTGCTCTGATCGAGCCATGAAATTCCAGCCTAGTTCGGCAAGGGTGGAAACTGGACTTTTCTTGTCATTTACCTCCCAGTCTCAGGAAGATTGGACCCATAGATAACATGGATAACAGCTCCTAAATGTATGTGATGACTGCAAATAATCCTGTTATACTGTTATGTGTTCACTCTGCAATGAGACACAGTAATGCTACTGAGAGATGTGTTCCAGGTTCGCAGCGGAAGCTGTGTCACAACTGGTCCGGATGTCGGAGAGTCAGAGGGGGATGTTTCTGAGGAAATACTTCACGGAAGAAGAGATCAGAGAGCTGTCTGTTAGGTAATACAAAAATACTTGGATACCATGTTGTTTCTTCAGCAGACAACTCGACGGTAACTCCATTGCTGCTGTCATTGATAATCACAAACAATAGTTCAGCAAAGCAAGATAAGGGCTGCACCTTCATGTCATGCTAAGAGGGCTATGGTATTCATGGCCATTTTTTGGTCACCAGACTCGAAGGCCCAATACTTGGTGCATTGTCTGTCAGTCCATCGTCTCTCCATTTACTTTCGTTTGTTTTTTATTTAAATTAATACTTGAATAGACATTTTCTTCATAATGAATTAACATAATAAGACATGTCGGACTTTTCAGGATAATTGTTTTGACAGTTGCAATCTGTTGATGGATTACTTCATCAATGATTCAACACAACCCCCAGAGAATTCATGTCAGAATTGGCCCTTAGTAACCAGTTGGTTGTAGGAGGGAACTGAAATGGGGATCAGGTGGTCAGGTGACTTGGATAATTGCGTGTCACACTTTTAATCACTGGTTAGCCTGGTTCAGACTTGACTATTAACAAGCTGATGGGATGTTGCTGATGAGGCATTGACAGTATTCACACAGTCCCTTATCCCAGGGACATTTGACCTGTGGGAATTCCAGGTTAGAATAGGTCCCCAAGCAATCTATGCAGTTCGTGATGCTGGATCGGGTGATCAGACTCGGTGGCTTGGTACATAGCTTGTCATCATATCTTGAAGGTGTGGATTGTTGCTCGCAATATCAGTCTCTGGACTGTTTGGGTGTTTGTTGTTTAACGCCTCAGCAATATTCCAGCTATATGACAGCAGTCTGTAAATAGTCGAGTCTGGACCAGACAATCCAGTGATTGACATCATGAGCATCGATCCACGCAATTGGGATACGATGACATGCATCAACCAAGTTGTCGAGCCTGACCACCTGGTCCCGTTAGTTGACGAGCATAGTCGCAATTTCTGGACTGACCAGACTTAATCATTTAGAGGCCTCTGTCACATGACTGCAATATTGTTGTGTCAGCGTTAAAACAACAAGAAACAAAGAGACACATAAATGGGAACATAGGCTTTGTGTATCAAGCACATGGAACTGGTCCTTGTCTTCAATTTCATGTGTTTTGTTTCATTTCAGATTTTCTCTGGAAGATAGTCCAAGAAAGCAAGCCGAGTGTTTGGTTGCCGTGTCAACGGGTCTGAAGAGCTTGAGTCACACCATGCAGGGCCTGGTGAGCATGGACTACAGCGACAGTGTGGTGGAGGTGGCTGGCCTCCTGTTGCCAAGACTACAAGGGGAGACAACCACGGTGAGCAAAACAGCACAAATAGGAACTTCAGCATGTTCATCAACCACAGTATCACCCATCAAGCACTACTACTGATATTCCTTGTATCGTGAACAGAATAGGGCCCAGAAATGTATGCTATCTTAAATGGGGACTTAATGGATCAGGTGGTCTCGGTGACTTGGTTAATTGCAGATCATCATACCCCTACTGTGTGGATTGTTGCTCATAATAGCGATCACAGGATTATCTGGTCCAAACTCGATTACTTACAGGCCACCATCATAGAATATTGCTGTGTATAGCTGGAGGCAGCTTTTAACAACAAATATGAAAATATCTTGCTTGATACCCGTGAAGATTCCGGGGTAGAATAGATCTTCAGCAACCAATACTTGCCGTAAAAGGTGACTATGCTTGTCGTAAAAGGCCACTAATGGGATCGGGTGGTCAGGCTCACTGACTTGGTTGATGCACGTCATCATATCCCAATTGTGTGGATTGGTGCTCATGATGTCAATCACTTGATTGTCTGGTCCAGACTTGATTATGTACAGACCGCACTCATATAGCTGGAATATTGCTGAATGCGGCGTTAAACAACAAACAAAGTAGCCACTCAAGCTGTCAAGGTTCAGTTTCACCAGTGTAGGGAGTTAAACATGCAAATTGTCTGAATAGACTCAGTATCATATGGGTTGCCATGCTCACATAGATTGAAAATTGTGTCATTCAATTTATTCCGACCACAGACTGAATCAGTCATTTAAAACATTCTCCTCTGAGACTGAATCATTCAATTCATTCCCTCCTAGACGGAGTCCGTAGAGCTTGTTCCGGTGCGCTCTATGCTTAGCAACTTACGGAGCCTGGCTCTGGCCGTTGTGTCGGGTGCCCCGGTCCTCCTGCAGGGGCCGGTCGGCAGTGGGAAGACAAGTCTTGTCCAGCACCTGGCCGGCCTGACGGGGCGACACACAACACCGCACCTGATCAAGATACAGCTTGGGGATCAGACAGACAGCAAGGTACGCAGACAGCACAGTGAGGGGCAGATAGGACGTCCTTGTCATAGCTGTCATCGAATGTGAAGGTTGTGTGTGCATATATTATGATGAGACTATATGACTGTGATGTCGGTTGCTAGTTCATTATCAAAATCATATCAATATTTGATGTTCAATATGTAAAGAAAAATAGGTTTGAAAAAAATATGCATTTGATGCTTACATTTTTTTTAACATTTTGCTTGCAATAGTGATTAAGAAGACTAGGAATAGCATGTCAGGAGATAAAACCTACTGTGATTTGAATAAAGAAGTATGTATTGTTTCTGTTGTTGATCCTACCTGTTTGTGTGCAGGCGTTGCTGGGGACCTACAGATGCACCGAAGTCCCCGGGGAGTTTGTGTGGCAGCCTGGCATCCTCACACGGGCCGTGACTGAGGGATTCTGGGTACTGTTGGAGGACATTGACTTTGCACCGATGGACGTTGTGTCCATCCTCCTGCCTCTGTTGGAGACCAACACTTTGACCGTTCCGGGTCATGGCGACAATGTCAAGGCCAACCCTGGTTTCAGACTGTTTGCTACACAAAGGTGAGATTTACCACCATGTTTAGATAGTTCAGAGGTCAACATCTGAGTTAGTGAGGGAGTGAGATTTAACAATATTCCAGCAGTATCTCGGCAGTGAACACCAGAAATGGGCTTCACACTTTGGGAAATCAAAGCAGTGATGAATGACCACTGGTTTGGTGGATAGTGTAGTTTGTTTGATATCTGATCCCTGATTTCGTGTCTAGTGTTGACGGTAAATAAGCAAAGATTCTGATTCTTCTCCTCCTCCTTTAGACTTGTAGGGAGCAGCAGTGGGTGGCATCGTCAGCGCAGTGGTAGCGCGCTCCTCCTGGAGAAGATGTGGACCAGGATCAATGTTGAGCCCCTCTCGCGCTCCGAGCTGGAAAAGGTGTGTGTTGACCGTCTGCCGCCACGGTGACAGTGTCATGGTACTGGTGTGTTCTGTGCCACCCCATGTACTGTAGTCATCAAACTTTCAAAGGGGATATTTCTTGACAGGAAATCTTAGAAAATTTAGTTGTTTGAGATTTGTTCTTGTAGTGTCAAGTTTTGTATTATATCAGTCAAAACACATTCCATAACTTTAAAGTAGAACAACACTGTTCTTATGGAATGTAGTCCGTAATATTAGATTAAATATTCAACGGCTATAGCCTCAGTGAGAAGAATCCTCACAGTGACTATCTGCACATTTTTGTCACCTTGAAGTATGTGATACGAGTTATAACGTTGTGGTCCATACAGGTGATAGTGAGCCGGTTCCCCCAGCTGGCCACAGTAGTGGAGAAGCTGCTGGACATATATCTCATGCTGTCAGCCGGCAAGCATGACTCGGAGACCTCCACATCAAACTCGGACGGTGCAGGGAAGTTCCTGTCATTAGCGGGGAGGCTCGTATCTACCAGGTGAGTTCAACTTTACCCTCGACAAAGCAGGACTCAATAGTGGGAGCAACAGTCCTGGTATGTGGTCCTGTGCTCTGTTTTTGTTCCACATAATCTTCACATTAATGATATGATGAGAAGCAACACTGCCTTTGTTCTATTCCACCTTCTGTGTTGTGTTGCAGGGATCTCATGACATGGATCAATAGGGTCAGTTCCGAGTTTGACGTATCGTCCACTGACGCTGGCGCCAAGGTGTTCCAGGAAGCCTTGGACTGTTTTGTGTCCTGTCTGCCTAAACCAAGCAAGAGGATGCCATTAGCGGAGGCCATTGGCGCCAAGCTCAATGTATCAAAAATAAAGGTATCATTGTTATTATGTGAGATATGTCTGTCAGCCGAGAGACGTATCGACCCAGAGAAAGTTTTGTTAATATCATTTGGCATTACTAGAAATTTGTAAAAGAGAATAAAAGAGAATTATGTTTCTCCAGTACCAGTGGGTTCTTCATGAATAAAGATGTTGGTGATTGTAAATGCAGAAATGGTGTTTTTCATCTGTTTCAAGAGTTTTGTTTAAAGTTCATTTTCTATATTTTGGTAATGGTTTAAGTTTCATTTATTTTTAAAAAACAAAGTTTTTCTTAGTTAAATATTTGGTCCACTTAAAGTCATCTTCATTTGAACCTCCTCACTTTGGCTTAGTGGATAAAGTGTTTGGTCGTAATATGTCACATGACCTTTGAAAGCTAGACATTGTGAGTTCAAATCCCCATTTCTCAATAAACTTTTGCAGATAAATTAATTACTTGTTTACAGCCTCAATTCCATTTCAAGTCACATGATCTAAAAAGCACTGTTCCCCACACAATCAGTCAAAACATTGCATAAGTGTAATTGTCATATAAAATTCACAGTGTTTTTATACACTGTTCCTCATCACTCATGAATACAAATGGCCGCCACCGTGATATAACTGGAATACTGTTAAAAGCAGCGTTAAACCCAACTCACTCACTCACTCACTGTGGTGTAGTAGTTGCTCTTGTCTTTTTTAGTAATTTAATTTTTTTGCAGTCCTTATGTTTTGTTTGTTTATTGTTTAACTCCGCACTCAGCACTATTCCAGCTATATGACGGGGGGTCTGTAAAATAATCAAGTCTGGACCAGACAATCCAGTGATTGACATCATGAGCATCGACCCACACAATTGGGCTCGATGGCATGTATCAACCAAGTCAGCGAGCCTGACAAGCCGATCTTGTTAGTCGCCTTTTACGACAAGCATAGTCGCCTTTTATTGGCAATTATGGGTTGCTGAAGACCTATTCTACCCCAGAATCTTATGACTCAAGGAATTCATATAAACCCTCATCAATGCATGACTTTTATGAGAACCTTACCATTACCTGCTGTTAAAGGCATGTGTAGAGCAGAAGGCGACTTGGCTTTCGCACATATTGCACACGTCAATTGTAATCAGAACACACATTGGTCAGAGCATTTGCTAGAACCAGGTCATTTCTTGATTTGTTCGTACATATAGTGACTACACCTCAAATCAGACGTATGTCTTCGAAGGTGATGGAGGACATAGAGGACAGCATGTTTGAGAATCCATGAAATGGGACTCCAGTTTGGTTTGTTCTCAGATAGCGTGGATTGATGCACAAGCTGCTGTCATCTTGCCTCAAGTTCCACGGCGAGTATTTCAGATATTTCAATATTGTGAATCCTGTCTGCTCACTTACTCCTGGTCGTGTTTCAGACTGAGTTCTACATCTGTAAGTACAAGCCCATAATTGAAGTGAGCGAGTCGTCCTTCACCGCTGGTCGTGTTGTCCTGCCAAGAAAACCAGCAGACGTCATGACAATGAACAGGTGAGTTTCTTCTTAGATGTCAATATATCTTGTTTTAAGTTGTTCAGCAGACATCATGGCAATGAACTAGAGACTTTCCTATTGGACGTCAACATATCTTGTTTTATGTTCAAGGATTTGCCTTGATTTGACTTTGACATTAAATATACACAGCAGTAAGGAGATAATAGTCATCCTGTAGCTTTCTTGGTAATGTGTCTATATATCTTCTGTAAAATTCAGCATCTCTGAGTGATCTGTTTCAAGTAGTGTGTTCCATGGCTTTCAGAGTGAGTCCTCCGACATTTGCGTACACCCGTCAGTCTGTGTGTCTGCTGGAGAAGGTGTCGGTGTGTGTCAGTCGGAATGAACCGGTGCTGCTTGTTGGCGAGACAGGGACAGGCAAAACATCATCTGTCCAGTTCCTAGCTCATCAACTGGGTGAGTTGGCCGGTGCTAGTGGCTCCCATCTGTGAGTTGGGTTTAGTGCTGCTTTGAACAGCAACAACAATGCTAATGACACAGTCCATGGAAGATTTGGTAGCATGGTTCAGGGAGGCAGCGTTATTAACAACTTGGCTCCATTGAGATTCCGGTTAGCATGGTTAGAACAGGTGTCCAGAAAACCACGTTGGTGGTATGGCGACTAAATGGATCCAGTGGTTGGGCTTGATGACCTGGTTGATTATGTGGCTGAGTATGGTAATATTGTTTTCCTTTATGCCACCAGGCTGAGTATGAGATATTGTTTTCCTTGATGGTGCCAGGCTCAGTATAAGATATTGTTTGTTTTTTTATGTCAACAGGCTGAATATGAGATATTATTTCTTTGATGGTGCCAGGCTGAGTATGAGATATTGTTTCCTTGATGGTGCCAGGCTCAGCATAAGATATTGTTTTTCTTGATGTCGCCAGGCTGTGTATGAGATATTGTTTCTTTGATGTCGCCAGGCTGAGTATGAGATATTGTTTCCTTGATGGTGCCAGGCTGAATATGAGATATTATTTCTTTGATGGTGCCAGGCTGAGTATGAGATATTGTTTTTCTTGATGGCGCACGGCTGAGTATGAGATATTGTTTCTTTGATGTCGCCAGGCTGAGTATGAGATATTGTTTCCTTGATGGTGCCAGGCTGAATATGAGATATTATTTCTTTGATGGTGCCAGGCTGAGTATGAGATATTGTTTCCTTGATGGTGCAAGGCTCAGTATAAGATATTGTTTTTCTTGATGGCGCCAGGCTGAGTATGAGATATTGTTTCTTTGATGTCGCCAGGCTGAGTATGAGATATTGTTTCCTTGATGGTGCCAGGCTTAGTATGAGATATTGTTTTTCTTGATAGCGCCAGGCTGAGTATGAGATATTGTTTTTCTTGATGTCGCCAGGCTGAGTATGAGATATTGTTTCCTTGATGGTGCCAGGCTGAGTATGAGATATTGTTTCTTTGATGTCGCCAGGCTGAGTTTGAGATATTTTTTCTTTGATGGTGCCAGGCTGAGTATGAGATATTGTTTTTCTTGATTTCGCCAGGCTGAGTATGAGATATTGTTTCCTTAATGGTGCCAGGCTGAGTATGAGATATTGTTTCTTTGATGTCGCCAGGCTGAGTATGAGATATTGTTTCCTTGATGGCGCCAGGCTGAGTATGAGATATTGTTTCCTTGATGGCGCCAGGCTAAGTATGAGATATTGTTTTCTTGATGTCGCCAGTCTGAGTATGAGATATTGTTTTCAGGACACAAGCTTCATGTGATCAACCTGAACCAGCAGAGTGACAGCACAGACCTTCTCGGAGGGTAAGATTGAACATGTGTTGATTTAGTTAAGACTCCTCTTGTACATGATGTCATGCATTTCTTGTGGACTTAATGACAAAAGTATTTGGATGGGGATCTTTAATCCTGTATCATCATGCTAGGACTGTGATATTACCCTGCACATTAAACATGTTGTTGAGACTTATATGAAGGATCTGTATTTTAAGATAATCACTCCTGCCAAACTATGACTAAATGTTTGAGATTAGTGTGTGATAACAACAGACTGTGCTTGATCTTGCAGTGGATGTTTGGTATTTTTGCTGGAGAGAACTCTAAATAATGCATGTATACAATTACCTCTTCCTGTAATGTTTGTGTTTTGTTGTGCTGACTGTAGAGAACATGGCCCCTCACTCCATGTTGCAGGTTCAAGCCTGTCGATCTGAAGTTCGTCATCATGCCCTTCAGAGAGGACTTTGAGATGCTTTTCATGAAAACGTTCTCAAGGAAACAGAATACAAGGTTTCTGGGCCACATACAGGTTTGTAGTTATCACACTACTGAATGTCAACATTTTATGCTGAAAAAAAGTGTGACTTACGTGGTCTACTGGATAGATACCCTGCCTGGCGCCCGAAAATAAAGGGATAAAACACGGACTGGTTGCCTCAGAGTCAGTATCGTGTGTTTGAGGGGGATATCCATGTTAAACTGTGGCATGTTATGTCACGGCTAGCACCAGCATAGGTCCAGACTAATACAAGAAGACATGCACACATGGGCATGCGAATTGCTATTTAGAAGCAAATCGACAACTCGATGTTAAACCCATTTTCACTTCACCTACTTGAAGTGTATGCATATGGGGTCCAATTTGCAAATATGCATTCTACAACTATTCTACAACTATGAAAACTCTGTGTACAGAAGTGTCTCCAATATGAAATAGATCATGTGATTTCATTTTCTATGCCAGGAGTGTTTTTCTCGAAGAAAGTGGTCCGACCTGCTGACACTTATGGACCACACTCAGAAGTCGGCTACCAAGAAGTTCGACAAGGGTATGACTTTCCTTCTAACAATTTATTCCACATGTTGTTTGTAAATGTTGTGTCAGGCCTAGGGCTGGGACGATTCACCGATACATCGATGTATCACGATACATTACAGTTCGATACGACTATCGATTCGTGGGTCTATGTATCGATACAAAACGATACACAGCTGATATACTACAAGTAACAAAACGTATTTGCCGCTGTTTACATCGTCCGTTTTGTTCCAACGCAGTCAGTAAAGAAAATAAAGCGATGAAACAAGGTCAAATATGATTGGTTGATTTTCGTAGTACGACCAATCAAATGACTCGTATTAGTTTCAGCCTTCAAACATGGCGACTGGTTTTCCGGCCAAGAAGCATCGAGTCCCAAGACACCGTAGGCCGGTTTACCGGCCAAGCCGTAGTCACGTCAAAATAGTATATATTTTTATGGACCTACCTGTAATATCATTCATTTATTAAATCTATCACATTTCATAATGTCTGAAATACATATTCCAATTCAATTTATCATTTTTTATCGATAAATTAAAAGAAACATTCACTAATTCCCGCGATGTTATTGAAATACGGGTCCACATCGAACATGTCAAAGAGCAAAATAAAGACGTTTTAAACAAATCTTTAAATATATTATACAAAGTAATAAATAATATCAACAAAAATATATCTAAAAGTAATCAAACTTACATCTAAGTTATTATTTCCATCTTTTCGTGCGATCGCGTGTAATGTAAGTCAAATGACATCTCGGCTTTCGTCGCCTTGAATTCTCGGCTCGGACACGATGTTTGATGCAAAAATATATGCATGAAAAATCTTTGTCACAATTCGTAACCTAGCACGATACGTTCACGAAGTTCCATATTTTTAATATATATCGTGATTTCCTGCTAAAACGTTCACAATAGCACGATTTATCAAAAATCTTTCGCCACTTCTGAAATATATCAACACGAGCTTGGTATCACAGCTGTAATTTGATTGGCTGCCCTAGGTCACGTGCTCAAAATTGTCCAATCACGAAACTTGTAGCAAATTTCGGCAAGAAAGCGTCATTAGAAACCAATTTAAATCCAATGAAATTGATTGTTATAACTACGGAAAAAAACAGTCGATGTTACGAGAATGTAGATGAAGGAATAAGCTTTCCAGCGATGTGTCATATGCCATTCTTCGACGAACGTTTTATCCATACGAAGCCACGAAAACGGGATAATTCTTCATGTTACTGAGCGGACAGCCGCTGTTATCGGGAAATGGGTGATGACAGAAACTATTCATAATTCTTTTTTTTAAATGATTTTCCAATTACGTAAACAATGAAAATAAAACAGAAATAGGTAAGTGGATTTTATGAAATCTTATATTTGCCTAAAATCGTCAAGTTTTCAATTCCTTGGTCCTTAATCTGAATGTTATCAACGTGTTAGCTTACATTTTTTATTTACAACGAACTTAATGGTTGACACTTCTGGTTGACTGGTGTTGAAAGAGTTAATGTTCAGACATCAGTTAAACATGTCTGACTTTGTGATTTACTAATTAGTGTGATGTTGATTATTCAAGTTCAGAGTTTCAGACAATTTGCATTTCATTGATCATTGTTAGAAAATCACAAACCAGTGGTTGTTTTTACCAAATAGTTCTGCTGTTCAGATGACATTTAGAATGCATTTTTATTGCAGAAAATCCAGGTATTTAGTCAGGCTCCTTAACTCAGGTGTTTTGAGTCTTGCTATTGAGTGACATGTGCTGTGTTTGACACCTGTTCTGAAGGAAATTTTGAGTTATTTGATGAGAACTATTTTACATTAAACTTTCATCATCTCCCACCAGCTTGTGACATTATTTTTTGTATCGTATCGTACGTATCGTATCGTGACCCCACTATCGTGATACGTATCGTATCGTGACCTTGTGTATCGTCCCAGCCCTAGTCAGGCCCATTCAGCACTAGAACCGCTCTGTCACGGCTGACTGTAAATATGAAACTACAGTAGAGGTCTCTGTGCCTGGAGTTTACAGTACATTGTGTGTGCCGTAATCTGATTATGCTGCCAAGCATCGAATGAAGCTAGGATGCTGTACCCTGTACAGAGTTGCCTCCCTTTGCCAGGACCTACTGGTGGTGGGTTCCAGTCACAGATTTACATTCAATCACTGGATTGTCTGGTCCAGCCTCGATTATTTACAGACCACCGTCATATAGCTAGAATATTGCTGAGTGTGGCGTTAAACAAACAAACAAACAAACAAACAAACAAACCATATATGGAAGGGGTTTGTGGGTAAGGTGTCTGCTCATCTTGCCTAGTCCTGGGTTTGATTCCCCACATGGGTACAATGTATGAGGCCCATATCCATTTCTAAAAATGGCGTAAAAGCATACTCACTTACTCCATGCTTGTGTTTTGCTTTTCATATAACCAAACTGTAATTTCATGATAAAATTGTGTACAGGACTAGTTATATCCCTGAAAGTGTTGTGGTAACGATGTGGTGGTGTGTGACAGGTACGGAGGAGCACCGACAGTGGAAGAAGATGGGCCGGCGTCTGCACCAGCTGAAGGTTCAGGTGCAGCAGATAGAGAATGCCCTTGCCTTCTCCTTCATTGAGGTGGGTGGTCAGCTGGATGAGGGGTGTGTTTAACTGAACGAAACTTCTTCAGATCATCAGCTCGCATCTGTTTGTTGTGTCTACACACTGGTTGTTCGTTTGTAGGGAACCCTGGTGAAAGCATTGCGTGCTGGAGACTGGGTTCTGCTGGACGAGATCAACCTTGCTGCTGCCGAGACTCTAGAGTGCCTCAGCGGGCTGCTGGAGAGTACCTCGGGGTCGGTGGTGCTTACAGAGAGGGGGTGAGTGACTTCAGGGTTTGTGGTGCTTTCAAAGAGGGGTGAGTGACCTCAGGGTCGGTGGTGCTTACAGAGAGGGGTGAGTGACCTCGGGGTCGGTGGTGCTTACAGAGAGGGGGTGAGTGACCTCGGGGTCGTTGGTGCTTACAGAGAGGGGGTAAGTTACCCCGGGGTTGGTGGTGCTTACAGAGAGGGGGTGAGTGACCTCAGGGTTGGTGGTGCTTACAGAGAGGGGTGAGAGTACCTTGGGGTTGGTGGTGCTTACAGAGAGGGTGATTGACCTCAGGGTCATAGGTGCTTACAGAGAGGGGGTGAGTAGTGGTATATCAGTAGTTATATTTTAGAACTGTTCTGTATTGCTTTATGAGAGTTCTTCATGATCCATGTTTATATATTTCAGTGACGTGGACCCAGTTGTCCGACACCGTGAGTTCCGGCTGTTCGCCTGTATGAACCCAGCTACCGACATCGGAAAGAAGGACCTCACGCCTGGCATCAGGAACAGGTGGGTGAGATGAGTTGTTCCCCTTGGCATGGGGAACAGGTGTTGAGAGGAGTTGTTCCCCTTGGCATGAGAAACAGGTGGGTGAGAGTTGTTCCCCTTAGCATGAGGAACAGGTGGGTGAGAGGAGTTGTTTCCCTTGGCATGAGGAACAGGTGGCTGAGAGGAGTTGTTCCCCTTGGCATGAGGAACAGATGGGTTAGAGGAGTTGTTCCCCTTGGCATGAGAACAGGTGGGTTAGATATGAGTCAGAAGGTGTTGCAATTTTGTGTGCTAAGTTGCATCCTTTAGGCATGCCAGAAACTTATTATCATGGGTTCAAATCCAAATTAGCCCTGAATAGTGGGTTTCACCAAAGTGGTAAACGTCTAATACCTGCATCTTTAAGGGCTTTCCTCCCCCATCACTGTGACATTGAATACTGTTCAAAGCTATGTTTAATCCAACTCATTCACTCCAGAAAGAACTTCAAACCAGTTGTTAAATCCATTCATCCGAATTAATATGGCTGTGTAGCTAGAGTAGATAGTAGTAGAAGGCTTTGAAATTGTCCAAAATGTGTAGAGTTTGGTAATTGTAACAGTATTCCAGTTATATCATGGCGTGTCAGCTTAATGTGGGAGGAAAGCCTGAAGTGATGCAGACCTCAGACATTTACCACTTTTGTGAAATCCAAAAGCACAGGTATGGTGCTGACAAACCTAGAAACATAATTGGGTATTCAAACCCACAATCTTAGGTTTCTGGCATGCCCATGGGATGCAACTCTGTACAGCGAATAGTGGTTCCTTAGTTGACTGGGCTGCACGTTTCCCTCCAACTGATGAAGATCGGATGATGAGAATGTGTAAACCGACTGATGTCCTTGTGCCCAGACATGGTGGATCATTGCTTTGGCTTTCAACTATAAGTCTTCCTGGTCCTACATCGGCTGCTTTGATGCTGCCTGTGGCATAAAACAACATTCACTTACTGTCCCCAGGTTCACGGAGCTGTACGTGGATGAGCTGGAGGACACCCAGGACCTGAAGATTCTGACCAATGACTACCTCCGCGGCCTGTCGCTGTCCTCCCTACAGGTAGATGGGATTGTCAAGTTCTACCTCACTGTGCGTAATGAGGCACACAAACGACTCACTGATGGCACTGGGCATAAACCTCACTTCAGGTAACATGACAGAAGTATTTACTTGAGAAATGGAGTTTGTCTCATTAAATTGTAGTGAGAATATCTCAGATTGTATATTTTGTTTGTGATGTTGCTGTTGTGAAAAGGTAGGGACATTCATGTTATCACATAGCTTGGTGATGTTATTGCATAGCTTGGTGATGTTATTACATAGCTTGGTGATGGTATATGTAGCTTGGTGATGTTATTACATAGCTTGGTGATGTTATTACATAGCTTGGCAATGTTATTACATAGTTTGGTGATGTTATTACATAGCTTGGTGATGTTATATGTAGCTTGGTGATGTTATTACATAGCTTGGTTATGTTATTACATAGCTTGGCGATGTTATTACATAACTTGGTGATGTTATTACATAGCTTGGTGATGTTATTACATAGCTTGGTGATGTTATTACATAACTTGGTGATGTTATTACATAGCTTAATGGTGCTATTACATAACTTGGTGATGTTATTACATTTCTTGGTGATGTTATTACATAGCTTGGTGATGTTATTACATAGCTAGGTGGTGCTATTACATAACTTGGTGATGTTATTACATAGCTTGGTGATGTTATTACATAGCTTGGTGTTGTTATTACATAACTTGGTGATGTTATTACATATCTTGGTGATGTTATTACATATCTTGATGTTATTACATATCTTGGTAATTGTTTTCTAACATGATGTTTAATTTCAGTTTGAGAACCCTGTGCCGAGCACTCAAATTTGCCTCGAGTAACCCCTGCAGCCTTGTAGCACGATCTCTGTATGAGGTATGAGATGGTGACAAGCTTTTACATAAATGTAGTCAGTCAACATTTAACATCTAATAATTAGCTATCTGAGTATTGTTAAGGCAAAATATTGATGTATAGCTCTCATTCATGTTTTATGAATTAAGTGCTCGTTGGATTGGGCAGCTATTATTAGAAGTGCACATTTCGAATCATATTGAAAACAAAGTTGTGTCCAGAGTATTTATCCTGACAAAAGGGAAGTATAAGATGCTGGAAGATGCGGGGTAGAATAGGTCTTCAGCAACCCATACTTGCCGTAAAAGGCGACTATGCTTGTCCTGAGAGGCGACTAACAGAGTCGGGTGGTCAGACTCGATGACGTGGTTGGTGCATGTCATCGTATCCCAATTGCGTGGATCAATGCTCATGATGTCAATCACTGGGTTGCCTGGTCCAAACTCGATTGTTTACAGACTGCTGTCACATAGCTTGAATATTGCTGAATGTAGCGTAAAACAACAAACAAGCAAATAAGGATTATTGAGAATGTGGTTACGTTTGTTATACCCTGTAAAAGGGATTTTCAGCTCGTACCATGTATACAAGTGTGTACAGGGTGTAATCCTCCAGCTGTTTTCTCCGCCAGGGTTTCTGCCTGAGTTTCCTCACCCAGCTGGACCGGTCGTCCCATCCCGTGGTGGAGAAACTCGTTTGTCAGCATGTGGTTGGGAAGTCCAACATCAAGGCCATTCTCAAACAGCCACTCCCACAGCCTCCCGGCGCCAAACACCTCAACTTCGAGGGTTACTGGATATCCCAGGGTGCACTGGAGCCTCATGTGCCAGACAATTACATTCTGACACCATCAGTCCGAGAGAACTTGCGAGATTTGGCCCGAGTAATATCAGCGAGGTAAGAAGTGGAGAGGTAACAAAGCCTTGACAAGTGGGGGCGGTCGGGTAGCCTAGTGGTTAAAGTGTTCGCTCGTCACGCCGAAGACCCGGGTTCGATTCTTGACATGGGTACAATGTGTGAAGCCCATTTCTGGTGTCCCCTGCCGTGATATTGCTGGAATAGTGCTAAAAGCGGCCTAAAACCATACTCACTCACTCACTCGCTTGACAAGTGGACATGGTGCTTTACTACTCATGTCATGACTATAGTAATGTGAAAGAATCGGGTGGTCCTTAACTTGTTTCTAGTTGAATATTATTAGGAAATCTGCATGATTGTAAGTAGGGCTGGGAGGGGTAACCTGGGTCAGGTGGGACCTGAGTAGGACCCAGGTACCAGCAGGTGTACCCAGACATGTGTTTAGTGATGTTATATATTGTTTAATGACAAAAATGATCTAACTTCAATGAAGACCTTCAAATCTCATCCATGTTCTGTAAATGTTTCAAGGACATGGATTCAGTATTTGCTAAATGGACAGTGCTGTTGATATGTTCATCTGGCACCCTGTAACACATTGCCGTCTACTTCCCTCCCCAGCCAGCACCCGGTCCTGCTGCAGGGCGAGACGTCCGTCGGGAAGACGAGTCTCATCATGTGGCTGGCACGGTCCAGTGGCAACCCGTGTGTGAGAGTCAACAACCATGAACACACCGACCTGCAGGAGTACGTCGGCTGTTACGCTGCAGATGAGTCAGGGAAACTCGTCTTCAAGGAAGGTGAGCTTCACTCTCCGAATGTGGTAAATGTTTACAGAGCAATCCTTTAAGATATTGCCGTTTGAGCAGTTCTTAGGTAAAAATTATGTTGCAAATTTAATTCTTGTGCATTTTATCTGGAACTTATTTAAAAGAAATAATATTCTGTTACCTGGCAAATGCATCACTTGCCCACCAGAAGTGTCACCGCTTCACCCCATGAAGATTCCAGGAAACAGTAGGTCCCAAGCACCCCATGCTTGTTGCACGAGCCCAGGTTCTACTGATCCAGACTTGATGATTTCCAGGCTGCCGTGATATAGCTGTAATATTGCTGACTGGCATGAAACAACGTTCACTTATTTAAGACCCATCTGGCTGGTGAGGAACAGCAGCCTCCTCTAAATAAAGTGTTGATGTCTGTTGGTGTCTGCTGTTGTTTGCTGTTGAGTGTTGTTTTCTGTTGCCTGTTGGTGAGTGTTGTTTTCTGCTGGTGACTGTTATCTGCTGTGGTTCGTTGGTGACTAATTTTATCTGTGTCAGGTGTCCTGGTGGAGGCAATGAGACGGGGACACTGGATCATCCTGGACGAGCTGAACCTGGCCCCAACTGACGTCCTCGAGGCCCTCAACAGGGTGAGTACATCGCCGTGGTAACCATGTCACCCAATGACATCCTTGAGGCCCTTAGCAAGGTGAGTACATCGCTAGGGTAACAATATCCCCCACTGACGTCCTCGAGGCTCAACAGGGTGAGTACATCGCCGTGGTAACCATGTCACCCACTGACATCTTTGAGGCCCTTAACAGGGTGAGTACATCGCCGTGGTAACCATGTCACCCAATGACATCCTTAAGGCCCTTAACGGGGTGAGTACATCTCCGTGGTTACCATATCTCCACTGTCGTACTCGAGGCCCTCAACAGGGTGAGTACATCGCCGTGATAACCATGTCCCTCACTGACATCCTCGAGGCCGTAAACAGAGTGAGTACATCGCCGTGGTAACCATGTCACCCACTGACATCCTCGAGGCCCTAAACAGGGTGAGTACATCGCCGTGGTAACCATGTCCCTCACTGACATCCTTGAGGCTCTTAACATTATCAAGGTGAGTACATCACCGTGGTAACCATATGTCCACTGACATCCTGTTGGATTTACAGTGTACTTCTGCATCTCCAATTGGCTACAAGTCAAAGTATTTTTAAAATCTACATACCAATCTATTATATCACTCGCCTCTAATTGACTGTACTATTTTTTGTGCCCAAACTGAAATTTAAGTAAGGATTCCAGATCGAAAACAAAACCATCTTGTTATCCAAAACCTGTAACTTGAAGGGTTGCAGGAGCCTCTCGTGTGACGTTATAACATTTCAGCTTTTGGGTTTTCCCCAAGTGGTCTAGTTATGTTATAACATTGTCACTATTTATTCTTCCACAGCTGTTAGACGACAACCGAGAACTGTTTATTCCGGAGACCCAGGAGACGGTGAAGGCTCACCCCAAGTTCATGCTGTTCGCTACCCAGAATCCTCCAGGAATGTATGGAGGCAGGAAGGTATGACATGTACAGGACCTGGAAGAGAGTGTTTACTTTTGGGAGATTTGGTTCTTATCTCAACCATTCTGGATAATTTTATGATATCTGAAGGGATAATGTTTGTAAATGGTGTGATGTAATGTGAACTTGGGTTCGGGTGTGGTCGGAAGTGGTGTGGACACTTTTTAAACCCTGCAGTGCGTTTTGCAGCAGGTATTAAAATAGAGACCGTGTGTGCAAGATGTTTCAGAAGCAGACCTTGAAAATTGTACAATATTTCTTCACCAAACTTTGTACGTTGATAGGCTTAATGGTGAACTGGTGCCTTTCGATAGTTATGGATTTTTAAAAAATATTTTTTGTTTTGTTTGTTTTTTTTACTTTCCATGGCCAGATCATTGACTTAGGCTGGACATGGCCCTAGTGCTTGTTTCTGTATTAGATCTTCTTCAGCAAACTTGGCACATAGATTTTTGATAGATTGTGATTTTTAAGAAATTAATTTTTTGAGTTTCCATAGCAACAACTGTACCTTCACTGAAAATGTCAGCAGTGCTCATATCCTGAGCTTGTAATCTACAATTTTTCTTCAGCACACTTGGCACATAGATTGGTCTGGAGGTGAACTGGAGACTTTTGATAGTTTGGGAAGTTGTATATATTTATCCACAACAAGTATGTACCATTGATATAGGTGGGAGATATAGATGACTTTGTTCTCTTGTTTATTAGCTGAATGGTTCAGCTGTGAGCAGGAATATCTCCTACATAAGTGTGGACAGTATTATCCAACTATTGAAACATTACAAACTTATCAGTATGAGGTAATATGTTTCTGGTGCAAACTGAGACTCTTGTGACATCATGTAGGCCAACCAATAATATTACTATGTTTTGTAGATGCTGTCACGAGCCTTCAGGAATCGTTTCATTGAGCTGCACTTCAACGAAATACCAAGCATAGAACTCGAAACGATTCTCCATCAGCGATGCAACATCCCGCTGTCCTATGCCAAACGACTTGTCAAGGTCATGCTGGAGCTTCAGGTAAAGGGCTCTGGTGAACAGAGGAGACGGAATCGATACCTTGCTCATTCACATCTGTGGAACTTCAGTTTCGATGCTCAATAGACTGGAGCATGGGTATCATAAGTGAACATTTTCTGGCTTTTTCTTTCTTTTCATGTGTATAATAATCTTGAATGGTGTCAGTTATGTTATATTTTCGTGATTCTTTAAGATTGCCATATTTGACTGCCATGTTGACCGTCTGCTCCAGATGAGGCGCCGGGGGTCGGGGGTGTTCGCGGGGAAGCAGGGCTTCATGACCCTGAGGGATCTGTTCCGGTGGGCGGAGCGGTACAGCAGCACCGATGTCAAGACAAGCACCAAGTTCTACGACTGGGACCAGCACCTTGCTGACCACGGTAGGACAACAGCCGACTCTCAGTTCTGGGAGACGTGGGAAACAATATGAGAATTAATCTTTGCAACACGATAAGAAGATAAAAGTGTAGTGCTAACAATTCCATATTCTCATTGGTATTATTCTTCTTAACCAAAGAACAGTGATGCAAGCAGAATATCGAATTTCGGTATGAGCATTACACTTTTCTAACATTTAAACAGTTTCAATAAATTATCCCTCGCTGAGTTAAGGTTGTGTAGGCCAATGGGAGTTATACATGATGTAGAGATGTCCTCTAGATGTCCTCCACCAGGAAGTCCTATGCATGTGCATCACTCACTCATTTAAATTTTATCTGCACCAATTGGAGGAGTATACATCTAGCTGTCCTGTGCATGTCTACGTGATGTCGCTCACTCATATAATTTTTGTGAAGACCTTGGTTAGAAGACCTGGGTCTTCAGCATGCTTGCTGTAAAAGGCTACTATGCTTGTCATAAGAGGCGACTAACAGGATCTGGTGTAAGGTTCACTGATTTGGTTGTCTGGTCCAGACTTGATTATTTTCAGACCGCAGTCATATAGCTTGAATATTGCTGAGTGCGGTGTTAAAATACAAACAAACAAACATTTAAATTTTCTCGACACCAATTGGAGGACTATACATCTAAGTGTCCTGTGCATGTTCTCCAGGCTACATGTTGCTGGCTGGCCGTGTGAGGAAGGCGGAAGAGTCGGTTGTGATTCAAGAGGTCCTCAAGAAGTATCTGAAGCGAGATGTTAATGACAGGCTGCTGTTTGACCTGACACGCAGGACGTCGTCATCAACTGCACCCATGTTGAAGGAGGTCACTGACCAATCAGTGGAGGGTTTTCAACACATTGTTTGGACACACAACATGAGAAGACTGGCTGTTCTCATTGGCCAGGCCATAAAGTTCAGGGAGCCTGTCCTGTTGGTCGGAGAAACTGGGTGAGCGTTTCAGTATGTCTTGTTATGAATTTAGCAAATGTTGTAGATATCTTGGCTCTTGATGACCGAGATAGGGTCACTCGCAGGAAATTATCCACTCCCACAGTTTTGATAAATGAATCAGTTAGGCCTGAACTGAGACACTACAGTACTAGGCTTCTGTATCCATATTGTGATGTATCTTTGATAAGGTTTGGATTCCTAGGAGTCACATCATAACCTTGACTATATCTTTGGGGTAAAATGATACAGCAAAGTCACGATACGATACGTATAGTGATACATAGGTCACGATATGATACGTATCGCAACACGGATATTTAAGTCAAATTGCATGGAAGCTTCTTACTATAAATATTTCAGAACAGGTTCAAAAGGAAAATCTAGCTGTAGACACATGTTCGTAGTGGCTATGTTTTTAAGTAAAGTTGAAACACTAATTACAACCCATTTTGAAATATTTGATATTTGAACGAGTAGTAAGTGTATCTTCCAGTATTGATACAGAAAAAAACGTATCATGTATTGTATCAATCTCATTAAAATCAGACCTTAGTCCTCGCTACCGCTAAACAAAGATCTGAGGACATCCCATAACGGGTCACGTCAGACCGAACTAGTGCGAACTTTGACCCACCAAAAGAATGCTTTACGGCACTAATTTCAAATTGGTGACTACGCTTCGAAACATATTTTGACAAAATCTCGAAATACAGATTTGAAACCTAAACAAAAGAACATTCAGGAATGGCGAATAGATGGTCTAGATTGTATGGATTCAGTCATTAAACCTGTAACTATCGTTCGGAATACCCTGTTAAAGTTTTCGAGGTTGTATGAATAGAAATCACATTCCGACTGTCACTTTCATGATCTGGTAAGCGACGCTCTCATTGGTTGTATGTTTAGCGGTAGCGAGAACTAAGGTCTGAATTTGATGAGATTGGTATTGTATCGTTGCATGAAATCTCACGATGCACCATATTGTTTCACCCTTGTTATATGACTGATATTAACCTTTTATATGTGTCAAAAGGCAAGTTAAATTCTCAAGCTCATCATTGTGAACATATGTCCTCCCTCAGTTGTGGCAAGACCACAGTATGTCAGCTGTACGCTGCCATGAGAGGGCGCCACCTGTTCAGTGTCAACTGCCACCTCCACACCGAGAGTGCCGACTTCCTCGGGGGACTGCGGCCTGTTCGATCCCACACAGAACAGGTGGGTCATATATTCTGTAAAAGATAATAGAAAGACAAAAATATATGTGTTGTGGAAATCGTGACCACATTCATGGTTGCTGATTATTGACAGAACTTGTAATTCTGAGTTTTCAACTGGCTGATTGAAGATAGACTGGTTTGACCTCACCAGACTCACATCTCACAGGCTAGCTTCCATATTATAGTTACGATATTGCTGACTGTTGTGATTAATTCGTAAACTCAAACGAACCTAAGACCCATGAAGATCTGGGGTAGATTAGGTCTTCAGCAACCCATGCTTGCTGCTAAAAGGGACCAAGCTTGTCATAAGAGACGACTAACGGGTTGGGTTGACTTAGTTGATGCATATCATCGTATCCCAATTGCGTGGATCCATGCTCATGATGTCAATTACTGGATTGTCTGGTCCAGACTCAATTATTTACAGACCGCTGTCATATCATGCATATAGCTGGAATATTGCTGAGTGCGGCGTTAAACAACAAACAAACAAACAAACGAACATAAGCTGACCTTGCTGTCCAGGATGACCCGAAGGAGGTGAAGCTGTTTGAGTGGCTGGACGGTCCGCTGGTGACGGCCATGAAGGAGGGGAGCATGTTCCTCATCGACGAGATTTCCCTGGCAGACGACTCCGTGCTGGAGCGACTCAACAGTGTGCTGGAGCCGGAGCAGACGCTGCTGCTGGCGGAGAAGGGTGGGGGAGACGGGGGCAGCAACGAGGTGGAGCAGATCAAGGCGGCGGGGGGATTCCAGGTGTACGCCACCATGAATCCCGGCGGGGATTTCGGCAAGAAGGAGGTGAGGAAAGATCCTATGTTGTATTTGTAGATAATCCAGAAAGGCCATCTGTTACTACTTTGGAGGAATAATTATGAGAATATGCACCAAATTCCACAAGTGCAATAAAGTGAAATATACGACTCAACATTTGACTCAAGATGACTATTTGGGTCCTAAGCAAATGTTGTGTAGTGTATATTACAGTATTTGGCAAGAACCAATGTCACTGATTTTGACTATGGTAGTGATACACATAAGGAAGTGAATTTATGGATGTCAACTTCTTTATTATGAGGAACACAACGTTTCTTAGTATATACTTACTCCTTCATCAGGTAAGGAGTAAGTATATACTCTGAAACGTTGTGTTCCCCATAATAAAGAAGTTGACATCCATAAATTTGCTTCCTAACTGTAGTTATTGATTTAACAATTTGACACTGTTGGTTCCAACTAACATAGAAAGTGTGTTGATATGACAATGTATAAAAGACAGTTACATCATACCATTGTTGTAAGAGATTGTTTTGATGAGGACTAGTGGAACAATGTGACCCCTTACTCTGTGGACCGGTGGTTTATGGTTGTCTGATCCACACTTGATTAGGTGCATAACTTCTCTTGATGAGCTGTAGGTACAATGAATTTTATTGTGGGTCCCTTGGGATGCAGTAAAGTCTTTTTTCTGCATCCAGGCTCAACAGTTGTGCATACTGGACTCACCTTTGTGTGTAACGTAAATCCCTGCTAAAGTTGTTATTGAATTGTCTTTTAATTTACAGCAAGCTGTTACGGATAACACTTCCATTATTGCTTGTTACCACCATTCTTCTGGCCACTTTCATCCATAGAATGTGTCATGTCTTCATGTTCTACCACACGCCAGAAACCTATGACTGTGGGTTCGAATCCCGCTTCGCCCCGATTATGTTTCTGCGTTAGTCAGCACCATACCCATGCTTGTGGGTTTCACCGAAGCGGTATACATCTGAGACCTGCCTCATTTCGGCCTTACCTCCCACATTAAGCTGACAAGCCGCAATATAACTGAAATACTGTTAAAAGTGGCATTAAACCCAACCTCACTCACTCATGTTCTACCAACTTCTTAATACCTGTCAAAGACTTAACGCCCCAACAGGGCCCCTTCTACATTCTGGTGAGTCCCGTGAAGATCCGGGGTAGAATAGGTCTTCAGCAACTCATGCTTGCCGTAAAAGGTGACTATGCTTGTCGTAAAAAGCAACTAACGGGATCGGGTGGTCAGACTCCCTGACTTGGTTGATGCATGTCATCCTATCCCAATTGCGTGGATCAATGCTCATGATATTAATCACTGGATTGTCTGGTTCAGACTCGATTATTAACAGACCGCCGTCATATAGCATGAATATAGCTGAGTGCGGCGTTTTAACAAGAAAAACAATCAAAGACTTAACATCAAATTGTGTGCAATAAGCAAAAATAATGACTACTGTAGAATCTTATGGTCCCTTCACCTTGAATGGCCACTGTATTGTTGGGATGTGTTGCAGTTGTCTCCGGCTCTGCGGAACAGGTTCACGGAGATCTGGTGTCCGCCCACGTGTCAGCGTGACGACCTTGAGGAGATCATCGAACACAACATCCGGGAGGGACTACAGCTTGGCAACCAACAGGACGGCACGACTGGGTTCGGAGCGGCCATATTGGATTTCATTGAGTGGTTCTCAAATAATGAAATTGGAAAAAAGTTAGTACCTCTGTCTAGTTTGGTATAATCCATTACAGTGTTGTGTGCTCAGATGACAATGTCTTGAATTGAAGAGACATAAATCAGATGAAAGATGTAACATTTATCATCCAAAACTGGCTTTCACTGGAGACTTCGCTACTATGTGTCGTGATATTATCAGTTACTGTGTTGATTATGTTATAGAGACCCCACTCTGCTGGAAAATCTGTCTGAACCTCTGACTGCACAAGAACTTGTCTGTCAGAGGTTCTGACAAAACTTGACTTTCAGCATCATTTTCAGAAGATATTAGTCTTCATAATATTTTGGGGCGGTCAGGTAGCCTAGTGGTTAAAGCGTTCGCTCGTCACGCCGAAGACCCGGGTTTCGATTCCCGACATGGGTACAATGTGTGAAGCCCATTTCTGGTGTCCCCCGCCGTGATATTGCTTGAATATTGCTAAAAGCGGCGTAAAACCATACTCACTCACTCACTCACTCACTCACTCACTCACTCACTCACTCACTCACTCACTCACTCACTCACATTTAATATTTTGTTGCTGAGCTTACTTGGCCAAAAGCTACATTCTTAGCTCATAATTTGGACTTGCTGACTGAAACTTAGAACAGTCATGCCCATGTTTCCATGGTTACTAACTCTTGTAGGTTATGTCGCCTTGCATCATGCAAGATGTCCACATCGCCTGTGTAGAAACAAGAAAGGTATTGCAGGTTACATGGGTGTAAATCTTCTACATGTTTCTCTGTGGTGTTTTGTGATTGATGTCTTTACTCACCTTCCTACCAGGTGCACCGTGAGTATCCGAGACATCCTCACCTGGGTCCACTTCATCAACACCTGTGCCACACCCGATTTGGGGGAGGTTTCCATGGAAACCTCTGATAGTGGCCTTGACCCTGTGAAGGCGTACATCCATGGCGCATGTCTTGTGTTTCTGGACAGTCTCGGAAGTGGTAAGACGGTTATGATTTATTTGTAGACAGTATCAAATTAAGTGTGTTGTCATGGGGAATGGTAGCTGGAGCATGAAAACTAATTCAGAGGGTGAAAGGCACTGGAATTAGGGCTGGCTATGGATACAGATCATAGAAACTGATAATCGTTAACTGAATATCTATCGATTATTGATAAATATCGGAGAAGTAACTTTGAGCAAAAATGTCTGAAAGAAATCACCACACTTCATGCTGCTGGTGAGTGGTGACACATCTGTGCATGGATTACTTTGTGGATATTGGAGTTATAACAAAAACAGTTGCTTTCCTTCTTTGGCAATTGACATGACTGACAATAACAAGTCTGGTTTGATAAATTTAAGCTTTATTTCATCACAATTGTTTATGTAAGTTATTATCCATGACACAATTTTCATATCAATAATGGTTAATATTTCTTCCTTTCGACGATAATTCCGATTATCGATCTTGTTAGCATAATTTTCACAATATTTTCATTGGAATATTTCCAATTTTACAATATGTTTGTCTCAGTCTTACTTAATTTCTCTTCATACTGCTGAGGGGAGGTCGGGTAGCCTAGTGGCTAAAGCATTCGCTCGTCATGTCAAAGACCCGGGTTCGATTCCCGACATGGGTACAATGTGTGGAGCCCATTTCTGGTGTCCCCAGCCGAAATATTACTGGAATATTGCTAAAAGTGGCGTTAAACCATACTCACTCACTCTTCATACTGCTGAGGAGGCTATAGCTACCTGTCTAACTTTGTGTTGTACATTCATTTTCAACTGCAATCATTCGAACCTTGGTGGAAGTGGCTTGACGGTTCTTGCTGTGACTATCAATGACAATGTAGTGATCTGCTTGCTTGTTGTCTCTCCAGGTACTTCCAGTCAAAGGGCTGACTTCAACATAGAGGTAGCCCGTGACACATGCCTCCAGTTTCTGGTCAAACAGATCAACTCATTTGGTGGCCATGATTACAACATGGCGGACTTGAATCTCTGTCTTCAGAAAGAGGCTGCAGGGAAGATGGCTGTCATCAGCACGGATGAAGTCTTCTCCATACCACCTTTCAGCATTCCAAGAGGTATTCCAATCATGTATCATCTTGTTAATATTGCAGTTAATGTTTTTGTCTCATGTCTGGTATGGAGACACATGCATCCAGGCATTATACAGTTTTAACAATGCTGCAGTAATAATGCAGATTGAATTGTCACCTGTTTGGTCATTCGTGACCTACTGTGTTATTCCAGGACAGGCCGAATAGCAACTTGTGCCCCTCACATGGCCATTTTTGGCGACTCAGTTCTGTCTAAGCACAAATGAGTACAGTTAAAAGAATTGTCAACTTATTGCGTAATGATTCACATATATTTTCCTGATGTTATATATATTCCAGATGCTATTCAAGACTTACATTTACGGGACGGCATTTATACAGTATGACTGAACACATTTAACTGTATTGAGGGTATATTTTAAGATGCAAGACTTAAAAAATTATTCCTTAGGTATTCTTTGACAGAAGTACTTGAAGATATACGCACATTCTGATTGGGCTCTCGTATTTTCACACATTACATTCATCGATAGGAGTCTTCTTGCAGGTTAGGAAAGGGGCGAGTGGTGCCGAATGCTGTTTGGTACTCCTATAATACCTGTTGTTGTGTGTGTCAGGTGATGTTCACTCTGAGTCCGGCACCAAGTACGCCCTGCAGGCGCCGACCACCTGCATGAACGCACAGCGGGTCCTGCGGGCCCTGCAGCTGCCACGCCCACTTCTCCTGGAGGGGTCACCGGGGGTCGGCAAGACCAGTCTCGTCACTGCTATAGCGCGGTCTGCCGGGAGAGAGCTTGTCCGCATCAATCTGTCCGAGCAGACGGTAGGTTCCAGCGTGATATTGTATAAGAATGTGTTGTGATTCCAAACAATAGGCCACCAGTTGTTGTTGAAAGAGGACCATTGGGATCAGCTGATCACACTTTGAATTGGTTTAGAGTCCCGTTCACCGGTAATTACCAGTTTTTTACCGGTAAAATTAAGCTTGGACTGGTAATTCATGTCACTGCCAGTCCCTGTGGACCGGCAAATAAAGTATCTAAGAATTCCTTGTTGTTCAACAAAACATCGGTGATATTCATATAAGTACATTTTTTTAACTAAGTCAGCTTGTCTGTTACCATCAGGGTTTCCACTTGTCTATTTCTAGGTTAAATATCCATTTAGTCTCGAAATATTAAAAAAAGAAGAAGAGAAAATTGTGATGGAAGTTTGTGTGAATGACGTATAGATCTAACTAAGTTACTTCATAGACAACATCTTTGCACTGAACATTATGTTGAAAGAATTAAAACTAGATAATTTTCATATTTTTTTTATATTTTTTTAAAGTTGGGACTGGCAAAAATTAGTGGGGACTGGTAATTTTTAGAGTTGCCAGTCCACAAGGACTGGCAGTTTCAAAAGCCAGCGGGAACACTGTGGTTGTCATTACATCTAAACAGGGTGGATCATGCTCATGCTCTGAAACCCTTGTTCCTGCTCTGAACCCTTGTTCCTGCTCTGAACCCTTGTTCATGCACTGAACCCTTGTTCATGCTCTGAACCCTTGTTCATGCTCTGAACCCTTGTTCGTGCTCTGAACCTGTGTTCGTACTCTGAACCCTTGATCGTGCTCTGAACCCGTGTTCGTACTCTGAACCCTTGTTTGTGCTCGTGCTCTGAACCCTTGTTCATGCTCTGAAACCCTTGTCCGTGCTCTGAACCCGTGTTTGTACTCTGAACCCTTGTTTGTGCTCTGAAACCCTTGTTCATGCTCTGAATCCTTGTTCCTGCTCTGAACCATTGTTCGTGCTCTGAACCCTTGTTCATGCTCTGAAACCCTTGTTTGTGCTCTGAACCCTTGTTCATGCTCTGAAACCCTCTTCATGTTCTGAAACCCTTGTTCATGCTCTGAACCCGTGTTCGTACTCTGAACCCTTGTTTGTGCTCTGAACCCTTGTTCATGCTCTGAAACCCTTGTTCATGCTCTGAAACCCTTGCTCATGCTCTGAACCCGTGTTTGTACTCTGAACCCTTGTTCGTGCTCTGAACCCTTGTTCATGCTCTGAACCCGTGTTTGTACTCTGAACCCTTGTTTGTGCTCTGAACCCTTGTTCATGCTCTGAAACCCTTGTTCGTGCTCTGAAACCCTTGTTCATGCTCTGAATCCTTGTTCCTGCTCTGAACCATTGTTCGTGCTCTGAACCCTTGTTCATGCTCTGAAACCCTTGTTTGTGCTCTGAACCCTTGTTCATGCTCTGAAACCCTCTTCATGTTCTGAAACCCTTGTCCGTGCTCTGAACCCGTGTTTGTACTCTGAACCCTTGTTCGTGCTCTGAAACCCTTGTTCATGCTCTGAATCCTTGTTCCTGCTCTGAACCATTGTTCGTGCTCTGAACCCTTGTTCATGCTCTGAAACCCTTGTTTGTGCTCTGAACCCTTGTTCATGCTCTGAACCCTTGTTCCTGCTCTGAACCCTTGTTCCTGCTCTGAACCCTTGTTGTGATTCCAAACAATAGGCCACCAATTGTTGTTGAAAGAGGACCATTGGGATCAGCTGATCACACTTTGAATTGGTTTAGAGTCCCGTTCACCGGTAATTACCAGTTTTTTACCGGTAAAATTAAGCTTGGACTGGTAATTCATGTCACTGCCAGTCCCTGTGGACCGGCAAATAAAGTATCTAAGAATTCCTTGTTGTTCAACAAAACATCGGTGATATTCATATAAGTACATTTTTTTAACTAAGTCAGCTTGTCTGTTACCATCAGGGTTTCCACTTGTCTATTTCTAGGTTAAATATCCATTTAGTCTCGAAATATTAAAAAAAGAAGAAGAGAAAATTGTGATGGAAGTTTGTGTGAATGACGTATAGATCTAACTAAGTTACTTCATAGACAACATCTTTGCACTGAACATTATGTTGAAAGAATTAAAACTAGATAATTTTCATATTTTTTTTATATTTTTTTAAAGTTGGGACTGGCAAAAATTAGTGGGGACTGGTAATTTTTAGAGTTGCCAGTCCACAAGGACTGGCAGTTTCAAAAGCCAGCGGGAACACTGTGGTTGTCATTACATCTAAACAGGGTGGATCATGCTCATGCTCTGAAACCCTTGTTCCTGCTCTGAACCCTTGTTCCTGCTCTGAACCCTTGTTCATGCACTGAACCCTTGTTCATGCTCTGAACCCTTGTTCATGCTCTGAACCCTTGTTCGTGCTCTGAACCCGTGTTCGTACTCTGAACCCTTGATCGTGCTCTGAACCCGTGTTCGTACTCTGAACCCTTGTTTGTGCTCGTGCTCTGAACCCTTGTTCATGCTCTGAAACCCTTGTCCGTGCTCTGAACCCGTGTTTGTACTCTGAACCCTTGTTCGTGCTCTGAAACCCTTGTTCATGCTCTGAATCCTTGTTCCTGCTCTGAACCATTGTTCGTGCTCTGAACCCTTGTTCATGCTCTGAAACCCTTGTTTGTGCTCTGAACCCTTGTTCATGCTCTGAAACCCTCTTCATGTTCTGAAACCCTTGTTCATGCTCTGAACCCGTGTTCGTACTCTGAACCCTTGTTTGTGCTCTGAACCCTTGTTCATGCTCTGAAACCCTTGTTCATGCTCTGAAACCCTTGTTTGTGCTCTGAACCCTTGTTCATGCTCTGAAACCCTCTTCATGTTCTGAAACCCTTGTCCGTGCTCTGAACCCGTGTTTGTACTCTGAACCCTTGTTCGTGCTCTGAAACCCTTGTTCATGCTCTGAATCCTTGTTCCTGCTCTGAACCATTGTTCGTGCTCTGAACCCTTGTTCATGCTCTGAAACCCTTGTTTGTGCTCTGAACCCTTGTTCATGCTCTGAACCCTTGTTCCTGCTCTGAACCCTTGTTCCTGCTCTGAACCCTTGTTGTGATTCCAAACAATAGGCCACCAATTGTTGTTGAAAGAGGACCATTGGGATCAGCTGATCACACTTTGAATTGGTTTAGAGTCCCGTTCACCGGTAATTACCAGTTTTTTACCGGTAAAATTAAGCTTGGACTGGTAATTCATGTCACTGCCAGTCCCTGTGGACCGGCAAATAAAGTATCTAAGAATTCTTTGTTGTTCAACAAAACATCGGTGATATTCATATAAGTACATTTTTTTAACTAAGTCAGCTTGTCTGTTACCATCAGGGTTTCCACTTGTCTATTTCTAGGTTAAATATCCATTTAGTCTCGAAATATTAAAAAAAGAAGAAGAGAAAATTGTGATGGAAGTTTGTGTGAATGACGTATAGATCTAACTAAGTTACTTCATAGACAACATCTTTGCACTGAACATTATGTTGAAAGAATTAAAACTAGATAATTTTCATATTTTTTTTATATTTTTTTGAAGTTGGGACTGGCAAAAATTAGTGGGGACTGGTAATTTTTAGAGTTGCCAGTCCACAAGGACTGGCAGTTTCAAAAGCCAGCGGGAACACTGTGGTTGTCATTACATCTAAACAGGGTGGATCATGCTCATGCTCTGAAACCCTTGTTCCTGCTCTGAACCCTTGTTCCTGCTCTGAACCCTTGTTCCTGCTCTGAACCCTTGTTCATGCACTGAACCCTTGTTCATGCTCTGAACCCTTGTTCATGCTCTGAACCCTTGTTCGTGCTCTGAACCCGTGTTCGTACTCTGAACCCTTGATCGTGCTCTGAACCCGTGTTCGTACTCTGAACCCTTGTTTGTGCTCGTGCTCTGAACCCTTGTTCATGCTCTGAAACCCTTGTCCGTGCTCTGAACCCGTGTTTGTACTCTGAACCCTTGTTCGTGCTCTGAAACCCTTGTTCATGCTCTGAATCCTTGTTCCTGCTCTGAACCATTGTTCGTGCTCTGAACCCTTGTTCATGCTCTGAAACCCTTGTTTGTGCTCTGAACCCTTGTTCATGCTCTGAAACCCTCTTCATGTTCTGAAACCCTTGTTCATGCTCTGAACCCGTGTTCGTACTCTGAACCCTTGTTTGTGCTCTGAACCCTTGTTCATGCTCTGAAACCCTTGTTCATGCTCTGAAACCCTTGCTCATGCTCTGAACCCGTGTTTGTACTCTGAACCCTTGTTCGTGCTCTGAACCCTTGTTCATGCTCTGAACCCGTGTTTGTACTCTGAACCCTTGTTTGTGCTCTGAACCCTTGTTCATGCTCTGAAACCCTTGTTCGTGCTCTGAAACCCTTGTTCATGCTCTGAATCCTTGTTCCTGCTCTGAACCATTGTTCGTGCTCTGAACCCTTGTTCATGCTCTGAAACCCTTGTTTGTGCTCTGAACCCTTGTTCATGCTCTGAAACCCTCTTCATGTTCTGAAACCCTTGTCCGTGCTCTGAACCCGTGTTTGTACTCTGAACCCTTGTTCGTGCTCTGAAACCCTTGTTCATGCTCTGAATCCTTGTTCCTGCTCTGAACCATTGTTCGTGCTCTGAACCCTTGTTCATGCTCTGAAACCCTTGTTTGTGCTCTGAACCCTTGTTCATGCTCTGAACCCTTGTTCCTGCTCTGAACCCTTGTTCCTGCTCTGAACCCTTGTTGTGATTCCAAACAATAGGCCACCAATTGTTGTTGAAAGAGGACCATTGGGATCAGCTGATCACACTTTGAATTGGTTCAGAGTCCCGTTCACCGGTAATTACCAGTTTTTTACCGGTAAAATTAAGCTTGGACTGGTAATTCATGTCACTGCCAGTCCCTGTGGACCGGCAAATAAAGTATCTAAGAATTCTTTGTTGTTCAACAAAACATCGGTGATATTCATATAAGTACATTTTTTTAACTAAGTCAGCTTGTCTGTTACCATCAGGGTTTCCACTTGTCTATTTCTAGGTTAAATATCCATTTAGTCTCGAAATATTAAAAAAAGAAGAAGAGAAAATTGTGATGGAAGTTTGTGTGAATGACGTATAGATCTAACTAAGTTACTTCATAGACAACATCTTTGCACTGAACATTATGTTGAAAGAATTAAAACTAGATAATTTTCATATTTTTTTTATATTTTTTTGAAGTTGGGACTGGCAAAAATTAGTGGGGACTGGTAATTTTTAGAGTTGCCAGTCCACAAGGACTGGCAGTTTCAAAAGCCAGCGGGAACACTGTGGTTGTCATTACATCTAAACAGGGTGGATCATGCTCATGCTCTGAAACCCTTGTTCCTGCTCTGAACCCTTGTTCCTGCTCTGAACCCTTGTTCCTGCTCTGAACCCTTGTTCATGCACTGAACCCTTGTTCATGCTCTGAACCCTTGTTCATGCTCTGAACCCTTGTTCGTGCTCTGAACCCGTGTTCGTACTCTGAACCCTTGATCGTGCTCTGAACCCGTGTTCGTACTCTGAACCCTTGTTTGTGCTCGTGCTCTGAACCCTTGTTCATGCTCTGAAACCCTTGTCCGTGCTCTGAACCCGTGTTTGTACTCTGAACCCTTGTTCGTGCTCTGAAACCCTTGTTCATGCTCTGAAACCCTTGTTCATGCTCTGAAACCCTTGCTCATGCTCTGAACCCGTGTTTGTACTCTGAACCCTTGTTCGTGCTCTGAACCCTTGTTCATGCTCTGAAACCCTTGTTTGTGCTCTGAACCCTTGTTCGTGCTCTGAACCCTTGTTCATGCTCTGAAACCCTTGTTCGTGCTCTGAACCCGTGTTCGTACTCTGAACCCTTGTTCCTGCTCTGAACCCTTGTTCGTGCTCTGAACCCTTGTTCGTGCTCTGAACCCTTGTTCATGCTCTGAAACCCTTGTCCGTGCTCTGAACCCGTGTTTGTACTCTGAACCCTTGTTCGTGCTCTGAAACCCTTGTTCATGCTCTGAATCCTTGTTCCTGCTCTGAACCATTGTTCGTGCTCTGAACCCTTGTTCATGCTCTGAAACCCTTGTTTGTGCTCTGAACCCTTGTTCATGCTCTGAAACCCTTGTTCCTGCTCTGAACCCTTGTTCGTACTCTGAACCCTTGTTTGTGCTCTGAACCCTTGTTCATGCTCTGAAACCCTTGTTCATGCTCTGAAACCCTTGCTCATGCTCTGAACCCGTGTTTGTACTCTGAACCCTTGTTCGTGCTCTGAACCCTTGTTCATGCTCTGAAACCCTTGTTCGTGCTCTGAACCCTTGTTCGTGCTCTGAACCCTTGTTCATGCTCTGAAACCCTTGTCCGTGCTCTGAACCCGTGTTTGTACTCTGAACCCTTGTTCGTGCTCTGAAACCCTTGTTCATGCTCTGAATCCTTGTTCCTGCTCTGAACCATTGTTCTTGCTCTGAAACCCTTGTTCATGCTCTGAACCCTTGTTCATGCTCTGAAACCCTTGTTTGTGCTCTGAACCCTTGTTCATGCTCTGAAACCCTCTTCATGCTCTGAAACCCTTGTTCATGCTCTGAACCCTTGTTCCTGCTCTGAACCCTTGTTCTTGCTCTGAACCCTTGTTCCTGCTCTGAATCCTTGTTCATGCTCTGAAACCCTTGTTCATGCTCTGAAACCCTTGCTCATGCTCTGAACCCGTGTTTGTACTCTGAACCCTTGTTCCTGCTCTGAACCCTTGTTCCTGCTCTGAACCCTTGTTCGTGCTCTGAACCCTTGTTCATGCTCTGAAACCCTTGTTCATGCTCTGAAACCCTTGCTCATGCTCTGAACCCGTGTTTGTACTCTGAACCCTTGTTCGTGCTCTGAACCCTTGTTCATGCTCTGAACCCGTGTTTGTACTCTGAACCCTTGTTTGTGCTCTGAACCCTTGTTCATGCTCTGAAATCCTTGTTCATGCTCTGAAACCCTTGTTCGTGCTCTGAACCCTTGTTCATGCTCTGAAACCCTTGTTCATGCTCTGAACCCTTGTTCCTGCTCTGAACCCTTGTTCTTGCTCTGAACCCTTGTTCTTGCTCTGAACCCTTGTTCATGCTCTGAACCCGTGTTTGTACTCTGAACCCTTGTTCATGCTCTGAACCTGTGTTTGTGCTCTGAACCCTTGTTTGTGCTCTGAACCCTTGTTCATGCTCTGAAATCCTTGTTCATGCTCTGAAACCCGTGTTCGTGCTCTGAACCCTTGTTCGTGCTCTGAAATCCTTGTTCATGCTCTGAAACCCTTGTTCGTGCTCCGAACCCTTGTTCATGCTCTTAAACCCTTGTTCATGCTCTGAACCCTTGTTCCTGCTCTGAACCCTTGTTCTTGCTCTGAACCCTTGTTCTTGCTCTGAACCCTTGTTCATGCTCTGAACCCTTGTTCATGCTCTGAAACCCTTGTTCCTGCTCTGAACCCTTGTTCCTGCTCTGAACCCTTGCTTTGCCTGGCTCGAACTCAGTTATATACAGGCCACCGTCATATTGCTGGTACTTTCTGACTGCAGATGAAACCTTGTCCATTCTTTACTTCCTCCAGTGTGAGAGTGGATTTGTTCTTCATAATTACAGGAACAGGTGTTGGCTGATGTGTGTATCTGTAATGCCCAATGAGACTGTCAAGAACACCAGACCATGACTACATATAAGTGTTGTCTCTAATTCCCTCTGTGTGTTTGTTTGTTTGTTTGTCTGTTGTTTAACGCCGCACTCAGCAATATTCCAGCTATATGACGGCGGTCTGTAAAGTAATCGAGTCTGGACCAGACAATCCAGTGATTGACATCATGAGCATCGATCCACGCAATTGGGATCGATGACATGTATAAACCAAGTCAGCGAACCTGACCACCCGATCCTGTTAGTCGCCTTTTACAACAAGCATAGTCGCCTTTCCGGGAAGTATGGGTTGCTGAATACCTATTCTACCCCAGAATCATCAAGGGGCTCCCTCCGTGTGGGTATTACAGCAACTGATGCCGGTTGTAGCATGCATCGAGGTGACTTGATTGGTTGGGTGGTCTGGCTTGGTGTCTTGGTTGACAGCGAAACATTGCACCCCTATGGCGTGGATTGTTTCATCATGATATCAATCACTGGATTGTTAGTTCCGGACTATTTTTTGAAGTCTGCATTTAACAAAAAAGAAACTATCAAAACACAAAATATTCTTTTTCAACGTGGATGTCTTTTGTTGTAGGATGTGACGGACTTGTTCGGTGCTGACCTCCCTGTGGAGGGTGCGGAGGGGGGGAGGTTTGCGTGGAGGGACGGACCCCTGTTGCAGGCACTGAAGGCTGGACACTGGGTCGTCCTGGACGAGGTGAGTGTCTTCATGTATTGACAATATTTTGCCTTTAACATGTCTTCTCATGTCTTGCTTACATAGCCATTATTTGGCTGTCTTGCTGATCAAGATGTTTGTCTTAACAAGTGGACATTTCAAAATATACCAGTGAAGATATGAACTTTGACACTCCATAAGGTAAAAAAGTTGTGTAATTTCCTTCAGGTAATGGATACAATATCAAGTAGGATATTTATCCCCACAAAGTGTTTTGCAGGGGATATTGAAATGGACACTGTCTGTGCATCTCTGCATCTGTCCGTTTTTGCATGATGTCATTTCCGGGGCAGATCTTTGAAAACATATATTTCTTAACCAAAGTCCTCACATAGATGAACTGGTGCCTTTTGATAGTTTTGGATTTTTTAGTATAATTGTGGTAGTAATGTAATAAATATAATTATGGCTAAAATGGATAGAATTATCATTAAACTGTTATCAGAAATCAGCGGGCCACTGTAACTTGATAATGCCCTCATATTGCTTGACGACGGGCCATTATCGCGCACGTTGTTAGGTGGCATCATAGGATAGGGATACCTGACGTCACGTACAATACTGACGTCATCTGGTTTGTTCTGTGACGTTTCCATGTTTGTAAAAGTGGGTCAGTGACATTCGTGTTGATTGCGGTAAATGTTTCAAAACCTATATTGTTGTTTCCTTTTATTTGATAAAAATTCCATCCATTTTAGCTATAATAACGGTAACACTATTTTTCAGGGCATGATCATTTGCAGAAGCCCTCAGTCTTTTCAACAGTTAATGGAACACCTCGGGCTTCTGCAAATGATCATGCCCTGAAAAATAGCGTTACCTTTGTACTAGTTGACTATTCCCTGCAAGTATTTACAGGCGACTATATTTGTCGTAAGAGGTGGCTAACGGGATCGGGTGGTCAGACTCGCTGACTTGGTTGATGCATGTCATCGATCCCAATTGCATGGATCGATGCTCATGATATCAATCACTGGATTGTCTGGTCCAGACTCGATTATGTACAGACCGCCGTCATATAGCTGGAGTATTGCTGAGTGCAGCATAAACCAACAAACCAACCAACCAAACCAACAAGTATTTACAATTGCGTGTGATATCGATGACTCTTGTTTTTTCTATGATGGAGATTAACATTGAAATTACTTGTTTGTTTATGTCTTTGTTTATACAACTGGTCTTCATATGATATTCGTGTGATATGAAGAGGTCTTGATATGAGGATTCACTCACTGCGCTGAAAATTATTCTGGCCAGAAACTGTTCTACCCATATTATTACTTATAGATAATTGTTCAATAACATCATGCAGTTAGTTGTTGGAATCAAGGTAATGAAGTTAAGAAAGGGTTGAGAATATATTTTGAGGTTGCTGTTTGGTTCACAGCTGAACCTGGCCTCCCAGTCTGTGTTGGAGGGCCTGAACGCCTGTCTGGACCACAGAGCCGAGGTGTTCATCCCGGAACTCGGCAAGACATTCACCATTCAACACGAGCAGACGCGACTGTTTGCCTGTCAGAACCCCCTCAGCCAGGGGGGAGGACGGAAGGGCCTGCCTCGCTCATTCCTCAATAGGTTCACTCAAGTAAGTATTAACTCTCGTTGTGAAGAGTGTTTGGGTTGTAAGTTTCTAGCCTCGCTTATTCGTCAATACGTTCACTCAAGTAAGTCTTTACTCTCGTTGTGAAGAGTGTTTGGGTTGTAAGTTTCTAGCCTTGCTCATTCCTCAATAGGTTCACTCAAGTTATTTCTAACTCCTGTCGTGAAGAGTCTCTGGGTTGTATGTTTCTAGCCTTGCTCATTCGTCAATATGTTCACTAAAGTAATTTCCCATCATCAAGAGTATTTTGGTTGTATGTTTCTACACTGAGTAAGGCAATCTGTCACAGATTAGAGACTATGTATGTTGACTGTCTATAATGATTGTTGGTTAATTGCATGGTGTTTATAGTGTGGTGTATGTAACAGGTGTTTATGTAATTGTGTGGTGTATGTAACAGGTGTTTATGTAATTGTGTGGTGTATGTTACAGGTGTTTATGTAATTGTGTGGTGTATGTTACAGGTGTTTATGTAATTGTGTGGTGTATAGGTGTTTATGTAATTGTGTGGTGTATGTAACAGGTGTTTATGTAATTGTGTGGTGTATGTAACAGGTGTTTATGTAATTGTGTGGTGTATGTTACAGGTGTTTATGTAATTGTGTGGTGTATGTAACAGGTGTTTATGTAATTGTGTGGTGTATGTAACAGGTGTTTGTGTATTTGTGTGGTGTATGTAACAGGTGTTTATGTAATTGTGTGGTGTATAGGTGTTTATGTAATTGTGTGGTGTATGTAACAGGTGTTTATGTAATTGTGTGGTGTATGTAACAGGTGTTTATGTAATTGTGTGGTGTATGTAACAGGTGTTTGTGTAATTGTGTGGTGTATGTAACATGTGTTTATGTAATTGTGTGGTGTATGTAACAGGTGTTTATGTAATTGTGTGGTGTATGTAACAGGTGTTTATGTAATTGTGTGGTGTATGTAACAGGTGTTTATGTAATTGTGTGGTGTATGTTACAGGTGTTTATGTAATTGTGTGGTGTATGTAACAGGTGTTTATGTAATTGTGTGGTGTATGTAACAGGTGTTTATGTAATTGTGTGGTGTACATGGTGTATGTAACAGGTGTTTATGTAATTGTGTGGTGTATGTTACAGGTGTTTATGTAATTGTGTGGTGTATGTTACAGGTATACATAGAGCCACTGTCTAGGGGAGATCTGTTGTTTATTGCGGAGTCCATGTTCCCAGTCATCTCGGGGGACATCTTGACAGCGATGGTGGACTTCAATATGGCGGTAAGTTCTAACACACAGCTGTTGAGTGTACTAATTTGTAACCCAAAACTGGCTTCCACAGGAGATATTGTAGACCATTGTGATGTCATTGGTTACCATGATGTCACAGGCATATGACATCAGTACTGTCTTGGCCACGTAGACAGGTTAGCCGTACTTTTTACACTGGTTATTACTGTTTATTGATTGTCTTCAGTGGAAACATTAGACATGTTGTATTTGTTCAAGTTTCCACTGATATCGACCCGTGAAGATGCAGGTTAGAATAGGTCTTCAGCAACCCATGCTTGCCGTGAAAGGCGACTATGCTTGTTGTAAAAGGTGACAAACGGGATCGGGTGGTCAGGCTCACTGACTTGGTTGATGCTTGTTATCGATGATAATTGTGTGGATAGATGCTCATGATGTCAATCACTGGATTGTCTGGTCCAGACTCATTTATTTACAGACTGCCGTCATATAGCTGGAATATCGCTGACAAACCACAAACAAAAAACAAAACATCAACCCATGGTGATACGGTTTATTACTACTGGGTATGGGCTGTTATTATATTAGGTCACTGTGAATTTCAGCTCTCTTAGGTGTTGTTTTTTCATCAAAGGTAAGTCAGTCCTTAGAACTTATAGAGATATTAATGGTAGTGGATATTATTCTTCAGTTGTTTATTGTGATATGATTCCAGCTTCACAACCAGACGATGATGCAGGGTTTGTGGGGACACCGCGGAGGACCCTGGGAATTCAATCTGCGGGACTTGTTCCGCTGGTGTGAGTTGCTGCTGGCCAATCAGGTGCCTGGAGATTTCGACCCAGGAGAGTATGTAAGGCTGGTCTATGCAGATCGGATGAGGACATTGGCTGACAAGGCAAAGGTAGGCAACTGCTGGGGAAAAACTAACTAAATTCTAAATGTCAAATGCATCAGTCAACTGACACTGCATGAAAATATTTTATTATTTTTTTGCTTGTAGACATTCCAAAACAAGAAGACAAACTTCTTCTCCCTTAAAAAGGTAGCAGGCTGCCTGTTTCATTCTCAGAGAGTTTGGAAGTCTGAGATTGGCTTTGTTGTAGAGTAGTGCCATGCCTACTATTGTTGTTCCCATTGGAATAATCCTGTTACAGGATTCCCTGACACAATAATTGAAGCTGTGAATTGAGAGACAAGTACTATGTTGGGCATGGAGGATTTTTTAAGTGATTGAAGCATTCATAAAATATCAGTTAGACTTGACAATCCACTTGTCAAGCTCCCATCAGGAGATACTCTATCGAATATCATTGCATGGATATATTTCTACTACATTTTAGATATTAACATAACAACGACAAGATAAACATTGTTTTCCCTACCACAATGAATTTAAAATAGTAACTGGATCCTAGCGTGGATACAGTTTTTGGAAACAATTTGCTTTTGTCAGGCAAAGATTGAGTCAGTTTGTTGTTATTTTTACAGTAAACTGTGTTTATTATGAACACGCTTATAACAAACTGACGGAAATAACAAACTGATTTTTGGTCCTCTGCATTTACTGTATATATGCTATATATATATTCTTACAACGAACTACGGTTATAACAAACTAAATTTAGTGGTCCCTTTGAGTTCATTATATCGTAGTTTTCTGTATTTGTTACATTTGCATTGAAAAGAAGGGGAAGGGGTTTGGGATGTGTCTTTTCTCTGAAGCACTTCTGAGTTCAGTCCTGGAGCACAGTTAAAGAATGTTTGATAGAGCTTCTTGTATACCTTTGCACACAACCACATACTAAAGTAGTGCCTAATTCTATTTAGGAATTTGTCAGATGGAATTGTTTGAGGCTGTGGATAACATGCATTGTTCGAAGTGTGGAGGTGACTTAATGTATTGATGGTTGACACCAGGTGTCTGAAGTGTACAACACCCACTTCTCCGGGCTGAACATGAAGGAGGTGTATGGTGGTTCCCGCTACATCGGTGTGGGTGTCCGACAGGTCCAGATTGGCCACGCCTTCTTGAGGAGGTCAGCGTGTGACCCCACGTCAGGCAGACAGGTGTCGCTACAGGTGTTGCATCATCACCTGGAGCCACTCGAGTCCATCGCCAAGTGTGTGCAGATGAACTGGATGGCCGTTCTGGTGAGTTGGGCTTTCATGTGGAATCTTTTTGATAGATTATGTCTATAGGTCTTCAGCTACCCATGTTTGCTGTAAAAGGTGACTATGAATGTCGTAAGAGGTGACTTAACGGGATCAGGTGGTCAGACTCACTGACTTGGTTGATGCATGTCATCGTATCCCAACTGTGTGGATCGATGCTTATGATATCAATCACTGGATTTTCTGGTCCACACTCAATTATTTACAGACCGCCATCACATAGCTGGAATAATATAACTGGAATATTGTTGAGTGCGACAACAAACAAACAAACAAAGTTGATGGAGATACCTTAACTGGGGGGTAACCAGTGTATAAAGATGACTACTTGGAGTAAACTGGGTTTTTTATAGTAGGAATAGGTAGTCCATATTTGTCTCAAGGGGTACAAGTGGCCCCAGGAGACCCGGGTTCAATTCCTGACATGGGTACAATGTGTGAAGCCCCTTTCTGGTGTCCCCTGCCGTTATATTGCTGGAATATTGCTAAAAGTGGCATAAAACGTCACTTACTCACTCACTCACTCACTCACTCACTCACTATGACTGAAATATTATAAGGGGCTTGATTTAGCTATATAAAACATGCACCAGTACAACCAATTATTGAAAAGTGCAACCTTAAAATCTATTTCTACATGCACCAAGTGCTTGTTAAAATATTCAAATTTGTGTCTAACTGACTATTACATTTCTACACAACTATCTTTTCACAGACAGTACCTCTTAGCTTTATACACAACACTACATAAATAATTCCTCGGTTATATGTAATTTGTCATACTTTCTTGGGCTTGACGTCATCAAACTGTGGGTCCTTCAAGATTATGTGCACATCCTTTTACGTTGCACAGCAGTATTTATGTAAAATCATGACAGTCCTCAGAGGGGGGCGGTTGGGTAGCCTAGTGGTTAAAGCGTTAGCTCGTCCAGCCGAAGACCCGGGTTCGATTCCCAACATGGGTACAATGTGTGAAACTCATTTCAGGTGTCTCTCGCCATGATATTGCTGGAATATTGCAAAAACGTTGTAACACCTCACTCACTCAGTCATCAGAGATCTGAGATGACCGTGTTCAGTTTGTGCTTCTATATTTCATCTTTGATAGCTTTACGGGACAAGAGTGCAACCTTACAATTGCCTGGTGCGACTGGGTTTTCATGTCAGCATGCACCTGCTGCAAGTTACATGAAGTTCCTTAAATCTAGCCCTGCAATAGAAAGAGATGTTAACTCCAGCCCCTGTTTGTCTCCATGTTTTAGTCGACGTCTGTCTGTGTGTCAGGTTGGGCCCCAGTCCTGCGGGAACTCCAGCCCCTGTTTGTCTCCATGTTTTACTAGACGTCTGTCTGTGTGTCAGGTTGGGCCCCAGTCCTGCGGGAACTCCAGCCCCAGTTTGTCTCCATGTTTTACTCAACGTCTGTGTGTGTGTCAGGTTGGGCCCCAGTCCTGCGGGAACTGCAGCCCCTGTTTGTCTCCATGTTTTACTAGACGTCTGTCTGTGTGTCAGGTTGGGCCCCAGTCCTGCGGGAACTCCAGCCCCTGTTTGTCTCCATGTTTTACTAGACGTCTGTCTGTGTGTCAGGTTGGGCCCCAGTCCTGCGGGAACTCCAGCCCCTGTTTGTCTCCATGTTTTACTCAACGTCTGTCTGTGCGTCAGGTTGGCCCCCAGTCCTGCGGGAAGTCCAGCATGGTACGTCTGCTGTCGGAGCTGACCGGCACAACGCTCCATGTTCTGCCCATGAACAGCGCCATGGACACCACAGAACTGCTGGGAGGATTTGAACAGGTAGGGACACTTTTCCTCCTGACTGTCTATTTAGTATGCTCATTCATGCCATAGTGTTCATTTCTATTTATAAGATTTTAAGGGGGACTTGAATTATTCCTTCTCTGATAATTATCCAGCAGAGGATTTATGGCCGTTCATGCTATGTTGATTTCAGAAACAAACAAAATGGGAATTAACCGAGAGTATTATTGTTCCTGTAAGTTTCTCTTATATTCATGATTGTGGAAAGCTGTGAGCACCCCAACAGGGCCCCTTCTACATTCCCACTAGACCCGTGAAGATCCGGGGTAGAATAGGTCTTCAGCAACTCATGCTTACTGTAAAAGGCAACTATGCTTGTCGTAAGAGGTGACTAATGGGATCGAGTGGTCAGGCTTGCTGACTTGGTTGATGCATGTCATCATATCCCAATTGCGTGGATCAATGCTCATGATGTTAATCACTGGATTGTCTGGTCCAGACTTGATTATTTACAGACGCCTTCATATAGCTGGAATGATGCTGTGTGCGGCGTTAAACAACAAATAAACAAACAAACAAAACATTCCCACTACCTGGGTAGTCAGCTGATACAGTGGGACCAGGCGAAATACAAGTGTAATGTAATACAAGTGACTTTCCTTGCTCGTAGGTTGCACCAAAGTGGTAATCTTTTCACTTTGAGTTTTCCTCCCACATTTAGCTGACACGCCGTGATATAACTGCAATACTGTTCAACGAGCTTAACAAGACTCACCAATACACCCATCCAACTCACTCACTCACTCGGCTCCTGTGTTTACTCTCGTCACTCTGTTGGGTGGTCCGTGGGTTAAGTGTTTGCTCACGTCACTGAAGACCATGGTTTGATTCTTACATTGGTAAATTGTTTACAGCCCAAGCTTTGTGTCCATATCTACTGGAGTAGTCACTGGAGTGCAGTGATAAACAACACTCACTCACTCACTCACTCTAGGTGTCCACGTCTGCTGGAGTAGACACTGGAGTGCAGTGATAAACAACACTCACTCACTCACTCACTCTTTGTGTCCACATCTACTGGAGTAGTCAGTGGAGTTCAGTGATAAACAACACTCACTCACTCACTCACTCACTCACTCACTCACTCACTCACTCACTCTAGGTGTCCACGTCTGCTGGAGTAGACACTGGAGTGCAGTGATAAACAACACCCACTCACTCACTCTTTGTGCCCACGTCTGCTGGAGTAGACACTGGAGTGCAGTGATAAACAACACCCACTCACTCACTCACTCTAGGTGTCCACATCTGCTGGAGTAGACACTGGAGTGCAGTGATAAACAACACTCACTCACTCACTCTTTGTGTCCACATCTACTGGAGTAGTCAGTGGAGTGCAGTGATAAACAACACTCACTCACTCACTCACTCTAGGTGTCCACGTCTGCTGGAGTAGACACTGGAGTGCAGTGATAAACAACACTCACTCACTCACTCTTTGTGCCCACGTCTGCTGGAGTAGACACTGGAGTGCAGTGATAAACAACACCCACTCACTCACTCACTCTAGGTGTCCACATCTGCTGGAGTAGACACTGGAGTGCAGTGATAAACAACACCCACTCACTCACTCACTCTTTGTGTCCATGTCTGCTGGAGTAGACACTGGAGTGCAGTGATAAACAACACTCACTCACTCACTCACTCACTCTAGGTGTCCACGTCTGCTGGAGTAGACACTGGAGTGCAGTGATAAACAACACCCACTCACTCACTCACTCTAGGTGTCCACGTCTGCTGGAGTAGACACTGGAGTGCAGTGATAAACAACACTCACTCACTCACTCACTCTAGGTGTCCACGTCTGCTGGAGTAGACACTGGAGTGCAGTGATAAACAACACCCACTCACTCACTCACTCTTTGTGTCCACATCTGCTGGAGTAGACACTGGAGTGCAGTGATAAACAACACTCAATCACTCACTCACTCCAGGTGTCCACGTCTACTGGAGTATTCACTGGAGTGCAGTGATAAACAACACACACTCACTCACTCACTCACTCACTCTTGGTGCCCACGTCTACTGGAATATTCACTGGAGTGCAGTGATAAACAACTTTCACGCACTCACTCACTCACTCACTCACTCACTCACTCTTGGTGCCCACGTCTACTGGAATATTCACTGGAGTGCAGTGATAAACAACTTTCACGCACTCACTCACTCACTCACTCACACTCTCTCACTCTTGGTGTCCACGTCTACTGGAATATTCACTTGAGTGCAGTGATCAACAACACTCACTCACTCACTCACTCTTGGTGCCCACATCTACCGGAGTAGTCACTGGAGTGCAGTGATAAACAACATTCCCTCATTCCACAGCAGGCATTTTGCTGGAATATATTTTAACACTTACTACTGACAAATACTTGAACTGAGAATTGATGATTTCTAATATAATACTTTTATTCATGTCAGCTACAACACCTGCTGATCAGGCAACAATGGCAGCCATGTTGTTGAATAACCACAACGGGCTGCTTACAGATAATACCTTACAAGGTGTCAGATAGGATGTATGGCTTCTGACAGGCCACATTAGTCTTCCCATGATGATATGTGAATGTCTCTGGTACAAGGGGACACACAGGAGTCGCACACTGTCTTGTGGTGCAGCCATCCTGTGTGTGTGTGTTTGCTGATCACACTATGTTGACACCACTGAAATGTCCAGGACATGGTGTCTGTGTATGGCCAATGCATCAACACAGGCTTATCGAGTCTGTTGTCCCAACTGGCTGTGGGTTTGACACCAGTGAAATGTCCAGGACATGGTGCCTGTGTATAGCCAATGCATCAACACTGGCTTATCGTGTCCGTTGTCCCAACTGGCTGTGGGTTTGACACCAGTGAAATGTCCAGGACTTGGTGCCTGTGTATAGCCAATGCATCAACACTGGCTTATCGTGTCCGTTGTCCCAACTGGCTGTAGGTTTGACACCAGTGAAATGTCCAGGACTTGGTGCCTGTGTATAGCCAATGCATCAACACTGGCTTATCGTGTCCGTTGTCCCAACTGGCTGTGGGTTTGACACCAGTGAAATGTCCAGGACTTGGTGCCTGTGTATAGCCAATGCATCAACACTGGCTTATCGTGTCCGTTGTCCCAACTGGCTGTGGGTTTGACACCAGTGAAATGTCCAGGACTTGGTGCCTGTGTATAGCCAATGCATCAACACTGGCTTATCGTGTCCATTGTCCCAACTGGCTGTTGGTTTGACACCAGTGAAATGTCCAGGACATGGTGCCTGTGTATAACCAATGCATCAACACTGGCTTATCGTGTCTATTGTCCCAACTGGCTGTGGGTAACAGAAGCCAGGGATGTTTTTTATCCGACAAGCCGTCCTTTTTTGCTCCTTCCATTTGTTGGAAGTCAATGAAACTGTAGCTTCCCTGCACAATCTGTGGCATTGTTTCTTTGTGTGTTGTTAAGTGCAACACTCAGCAACATTCCAGCTTATATGACATGTAAATAATCAGTACTGGACTAGACAATCTAGTGATTGATATTGTATTGATATTAATCTTGGTGCAGTGACACACAATCAACCTCAATGACCACCCTGTCCATTACAACCCCTCTTACAACCAGCATTGGTTTACAGTTTCTATCTCAATCCCCTAGACAGGCCCCAACAACAACAACAACAACAACAACAGGTTCTTTGATATGTATAGATTGTCCCCAAGACATTCAGCTTTCACTATCGCTGTTCCATAGTGAAGGAATGTTCATATTTGTTTACTGACTGCAACAGATGTATAGATTGTCCTCAAAACATCCAGCTTTCACTGTCGTTGTTCCATAGTGAAGGAATGTTAGTATTTGTTGACTGACTGCCACAGATGTATAGATTGTCGCCAAGACATCCAGGTTTCACTGTCGTTCCCTAGTGAAGGAATGCTAGTTTTGTTTACTGACTGCCACAGATGTATAGATTGTCGCCAAGACATCCAGGTTTCACTGTGGTTCCCTAATGAAGGAATGCTAGTTTTGTTTACTGACTGCAACAGATGTATAGATTGTCCTCAAGACATCCAGATTTCACTGTCGTTGTGTTCCATAGTGGATGAAGGTTAGTATTGTTTATTGACTGCAACAGATGCATTTTATTGTCCCAAAGACATCCAGGTTTCACTGTCGTTGTTCCATAGTGAAAGAATGTTAGTTTTGTTTACTGACTACCACAGATGTATAGATTGTCGCCAAGACATCACCTTTCACTGTCGTTGTGTTCCATAGTGAAGGAATGTTAGTATTTGTTTACTGACTGCAACAGATGTATAGATTGTCGCCAAGACATCCAGGTTTCACTGTCGTTCCATAATGAAGGAATGTTAGTATTTGTTTACTGACTGCAACAGATGTATAGATTGTCGCCAAGACATCCAGGTTTCACTGTCATTCCATAATGAAGGAATGTTAGTATTTGTTTACTGACTGCCACAGATGTATAGATTGTCTCCAAGACATTCACCTTTCACTGTCGTTGTGTTCCATAGTGAAGGAATGTTAGTATTTGTTTACTGACTGCCACAGATGTATAGATTGTCGCCAAGACATCCAGGTTTCACTGTCGTTCCATAATGAAGGAATGTTAGTATTTGTTTACTGACTGCAACAGATGTATCGATTGTCGCCAAGACATCCAGGTTTCACTGTCGTTCCATAGTGAAGGAATGTTAGTATTTGTTTACTGACTGCCACAGATGTATAGATTGTCGCCAAGACATCCAGGTTTCACTGTGGTTCCCTAATGAAGGAATGCTAGTTTTGTTTACTGACTGCAACAGATGTATAGATTGTCCTCAAGACATCCAGATTTCACTGTCGTTGTGTTCCATAGTGGATGAAGGTTAGTATTGTTTATTGACTGCAACAGATGCATTTTATTGTCCCAAAGACATCCAGGTTTCACTGTCGTTGTTCCATAGTGAAAGAATGTTAGTTTTGTTTACTGACTACCACAGATGTATAGATTGTCGCCAAGACATCACCTTTCACTGTCGTTGTGTTCCATAGTGAAGGACTGTTAGTATTTGTTTACTGACTGCGACAGATGTATAGATTGTCGCCAAGACATCCAGGTTTCACTGTCGTTCCATAATGAAGGAATGTTAGTATTTGTTTACTGACTGCAACAGATGTATCGATTGTCGCTAAGACATCCAGGTTTCACTGTCGTTCCATAGTGAAGGAATGTTAGTATTGTTTACTGACTGCCACAGATGTATAGATTGTCGCCAAGACATCCAGATTTCACTGTTCCATATTGAAGGAATGTTAGTATTTGTTGACTGACTGCCACAGATGTATAGATTGTCGCCAAGACATCCAGGTTTCACTGTCGTTGTTCCATAGAGAAGGAATGTTAGTATTTGTTTACTGACTGCCACAGATGTAATGATTGTCGCCAAGACATCCAGGTTTGACTGTTCCATATTGAAGGAATGTTAGTATTTGTTGACTGACTGCAGCCGCACCTCTCACAATATCAGTGTGGATCCCTCGTAGTTTAATGTAAGCGGTTGCTCAGACGATGCGAATCTCTCGTTGTCACTTCCATCAGGATCATCGTTCGTGGTGCCGCCTCGCAGTGGCTGATGGGAAGGCGTTGACTCAAAGTTCTCGTTCATGAATCCTGTGTCGTATGCTTTGTACTTCTGATGTAGCTTGTGTCGGAGCGCTTCTTTAGATCTGGACGTCTTCAAGGGCAGAGAGTTGCTGTAAACCTCGCGCGTGAGAGTCTGACGTTGAAAAAGGTCGTATAATATCATGCCGCAGAAGACGGGAGTTGTGAGAGGGTGGGTCCATGCGAAGATGGTGAGGTATCGGTACACGTAGGCCGGCTGGGAGTAGTGGATGTCGAACAGTGTGAGGAGAAACAACGGATACCAGAACAGGGTGTACGACCCCACCATCATAACCATCATGACGACTCGACGCATGTAGATCTTCAAATTCTTTAAAGCTTTCTTTTTGGCAATGTCGTCAAATTCTATGTGATATTCATCATCTGAGGAATCAGTTGCATTCATTTCCATGGAAACCGTCTGATGGATTAGTGTCCATCTGTGACATTTAGACTGAGAATGTAACTTGCGATAAAACTGCACAAAACTGATAACAGACACCATCAAGGCTCCTGACACCAACAGCACCCACAGAACGTGGATGACGTAGTTGCTGGGTTTGCCGTAGAGGAAGACACAGCTGCCGATGTCGTTGTTGTACTCGGTGGTACCGGGGATGAACACGACGCCAAGATGGAGGAGGATGGTGGTGAACCAGATCATGAAGAGCCCGAAGATGATACAGCAGTAGTCTCCCCTTGATTGGCGTTTGCCCTCCTGCAACTGGTACTCCTCGTTGATGAGGATGGCGAGAAGGTTGTAGGCAGTGAGCGTCATCAGGAAGATGTACGAGGCCCCCAAAGTGTTACAGTATTTCACATGTGTGTTCATTAGCAAGCTGTAACCAAATGGAATACACATCAACGACTTGATTATGTCCAGCAAGCAGTGATGGCAGAGAAAAGCGGAGGAGGACTTTCGGAAACTACGAATTACAAAGATGGCTGCTATTGTTACCAGATTGCCAAGGCCGCCTATGACTGCCACCATGATCAAGATGGCGCCCTCAGTGCGTTCGACTGGGGTTGGCGGCTGCCACGTGTAGTTCTCCACCGATACAGGACCATCGTCATGGGTGGCGATAATGTACTCTTGAATCATTGTGATGAGACTACGATCCGTGTGTCAGTTTGTGCAGATTTTATACTTTGGTTTGTATGATTCCTGTAGGTAGTTGTGTCTCCCTGGACTGGATATTCTTGAAGATGTTGATCACAATTGAGTTATTTGGTCTAGCTCATTCATTCTGTGAGCATATGCCCATTCCATTTTCTTTTTAACATAATGTTATTGTCCTTCATATTTGTTGATCAGTAGAGAGTGTTTCACCATCTTGTAATAACTGTCACATCAAGGTTGCTCAGCGTCAAAAGCCCCCTGCAAAAAAAAAAAATCATTGAGAAATATGTAAGTTTGAACATTTTTCAACATGTTCAATGTACTTTGGAAGAATAATTTCCACAAATATTCAATTTCTTCAGCTAATTATTTGATGCTGTATATTTTTGTAAGTATTAAATGAATGTTTGTTAACGTTTTACCATCTCAGACAGCTGTTGGTTTTCTGTTACCCAGGAGCTGCTTCTTCGCGAGAACACGGTCAGAGCAGCTCTTGTATAAACAAAGTGTTTTCGAGTGTGTTTTTCAGTTAGTTACAGTCTGATAGCTCTATTTTCCAGTCAGATGATGCAGAGTAATGCTTTTCCCAAGCGTTTGCAGCAAGCTGATCGACACTCCTAAGTGAAACTAATGCATATCAGTATGTGATCAAAACTCATGATTCCGTGATTTAGCTGTGAAATTCTAGCAAATTAATAATCTGTCCATTTGTCAATACTGCCATGTGAGATTGATGTCTCTCCACACAGTCCACCAGCAAGGTTCTCAAGCTTCACAAATGTGCACGGCAAATTACAAATGTAATAAGGTTTCTCTCCGTCGCTGTACGCTCCTTTACGATTCACTCGCAACATGCCGTGTCCCTCAGATAATTAATTTTTCTCTTGGAAGTGATTGTAGGAAAAACGCGTGGACTGTTTTATCTTATAAACCTTAAATCAATGTTTGAGTCGAGTGGGCTAGAGTGGGCTCAACTTGTGGCTCGGGACGATTATGGCCTGTCTGGGCCATCACTCTCAATGGCCGACTTGGCTCGCTAGAGGCACAGCCTCTCACAATAATGGCTTTTTGATGGGACATAACTTTCTAAATACATACTATTACATCTCACTAACTTAGAAATATTTCACTTGTTTCTGATTTTGTAAAATAAACTGGACAGTTTTCATATCAAGAATGTTGTTTGTTGAACAAAAAAAACAGAACTGTGATTTGTTTTATGGAATAAGTTGCAGAAAATGAAAGATTAAGACAGAAAACATAAATAATATTGGATCAAGAATGAAATAATTTTAGGATCCTGCGACAAAGGAGAAATAAATGTGGTTAAGGGAATAGCCAGTAGACATTATTTCAATCGGTCGTGTCATGTTACAGTATTATGATAGTTCCAGTCACATTGGACTGAGATTTCTTCAATCATATTAAAATGTATTGATTATGTAGACTTATTCATACATCTTTATGGTGAAGGCTGGGAGAATGTCAGAACACCGAATGCATGGATGCTTAAAGGAAACTATCGACCTGTAGAATATTTAAACACACTCCATTGACATCCATCTTCTTTTTATCTAACTGAATTAAACTTTTGTTGGCAAACATCTGAATATTGCAAGAAAATATCAGATAGCGTAAGATAGCGTATGTACATACTATGTACACTATAAATATATTCCAGATCTCTGAAACACATTTCTCTTGGAGCAGTGCAGCAAAGATACAGCATGGACATGTTTCAGAGATCCTTGATTAAAACTGATGTATGAAGATATGAAGGGATTGCTCATTATTGCAATTATGAGGGGTGGTAGCCAAGTGGTTAAAGCGTTCGCTCGTCAAGCCTAAGACCCAGGTTCGATTTCCAACGAGTACATTGTGTGAAGCCTATTTCTTGGCTCCTCCCAGGATATTGCTGGGATATTGCTAAAAGTGGCATAAAACCATACTCACTCATTTATTCCAATTATGAACTAGATAAGAAGCAAGAACGTAGGCGTATCGAGTGTGGGGTTCAAGGGGTCCAAGGGGTCCAAGGGGTCCGGACCCCCCACCCCACCCTTTTTGAAACCAAATGTAGTATGTTGTAGGCAGTAAGTTATCCGAGAATGGATTTTGATATTTTGGACTTCTCCCTTTAAAAACTGCTTGATCCGCCCTTGCAGAACATTATTATTATTTTATATATTATTTCCTATTTGTGTGTGTCATGCTATGCAGTAAGGAACACAACAAGCTTGAATGTATCTGACCATCTATCTGTGCAGTAAGGATCAGGAGTAGCAGCAAACAAGTAACATAATTTATTCCTGTTATTTCCTATTTCTGTGAGGTGACTTTGTGGTGCTGGGATAAATGATGGAAGTTTAGTGCCAGACATTAACTATGTGACTCTCAGTCTCCTCCATATCTTGTCAGCCCCAGACCCAGCTGCAGTCGACATTGCCGACAATAAAACAGCGGCATGGCAACATCGGAGGATGCATTAGGACCTTTATGCCTTTCTTTTATGCATTGTTGTGTAACATTTGAAATGTACGAGACTTTCAAGTGTAGAGTCCTTTTACTTTTATGTGGGCCTTTGTTGAAGATGTGAGAGTTGTATGGGCAGACAGAGATTGAAATATTCTTGTCTGTAAGAGATGTCGCATGGGCTGTCTGGCTTCTCGAGATCGGCTTGGGACTCTGTGAGTAATAGAAATCAGAACGAGCCTACTTGCCTGTGGCTAATAACAGTTTCAAAAGGCAAGTGGGATGCGTAATGGCCATTGACTGCCTCATTCTCTTACAAGACAAACAGTCACCATGTGCCTGATGATGCAATTGAAGCCGGGTATGAAACAATATTAAAACCCAACAAGACAGTCGGGCGAGTGACCCATTAATGCTGCCTGCCAATCTTCAAAGTTACCTGCCTGCATTTAGACATTAGGAACATTAAAAAATCGCAAGGAATAAGAGACAAGTTGCACCTTGTTTCAGTTGAAATAATGCTAACAATCACTTGAGAATCTACGAGGAGTTATGATAAAACTGAATATATAAGTAGTCTTCAAATTATCTGCAAACAGTCGAACAGGTGCAGGAACATTTTATGCAGTCTGACAGAAAAGTTAGCAGCCATGGGCAGACGGACAGGCAATTATTTCTGACACTGAATTGAAGCTCCTCTTCTTCAGCCATTTTGAAACTTGTTATTGAGTTGCTAGAAAACACAGTGTCAGTCATCCACCTCAGGATACAGATGATCAACAAATGATTAATTTTAGATGTTATATTGGCACCTGGGATGATAAGATATTGTGATAAACAACTATTTTGCAAAATTATATTGTTTAACGTGTATCTTCAGATATTCTTTTTAAGTTAATTATTTCATTTGACTTTTTATCATCTACTTCAATTATGTTTCCTAGCTTACATATTCATATCATGATCACCAGACCAGCGGTACAGAGTTGCCTCCCTTAGCAGCCAGGATCTGCTGACCTGCTAGCACAATACACACACTTCTGGGTTACACCAAATGGTAACAGTTTGTTTCCTGTGGCACTATGCTCTTGGGATGTTATTTTATTTCATGATATCAATGTGTTGATGAATTCTTAATGTCAATAATATATCAATACAAATATCGATATTAAATTATTAATTCACTGCCACAGAAAAAAGTTTAATTGTCAAAATTACCATGTTAAGATGCACAATAAGGAGTCAGAAAATGCCATTTTAAACATTTGATGGATAATAAGGAAGAAAATTTATGGATGTCAACTTCTTTAGTAGAAGGAACACAATGTTAACACAAGGGATGTGTATTGGATGTGTAAAGTGTATCACAATATTTTACAATGCACAAGGCCGTATTGCAATACGTATCACAATATGTCGTGTAATTCAAAATTTTGAATTCCAAAGCAATTTGAAACATCAATGCAGGAATTGAAGTTCATACATGGAACAAAACAAGATGCTGGAACAGCCTAATTTTTAATCATTCAATAAATATGCAAAGATGCACGCTCGGGGACAGTGATGACTTGGTGTTACACCACTGCCACAGAAGAACTCCAGAATGCAGCAACCCATGCTTGCCGTAAAAGGCGGCCATGCTTGTCGTAAAAGGCAACTAATGGGATCGGGTGGTCAGGCTTGCTGACTTGGTTGATGCGTGTCATCATATCCCAATTGCGTGTGGATCGATGCTCATGATATTAATCACTGGATTGTCTGGTCCAGACCCAATTATTTACAGACCGCTGTCATATCGCTGGAATATTGCTGAGTGCGGCGTTAAACAACAAACCAACCAACCAACCAACTCCAGAATGTGAACTTGCATTTTGGAATTACGGAAACATTTTGAAGGTATTTGGCAAGTGAATAACATTAAACACATGATAAAAACAGCTATTTGAAATCATTCGATATACATGGCATAAAAACATGATATTGTGATACGTATCATGGAAAGAACGAACATCAATTTACCGATATCCTGGGTATACGGCACATCCTTAGTTAACACATACTTATGTATATTCTCTGTCTCATGGCATTCATTCACCTGATGAAGGAGTATGTATGTACTCCGAAACGTTGTGTTCCTCATAAAAAAGAAGTTGACATCCATAAATTCTCTTCCTTATGTGTATCACTTCTAAATGCCTTTCAGAGACTTGATGTAGTGGATCAGACTAGTTCATATTTGAGCTGACATGCCTTGACTGAGTGCAACTGACATTTGACTCATGGCGAGATAGGCTTTGGGCTTTACCATATTTCTTCTGTTAAATGTCCGGGCGTCTATTAATGTCATGCAAGCCATTGACCCGATATCTATTAAAGGCCGGTGTCTATAAGAGGCCTGATGGCAACTCACTACCTTACCGAATCCCAAATTCTAGTCATACACGGGTACATTTGCATGGAGTAATCATTACCAGGGTGCAACTAGGCTAATAGTAAGTGTAAACAAAACCAATTTTACAAGGGCGTGGGCACGAGCACGCTAGGGTGGGTTTAGTGGCATGCTTCCCTCCCTTCCAAAACCTGTAAAGGTTAGATGCTATTAAACACTATTTCCTGCATTTTTGGGGCGTTTATAGTAGATTTTATTTGTATCAAATATTGGATATTTATTAATCATATTGTTTTATCAGCGGTATACATACATGTTTCACTAACACATTTTCAACTTTCATTCAAGAAACATATATGGTGACAAATGAAATTTGAACATTAAAACGAA